TGCCCCTGAGCTGCGCGCCGGGGGCCATGGGCACGACGCAGTTGATCTCGCCGTACGGGTGCAGGTGGTACTGGCCGCGCAGGACGACGTCGTCGCCGGCGGAAGGGTCCATGTAGACGGCGGTCACGCTGCAGAAGCGCGTCGCCGCCGTGGGCGGGCTGATGCGCGAGCGCCGGTACCGCGCGCCCTGCACCTCGTCCGTCGCCACCCAGCCCTCGTTGTTGTCGAGCCCGGAGCGGATCAGACGCGCGAGGTCGTCGTACAGGGCGTTGCCCGGGGGGTAGGCGCGGTTCAGCCGGTCCTCGAGATCGCGGCCCGGCGTGCTTCATCGCAGATCGGGGGTTAGCCGAGACGATGCGGGGGGGAGGCTTGTGGTGTGGGTATGCGCGCCCACTTACAGGTTTTCAACTTCGGATAGAAAATCTGCTACGCGCTGGATGAGCTTCTGGCAGTTTGGGTGCGTACTTGAAGACATTTGATCAGAGTCGTGTGTTGATGCTGGTGGTGAAATGGGAGGGGTAAACGACACCCGCTGCAGAGTTCGTTTAGTATGAGGTAGGGCTGAATGCAATGAGATGACTCGCACGAGAACTGCCAAACAGGACAATCTGAGATTCAATTCATATGCTACCCAAATTACGACGTCAAATATTATCATATCATTTTCATTACACAATTAGATTCTTCAAGCCATTTAAGCAACCATGACGAGACCCGCAATGGCAGCAATACCAGCCATAATATTGGCCGTTGCGACAGCGGCAGCAGCGTTGGACGGCGAGCTGGACGGCGAGCTGCTGGTCCTGGAGCTCGAGGTAGAACCACTTGTTCCAGTTCCAGTTCCGGTTCCAGTGGCGCTCGAGGTTGTAGAGTTGTGGGTAGTGGTTCCAGAGCTGGTTGACTGGTTGGAGCTAGAGGAGGACGAGCCCTCGGGGGTTGACGAAGTGGAAGTAGGCAACGGCGAAGATTCCGAGGTGGGAGGGCTAGATTTGTTAACATTGTGTATTCTATAGAGATTCGGGAAACCCCACAAGGTGTGCGTCGTGTGTGTCGGATCGCTGCTGAGGATGGGGATGGTGATCTTGTCCGTGCTGCTACTGTCCGGGAAGGGCGTGAAGGACACGATGGGCAAAATGGTGAGGGTGTTGGTAGGCGTCGGCGCGCCGGGAGTCTGAACAGGATTGGTGTTTTGCGGGGGGCGTTCGCTGCTCGAAAGTGTGAGTGAGCTGAGTCTACATGACGGTAAGACGGCAACCTACCGAGGAGCGATAGCGCCGACCACAGCGGCGAGTGAGAGGAGAGCAAGCTTCATGATGTTTATGTATGAGGATGTGCTTTTGCAGGCTGTTGAGAATGAGATGATATGATGAGACGATCAAGCTGAAAAGGACACAGGGGAGGTTTTTAAGACAAGCTGGCAAACGGTTACGCGGCGCTCTGGCGATGGAGGCTGGCTGTGGCGACAGTTGCGCTCCTGCCAAATCTGGACGCCCCGCCGAAATGGCGGGGGAGACAGTGCGATTCGATGGGTTTTGCAGAGATCAGAGTCTCCGCACTGTATTTGCACAGTAGAGTGTCAACCTGGATAACCTGAATACGAGATGGACAAGGTGCAACCTGCCTTTTATGATAATATGTGAGCGACGATTTGTAACAATATTCCGCGAATGTTTCAGCGAGGGGTCGAAGATCTTTTATCTGATGTCATGCCTTATTTATGGATGTGGCAACCGGCTTCTGAGGGTTGCCAAGGACGGTCAAGGCCGGGTAATGAAGGGTCCAGCATTCAATGTACGTGCACCGACTGTACATATTTCGCAATACAAAAAACCCAGGCTGAAAGGCTCGTCCACGGCCAAGACAATACTCTGTCAGTAGCCGTGGTGGACATCATTCGCTGGTCGCTGGCTCGTCTTGGCCGCATAGAGTAGTTTATGGGTCCCGGGGCGGGACGAGCCTTGTGGGAGCTCGTCGTCGCAGTTTTGGCTTGGATGGGATTTGAGAGCATGTTTTGGAGTTTGACATTTTGATCACGTTCTGGCTTGGGAATCCGGCAACCAATTCCACGAACGTGGGCGGTTGAGATGGACGACACCAGGTGACATCATTGGCAAAAAGACAAAAGACACTTGCAGGGGTTGGTATCAAGTGTGACGCAGTGGGGCTGGTGACGGGCGACTGGGCAAGGCGTTCTGCCGGGCGGTTTGTGGGTTTGCTCAACACATTTGCGTGGATGCCTTTTCTTCTTGTTGGCGAGACTTGTGTACCTAGCGGAAATAGACCCGGCGGTTGAAATGGGCGGTACAGTTACAACGGTGCCCAAGCCCGGGGCCGCCGGTGGCCAAGTTTTAGTCTGCAGCATGTATGGCGCATTACTCGGCACTGTTGCCTCTGGCGCAGCAGAGGATGCCTGGCTGCAGGCTGGAGAAGGCGAGGTACTTGTGCTTTTGTGGCGCAGCAAAGGCAGCTGTAGAGGTGGTCCTCACTGTAACTACAGGCAGAGAGTCCAGCCTGGAACTGATCAACCAAGAAACAATTCAACAGTTGCACCACTTTAAAGACTGGAGCCGGACAATAGCATAATCGAGAGTCATAATAGGCTTATTATTTTTATTTTTTTATTAGTTAATTATTCAAAGCCAACGAAAAGGAAGACCAGGGTACAGGTACTTGTGGCTCATGTACGAATTACTTGGCCGCCTGCTCAGGCACTCTACAAATAGGTAGGTACTACTGGAACATAACATCATGCTTGCCCCTCATTGTCCAAGGCCCTCAACGTGATGCCCCGCCAATCTCTGCTACCGCCTTCCCTGCCACTTCTTTTTCCCAAACGAAAGGCTTTATTCACCAAATTTCTACCTGAAATCCAGTCGTTCCGTTTTTCTAGCACCGTAACTCGACCCTACAAGTACCTATAGGCACGCACTAGCTGCATCACAGGCTCCCACTACCCCTGCCTCAAGGCAGCCCACTCATCTACACTTCGTCATTTGCTGAGCTCGCGCCACCCTTGTTGCAGTTGTCTGACGCTTCGCCTCACTCCACGCCCGGCTTTTCTCCACCAGCAATTCCCCTTCTTCAACTCATATCTCCCTCGTTTTTTCCACTTTCCGACTTGCGCAATCCACCTCGCCTCATCCATCAACATCAACACATCCAGTCCACATCCCTAACCAAGGGCCTTCACTGCCCATGGCCTCTTACGACCACTATGACCGGGACTATCCCCGCCAATATGTTCGCGAAGAACGTAGAGAACCTGCCCGCGACAGGTTTCTCGACCCCCGCGACTTTGCCAAGACGCATTCCCGCGATCTAGTACCTCGACAAGACAGCGACGTCTCCGTCGAAGAGATTCGTCGCGACTTCCCACCTCCAACCGGCAGAGATATACGCCGCGCCCGCTCAGTTGGTCCCTGGGACGACGACTATGGTCGCCCCCGTGGCTATGCCGGACCAGAGCGCTACGATTCACGATATGATTACGAACGAGACCGAGACTACGATCGTCGTCATCATCGAGGTCCCAGCAACGGCAGTCGCGGTTACCACGACGAAGAGCGTTCCAAGAAGGACAAGGCCAAGGCCAAGCAGGAAAAGATCATCGCAGCTGTCGCTGGTGCGGCTCTGCTTGTCGGCGGTAAAGAACTATTCGATCGTCACGAGGCCAAAGAGGGCGGCAGCGATGTTCACCGAAACCCCCTCTCCTCAGCAGCCCTTGCTGGCTTTGGCGCTCTTGCTGGATACCAGGGCGCCGAGTTCTACAGCAAGCAGCAGGCCAAAAAGGACCAAAAGGCCAATCTTCTTCTTCACCGCGGCCGAGATGGCCAACTCAACGAGTACTACTCGGACGAAGAAGACGGCAAAGAAAAGAAATCCAACAAAAACTTCCTCGAAAGCGCACTAGCTGCTACTGGCCTAGGTGCCGCTGTGAAGCAGTTTACCGGTGGTGGTGGTGATGACAAGCAGTCCCGTCGCGGCAGCCCCACTAGATCCCGCGCCGGCTCCAAAGAACGGGGTGGCGCAGGCAACAAGATCCAAAAGGCTGCCATGGCATCTCTGCTCGCCGGTGCCACCGAGGCCTTCCGTGTCGCCAAGGAGCCTGGTGGTTGGAGAGGCGAAAAGGCCAAGCGCGTCTTTACGGCCGCGGCTGGTGCAGCCACTGTGGATGCTGCCCACGGCGGTGACAAGGGCACATTTGGCCTTGCCGAGTCTGTCATTGGTGGTCTCGTCGGCAATCGTCTCATCAACGGCTCCAAGAAAGACATTGAGGAGGACGAAAAGACGGGCCGCAGCCGATCTCGATCTAGGGCTCCTTCCAAGAGTGGCAGTGGTGGCGGCGGAACCGGTCTTGCTGCCCTCGCTACCGCTGGTCTCGGTGCTTTTGGTGCCAAGAAGATCCTTGATCGCTCGCGGTCTGGCAGCCGCAGCCGCAGCCGACGTGATCATTCCTACGATTCCAGAAACCCATCTCCGGATCGTCGCCGACAGCGCAGCCGAAGCCGCAGCGTCGTCGACCGTGCCCGCAACAGCCTTGCCAAGCTTGGAATTGGTAGTACTGGTGCTGCTGCTGCTGACGACTACCATCGACGAGACCAGGACGATTTTGACGATGGGCACCGCCACCGATCTCGGCGCCACTCTGACGACTACGATGACAGAGATGGCAGGGACAGTAGAGATGGCAGAAATGACAGGGGCGACAGAGGTGACAGGGGTGCCAGAAGCGACAGAGACGACAGAGATTACGCACGCGCACCCAAAGGCGGCCGAGACCGGTCGGCTTCGCGAAGCCATCGCCGTGGGGGACGCTCCGACTACGGGTCTGATTCGGACCTGGGAGACTCGGACGATGACAAGAAACGAGCAAAGAAAATGAGAGGTAAGCAATTGATCACTACGGGTCTTGCAGGTGTCGCCACCATCCATGCTGCGCACGAGATTTTCGAAAGCCTGGAAAAGCGTAAAGCAAGGCAAAAGGCTGTCAAGGATGGTCATCTGTCCCAGGTCGATGCCAAAAAACTCAAGACGAAAGCCATCATCAAGGATGCCACGGCCGTGGGCATTGCTGCGATGGGAATCAAAAGCGTCTTCAACGGTGTCAAGGAAGCCAAAGAGTTGCAGCACGAGTGTAAAACTTTCCAGGAAGAAAGAGCCCTTCGTCACGAGAAGCGAGAGCGGCGTCGTAAACGACAAGAGCTGGGACCACGTCGTCGATCTGGCAGTCTCCCGGCGCCACGAAAGCAAACTTTGGTTGACTGGCAAGATGGCATTCCTCGCTACGACGACGGGTATTTCACTCGGCACCCTGCGGCTCCTCCCCTGCGGCACCGTGAACCATAATCGGTGGGCAGCCGTGGCCGCTTGACAGCTTGCGGCTTGCTTTTCCTGAATACAGCTTTCCAGCGGAAGAATCTATTGGCTTGAGATTTGTGGCGCCGGCATGATTTAGCGTTGCACCAAAAACACTTTTTCCATTTGAAACTATCCCGAAATTGATGCTAATACGTGACGTGATAGACAATCGTCGATACTAGGTGGAACCGTCCAGCACAGGACCAACGGGGCGCCCACGACGCCAAAGCGAGAAGAGCGGCGTTGTAGGGATATGGAGTGTGACAAGGTTTTGCTGCAGGACGGTGCCGGCTACCCGAGGAGGATATGGATGGAAATGATGCAATAGAATTGTGACGAGGCCAAGATCTCACACGGCATGAATTTTGGCTGAATGATTGAATGAGTGCTATCGCTAGAGACAGATACCTGAATGATAATTTAACCATGTAAATTTTGAGTAGTTGTAGTACTGATGGTGAGATGTATAATCGTGTATATTATCAATAGAAAATGCCCACCGACTTTCAAATAATGAGGTGGGACGGCAACTCGGCATGGCTTGCAGCTGTAGTGCGAAAATGACATCACCATTTGAATGGATCGAGCCCAACCGGCCGAGATGGCCAGGGGTCACCCGTCTTGGGCGGCAAGGCGGCCAAGTACCCTGTTTTCACAATCGGGTCAAATGCAATTATATAATAATACAAGCCATATTAATTTTCCCCACTGCACAAATTTGTTGTTGTCAAAAAATACAACCCGGCTAATATACAGCAAAACGCCAAAATGCCCGCTTTCCGCCACCAAATCACGACAGGCTGCCGCCCGTCTGCTTCCAGCTCTTGGCCATGGCCAGCATGTTGGACAGGTTGCCGGCCTGCTTGTCGTCGGCGGGGAAGACGTAGTCGACGTACTCCTCGTAGGCGTCCTCTTCGGCGGCGGCGGCCCCCTCGACGCGCCGGCGGCGCTTGACGCGGCGGGGCATCTGCGCCTGGATCTTGTCCACGTCGGCGGGCGCGCCGTGGGTGCGCTCAAACGAGAGCCAGGCGTTGAGCAGGGAGACGCGCTCCTCCTTGAGGTCGTTGTCGCGCATGCGCTTGTGCGCGCGGGCAAACACGGCCCTCGTGCGCGCCTTGGCCTCGTCGCTGATTGGCTGTTCCTCGTCCTCCTCTGCTTCCTCGTCGTCGCCGTCGCCTTCGGGGATGTTGACCTCGAAATGCGCGTAGCTGATCCACACCTTGACGTGGTCCGTCTTGTCGAGGAGGCGCTCGTAGAGCGCGCGCGCGCGCTCGTACTCGCCCTCGCCCTCCTCAAAGTCAATGTACGCCTTCCAGAGCAGCTCGGGCATGTCGAGCGGGTCCTGGGCGACGGCGAGCTCAAAGATGGCGCGCGCGCGGTCCGTGTCTTCCAGCGCGCACTCGAGCTCGGCGAAGCGGATCCACGTCGTGCAGTTGGCCGGGTTGTACTCGACGTGCTTGGCGTAGAGCGTGCGGCAGCGCGCAAACTCGTACAGCCGCCGCTCGAGGTCGACGTAGCCGACAAAGAGCCGGTCCTTGGGGCACGTGCCGAGCGCGCGGCCGAGCAGCTTGCGCGCCGCCGTCAGCTGGCCCTGCCGAATCTCAAACTGCGCCGCCAGCAGCCAGACCTTGGCAAAGGTGAATTTCTTGTGCGGGAGCAGGCCGAGGCACGTCGTGTAGATTTGGCGCGCGCGCCCCGCGTCCAGGCCCTCGCGCTCCTCCCAGAGCGCGTAGAAGATCCAGAGGTAAATGTAGCGCCGCCAGTGCCGCTTCTCGTGCGTCGGCGGCACCTGCGCGACGGCGCGCTCGTACACGTCGCGCACGCGGTCGGCGTCGCGCGACGTCTCCTCGAGCGCCGCGTAGTCGAACCAGGTGTCGTAGTTTTTGGGGTTCTCCCGCAGCAGCTCCTCGTAGAGCACCCGGCGCTTGCTCAGCACCACGTCCTCGACGCCGTCCTGGTCGCCAAACTGCTTCTCAAACGTCGTGTAGTTCTTGTGCAGCGCCGCCGACCGCGACCGCGGCAGCCGGTCGAGGGCGTACTTGTAAATCGCGCGCGCGCGCTCGTACTCCTTGAGCTTGGACTCGAAGCGCGCGTAGGCGATGAAGAGCTTCTCGTCGGCGAGCTCGTCGCCCAGCGCCTCGACGGCCCGGCCAAACACGTCCCGCACCAGGTCGCTCGTGCCAAACTCCTCCTCAAACTTGGCCCACTTGATCCAGTTGCGCGGCTCCGGGTGAATCTGCGTAAACATGCCAAAGATGTCGCGCGCCCGCTCAAACTCGCCATAGCGCTTCTCGAGCTTAATGTACGAGCTCCAGGCCGCCTCGTCTGGCTGCCACTGCATCCAGCGGTCAAAGATCTGGCGCGTGCCGGGGATGTTGCCCAGCATCTCCTCCATGTAGACGTACTTGTACCACAGCTTGTCGATGCGGGGCAGGCGGGTGACGGCGCGGTCGAGCAGGTTCCGGGCGTGGTTGACGTTGCGCGTCTTCATCTCGGCCTCGATATAGCGCACCCATAGCTGCACCGAGTTGGGGTGCACGTCGAGGGCGCGCTCAAAGACGGACCGCGCCCGCGCATACTCCTTTTGCTCCAGCTCCCACGCCGCGTACTGCGTCCAGTTGCGCAGGCTGATGCGGTTGCGCCGTACATAGTCCTCAAACTCTTTGCGTTTGCGGCCCTGGTACTCGTGCAGCTCTTCCAGATCCGAGAAGCGTTGCTGCGGCGCCTGGATCCCGCCCTCTTGCCGGTCGACGGCCTCGCGCAGCAGCTGCTCGGCCGAGATTTGCACCGGCGCGGCGCCCTTGTTCTTGACCCGAGGGGGCCCGCGTGTCGACTCCATTGGCGGCTCGTGGGAATGGATGTGGTTGTTCGAATAGATGTCGATGGACAAAGGCTCGTGGTTGGGTTCGGCGTAGTTGAAATTTGGCTGGCGCGATAAGATTTATCGTGCACGGGCCACCCCTAGGCAGCTGCGGCTAGCAGCCAAAATAATTACTAGCGCCCTCCAACTTCCAATTTCAACTCTACATCGTGACGCGCATTGTCAGCAGTTCAAAAATTACAATCGCAACCATGTCTACAGTCGCGGACGAATTACTCAACGACTTTGGCAGCTCAGGCGACGAGGCTGAGGAGCTGGAAAATGGCCTCGAAACAACAAACGGCGACGCCATGGAGGTAGATGGTGGCGAGGCCCACGTCAAGGCAGAGGACGACTCGGATGATGAAGCAGCGTCCAAGGCCAAAATCGAAAAGATGCAGCTGGGTACTGTCAAGGATGTCCGCAGCGTAGCCAGTCTGATGGCTACTTTGGATCCAATCCTAGAGGTAGGCCCTCCCTCGATCTTCGTTGTTGCTTGTACTGACAAATGTAGAAAATTAAACATTACCAATCGCAACCCGCCACACAAGCGAATGTCGGAAACATCGAAGATCATCCTGAGTACAACCTGTTAACGCAGTCAAACAGCCTATCTACGCAGATTGACGGCGAGGTCAACCTGGTGCACAAGTTTATCCGCGACCACTACTCGACGCGCTTCCCCGAACTCGAGCGACTCATTACAACGCCACTGCAATACGCCAAGGTTGTTTCAATCATCGGCAACTGCCCTATGGATACAGAAAGTATCAAAGCGCTGCAGATGTCGACGGATAACCCGCTCGGCGTGGGTCTCAAAGCCGTGTTGGATGGACCGTCACTTATGATTGTCACTATCGAGGCTACAACATCCAAGGGGGAGAACCTGGCGCCAGAAGAGCTTGCGCGAGTATTCCAGGCGTGCGACCTGATGATCGAGCTTCATGCGGCCAAAACGAGCTTGACGGAATACGTACAGTCTCGCATGAATATTTTTGCGCCGAACCTGACTGCACTCATCGGGTCGCTTACTGCGGCGCAACTCCTCAACGCTGCTGGCGGGTTGACGGGCCTATCAAAGACGCCGGCCTGCAACCTACCGTCATGGGGGTCCAAAAAGCGCCAGGCTGGTCTGGCGACCAATATTGGTGTGCGACAACAAGGGTTCCTCTACAACTCGGAGATTATTCGCGGCATCCCCAACGATCTGAAAAAGCAAGCCATGCGCATTGTCGCGGCGAAGCTCATCCTAGCTGCGCGCGTGGACCGCATCCACTCGAGCGCTGACGGATCTACAGGTGACAACCTCAAGTCGCAATGTCTAGAGCGCCTGGAGAAGCTTACAGAACCACCGCCCAACAAGGGCGGGCGCGCTCTACCCGTCCCCGACGACAAGCCCTCGCGGAAACGCGGTGGACGCCGGGCGCGCAAAGCCAAGGAGGCGCTCGCCATGACGGAGATGCGACAGGCGCAAAACCGCATGGCGTTTGGCAAGGAGGAGCTTGAGGTGGGCTTCGGCACGGGCTCAGGCACCGTCGGGCTCGGGATGATTGGGCAGGCCAACGACGGGCGCATCCGCGGAATGCAGGTCGACCAGCGGACGCGGGCCAAGCTGAGCGCCAAGAACAAGGGCTGGGGCGCGGCGAGTAGCGTCGGGGGCGGCGCGGCGTCGTCCATCGGCGGCTTCGGGCATTCCAGCGGCATGGATCTGCGCGGCAAGGGCTTGCGGACGTCGGGCGTGGGCAGCACCATTGGCGGCGGTCCCGGCGCGGGCACGGCGTCATCGCTGGCGTTTACGCCCGTGCAGGGTCTCGAGCTGGTGGCACCCAAGATGCAGGCGGAGCTGAGCAAAAAGCGCAAGGCGGAAGAGGACCGCTGGTTCCAGGGCGGCACGTTTACGCAGCTTAACGGCACTGGCGGCGCGGGATCGTCCAACGGGTTCAAGATTCCGGCGCTACCGGCGTCCAAGAGGCAGAATACCGGTGGCGGGAGCATGGGACCGCCACCAAAGAAGTGAGCAAGTGATGGCATTTGACAATCTACAAGGGAGAAGGGTGGTGTAGGTGGCGATGAATATTTATCGATTTTTTTCTCTGGGTTTTGGCGAATGGCGTTTGCCGGAGAAAGCGTCGTCCGTGCCATGGGCTATATCATGATGCGCCGGACAGGCATGTAATCTACAATTATACCTCGAATTCTTGCCATATTATGCGGCGCATCTTCTCGCCTGCCGGTTATTGTGATTATTGGGATGTGCTCTACATACACAGCGACTTGAACGCAGTGGCGATGGCAAGCAGACCGACGTCCGCAGTGTGCGTAACATATTTCGGCGCCACGTGTGTATATACATCCTGTACAACCCGATGGTTCGTTTAACAATGCCATATGCATTGGCATGGGATTGTAGAAGCGAGTGGAAAGGGGGTTCGCGGGGCACAGGGGCGAGAGGGTTACGAGACAAGCACCGCGTTGTACAGGCTGAACGAATACAGAGTTTGTATGGCATTGGCAGCGTGTGCGTGGGTGTGTGGCTCGTACAAACTGTGAGACCTGGACAAGCACCAGCCACACGATCAATAACGGGCATGCTTCCTTTGCGGACAGGTAGTCCCGTCGAATATTGACAAAAGCAAGGCATGTCTTATTCCATGTGGAGTTGCTTGAAGCCACCGCTACATCATCGACAAGCAGGCGTGCGTTGGTCCCGCATGGACGATCCATGGTTGGCGCAGGGTAGCACGGCATACATACCGTTTGTTGCCCAGGATTATCCAGTGACGCCGGGGTTTTACTCGGGCAGCGGCTTAAAGAGGAGGGTGTGTAATTCCGACCGGAGACTTTTTCCTTTATTCTTTCTTGACGGGGTATTCGGGGTATTGTAAAACGTAAACAGGGCTGCTTACGAGCGGAGCACGTGGAGTGCTGAGACGCGCCAACGACCAACATCGCCGATTCACACAAGGTTGCTGAGTTGAGACAGCGCGCGTGCTTCTACATATCGGGTTCTGCTACGAGTGAAAGATGACGGTGTGAATCTCTTCTTCTTCATCAGAGACACGCATTCACATCTACCAAGCAGCAGAGGCGACCCGATGGGAGGAGATGAGGCCAGATAGATAGATGCATCGTGCCCCGTTTGCTGGGACGCAAAAGCCAACTTTGGGTGATTTGTCGTTGGAGGGTCTATGACGTAGGAGAATGTAGTATGACAAGCGGCCCTGGTTCCCCGTTGGCGCCGGCTATGAAGAAGCGTTGTAAGAAGAAGAAGAAGGGAAAAACGAAAGGTAACTAACGGGGGGCGTGAGGTATCATCCGGAAGAAACGTGCAGCTGGCCACCATCTTGCCCCAAGCACAACAAGCGTGGGAGGGCGTCGTGTAAGCGGTTGAAGGTGACGGGGAAGGCATCGAGATTATGAGATTTTCATTTTATTTTATTTTTCTGAACGCCCAGTGCCTGATGGGTCCGTTGTCCGTTGCATAAACCTAGTTTATCAGTATATCGACCTAAATACCTGTGTACAGCGGGTTTTGGTATCCAGTTCTGGATAGCCGGGCGGGCGGCCAATTCGCCGCGCTGTGGCGCAAGAGGTACCCGGGGGAATAAGTTGATGTGTGCTGATTTTCCGATCCACCAGCAAAACTCCCGATCTGAACAGCCGACCCGGTTCTTGCCACATTCCGGGGGGGGGGGACTGAGGCTGGTGGAGGTTGTGGCAGCCACAACCTTTTTTTCCTGTTCCTTTCCTTTCAGTTGAAAAGGGTCGGCTGCTTGCAGTCAGCAGAATTGAGTTTCTGTAGGGGACCTGAGCTCCCTTTAGAGTTCAGTCAGACCCCTTGTTGCTGTTGGTCCTGGCAAATTCAAAGTCCCATTAACACATTGGTGTAATCCGAGGCTCGGCGTCCATGTCAGCCAACTGGTATGTTTACCAAGTATTAATGCAAAACATGCTCGGAGAAGCCAAAAGCCGGTATAACTGTACTATCAGGAAGCCAAGCCAAGCCAAAAAAAAAAAAAAAAGTCCCTGATTGTTTGATTAGTTATCGAGTGGGCTTGGCTGGTCCCCGTGGCGCGCTGCACGTTCAACACCCTGCTTTCTTTACAGATAACATCGGAGCTTTTTGCATCAAACATCGGGGTGTTTGTCCTGGTGCATCGAGATGCTGTTGCTTTTTATTAGTGGGAAAAAGAAAAGAATAAAAAAGTGGTCCGGCGCTTCTTTGAACAATCCCACATCGGTTGGGTCAGCTTCTGTGACCGAATTTTGACGGAATGCCCATCTTTTTCTATTGCCGCTGAGCCTGGGTGAACGCATGTGTCAAAGTTACATTGCTATCATGGTAATCGGTTGATACCACACTCTATCCATCCGCTTGCTTTGTAAAGGTGCCTCACTACTCTGGCTATTTCTCGACACCCAAGGGGCGCCACCAAGAACAAGCATCATCTGATGATATACTAGTGAACAAGTCAGCAACCTGTCATTGAAACAACTCTCATCATGGATGTACCTTGACCCTTGTCATTCTCTTATTAATCTACTGGTAATGCGACTTTTTCTCTTGTCCCTCTCTCTCTCCCTTTCTTCACCCGGATCGTCCGGATGCCTCGGGCTGGGCAGCACGGCCAGACTATTGGGCGCCCAAACCCTAACCTAACAAACAAATTATAACAAGACTTTCTTGACCCGGCACGCCGCACGCCACAGTGGACATTCGGGGCCCTTCAGGGTTCTTCTGCTGACTTGCAGGGCTCCGAAAAGTCCTCTTTCAGGCGGGGAGGGGGGAGGTGTGTGCTACGCAGGTTCCCCCGCAGCCCCGAATCCAGGGACCTTGGCGTCATGGCTACCCAGGCGTCTTCCGTGGCCACGGACGGTCCATATCCGTATTGCCGCCACAGCACCCACGCAGCGCATCGATATATTGAAGCATGACGGCATGAACTTGGCTCCCTATTCCGTCTCGCCAACAACATGTCGTCACGACTTATTTCCACCAGCCTCGCTGGCAATAGCTGTCTGCCAATCCCCCCCCCCTCCAGGGGGAGCAGGGTGCCAAGTGCGCCGGCCAAGTGCCGGCAGTTCAGGCAAGGCTGGCCAAAAACGTCTGGCAAGGCGGCTGTGCACTGGGCTTTGCAGCCAAGTCCCCCCCCCCTCGGGCGATGGATACTGTAATGAGCTGGACCCCTCGGACCTCTCTGGTCAGTTGCCGAGTCAGTAAGCGGTACTATCGCTGCCTGAACCCTGACTGCAGGATCTGTTCCGAAAAAAATAACTAGAGGCGTTGACGGAAACAAGATGGGAAAATCTCAAAAATACTAAATCTCAACAGATACCGAAAAAAACTAGGTGGACTGACCAGAACAGGCGTAGAACAATCTAGGCCTTGGTGTGATTGGCCCGGTTGTACCCAAGCTGAATCCGTCCACAAAATTCGTCATTGCCAAGATGGCAAAGTTGAGAATCCCATGTTTTTTTTGTTTCGCCTCGATTTGTGCCAGACTCCAATGTACCCGTCAGTATTGGCATGGTGGCGTTGCCTGAGCCAATCACCGAGTCCATCGAGACACCACCCTGGTGCAACAAAGCGTCCGCTTGCTCGCCCGCCTCATGCAGGTTGGGTGGGAGACACCAATGAGAAGAGCAGCAAGAGACGGCAAACACTGTCGACTTGCCATCATTGGCTGCTGATTCTAACTAGTTGCAACGTTTTGTTTGCGTGCTCAGCCCCAACCACGTTGCACTAACGAGGCGATAAAAGACCCCTGGTGCAGCCCGGGGGGACCCTTTTTCACGGAACTTGTAAATCGTTAATGCAAATCTCGTCTAGAAACTGCTTGTATCAGTCCTTGGTCGGCGAGCACTTTTATTCCGCAAGCGAGACGCCATCCATACACTAAAAACCACAGGTTGGCCGGTAGTGTGGCACGGTTGGTGATAGAGTCGGCCCTAGCAAGGGAACTACCTAGTGTAGAGCCGGTTCTGGTTACTGGGTGATACTTTAACCGGAGCTATCAACAGTTCCGGATAACAGGATGGTGCTATTTTCCTTGGCCCCATTGCTTCCGGAAAATCCATGGAAAACACGCAAATTCTATTCTTCAGTCCGGCTGCGAGTTGGGGCAGTTTCAAGGCGAGCTAGGGGCGTATACTTTTTACTTGATACGCACGGAAAAAGAGGGTTTGGAGCACAAGAATGGGCTTGTCAGCTAGCGCTTCCGGAACAGCCACTCCGGGGGGTGAGCAAGTTGAAATTGAGAATGCCAATTTTTTTTCATGCATATGTATTATGAAAAAAAGACGAGCCCAGTCATGTTTCATGACCCAAGGGTCTCGATCAAGGAAAGGGAACGCGACAGTTAGATTGGTTGCCAAAAAGTGGCCGAGGTAGACATTGGGCAGTCTAGACTCGAGCCGTGTGTGGCACATCAAATGTTCCTGGGCCATCGCAATGCGCTTGAGTTCCTGTCGCACTGCGCGGGGGGGGCGGGACGGCAGAAAACTGCATTTGCGCCCGTGAAACAATTTTTTTTTTTTTTTTTTGCAAACTCGAAAGTGTCAACTTCCTGGTTCAGAACATGATCAGCAGGAAATAGATTGCTGTTGCGCCACGGCGGTACCAGAAAAAAACCCTGACGTCACGGCTTGTGCAGCAGAGGCGGAATGTTGCCTCCGGCGAGGGTGGGTGTATGTACACCGACCTGACGGGGGGGGGGGATGGCACGGGAACAAGAAAAGACCGGAAACGAACCTCGTTTTTTTTTTAAGGGTCGTGGGGAGATAGTAACCGCCCGAGATAACGAACCGATTGAGAAAGTCTGCTTATGGGCTGTTTTTCTATTCCTGCTAGCAGTCGGCAGCGTAGAACGGGGACAAAAAAAAAAGTTCATACCGACACAAACCCGATTTCGACGAGGCAAAATGGAGACGATTCCAGTTGGGGATCGAGATTTTGTATTGCCCATCAGTCAAAAAGTGGACTAGGGTCTCAGGGTCCAATGGAGCGGGGGCGTGGGGGTAATGGGGGGGAGAGAGAAAAGAGGGGGTACATGTATAAAGACCTGCGTGAAGAGTTTGCGCAAGGGACAAGTGGTTGGTGAGAGACGGCCAAGAGCCAGACCGTTTTTTTTTTCTAATGATTTGCTGAAAGCACTGAGAGGTGCGGAGAAACAGTTGAGAGCAGGGCCTTCAAAAAGAGGGGGAACAAGGGCAACGACAAACTGGGCAGGCAGAGTGGCGGATGAACGGTGCAGACCCGGCAGAGCAGGCTGCATGGTGTGGCGTGCAGTGCAGGAGTCATGCTGGCGGTGCAGGGCGCCTCGTTCTGACTACAGCACCAGCCACAGGGCACCTGAAGGGGCTGAAGGGGCTGCAGTGTGGCGAGAGCTACCTAGGTAGGTACCTACGGATATGGGACCCTAGGGAAGGCAGAGACGACTGGCGTCGGGCGTTTGCAAGTCGGAGCAAACGGCAAAGTCTTTTCCCCGCAGGTCGAGTTCACTTTGGGATGAATTCACTTTGATGGAATGATCTGTGCGAATGAAAAATGACCAAAGGGCAAAAGCAACCCTTGATAAAAAGCAATGTTGCGTCTATTACTCCAGCTCCTCCGAATACAGTAATAGCAAAAGAAATAAGTCGAGCCATGTTTCCCGCTGCGAGTCCCTCTTCTCCACCAAAAAACACAGCCTGAGAACCCCTGTCGGCCTGTAACCCTGAACGGGGCCCCCAAGCTGTAGTGGGTCGCAGGGAGGGTATGGTGGGGGCAATTCGTGCAGGCCGTTCTTGGGGTGTGTTTTTTTTCAGTTTTTCCGGAGTATTAGTGCCTGGTGGAAAAAGTTGGGTATAGGACCTAGGTAGGTGTACCTTAGTACCAAACCTTGGCTCACACCATCACCTTTTCTTTTCTCTCTGAGGATTTTCCGGGGGGAATATGGGCGTGGATGTAAAACGGGATCCCTCTTCTTTGGAATTGTGCTGTGTCTTTGTTGCTTGGGGATTCGCGTGTTTTTTGAAAAGTGTGACGTTGTCTGCGGTACTTTGTAATAGATCATGTACGCACGCACTGGCACCATCATCATCACGTCAACAGCTGTTTGCAGCAAGAAATGGGTCAGCCACAGTCTATGCAGGAAGGCAAAGGGTCACAAACCTCGAGAGCGCAGATGGAGCTTGCCCGCTCGGCTGGGGAAACAGTTGGTTAGTTACAGGCCAAGCCCGAGCAAGCCTAACGTTAAAAAGGAAAACGCAAAGCCAAAATCAAAAGAATAACTAATAGGTATGTACCTAGATAGCGGAAATCCTCGACCCGGCCTGGCTCACTCGATCGTTCGCTCCTTCTCACTCGGCCGGCCGGCGGGGGTACCAGACCAAGGGATCCCCCCTCTCCTGTGCCACACCTACAGTACCTCTTGCCACAAACTCCACACACCCTGAACCACTCCAGTCACGCCCTGCCCACTTGCCCACCCAGGCCCAGGTACCCTCCTCTCCATCCAGGTACCTTTTCGCCCTGCCCCGGCCGCGCCTGGTACCTCGTTGATAGCCCCATGCTCGACAGAAACGGCGGCTTTGCCCAAATCCCCATCCCATCCCCATCCTGTTTCCCTCGTCTTCGCCCTTTCGCCCTCTTCACTCTTCACCATGCTGCCACCCCCCTCCCTCTTGCACCAATCTTCCTCCACCCCCAGGTTACGGCCTTTTTTTTCCTGCTCAGACAGCTTTTGCTACTTTACCACTCCCTCTGCCAGCTCTTTTCCATCTTTTCCCCTCCCACTTTCCTTCCCACATATCACCAACCCGATCCTTTTGCAACAACATTCCCACCTCACATCCTACTACAGCTTCGACATTGCTACAGCTACACTCGAAGCACTGCCAATTACTATCTACCATCCGTCGTCTGACCACCCCCCTTGGATGCGGTTGCTCTACTCCGCGCCCCTCGCCACCCAGAGCTTCATCACTTACACCAACAAACAAATCCAAAATCCCACCACCACAGCCGTAATGGACGCTCGCAACGCCGCTGGCCGCCGGGTCTCGCTTCTCAACGACGACACGCCTCGCCAACCGTCCTCGTACACCATTGCTCATGCCTATGCCACGCCTCCCTCGGGCCCTTCGTCACCCACCAGCCCGCAAATATGGCGCTCCAGCTCCTACGACTCGCAAGTGAGCGGTAGTGACGCCGTCTCCCCGTTGACGCCCGCCCTCGACTACCCTTACACATCCTCGCAAACGTCTAGCCGCGCCTCCCTCGCCAAGCACCCGCTACACTATGCTAGCAGCCGTTCCACCTCCAACGAGGACGATGTTGCCGTCGCTGGCGCCGCCGCCCAGGACCGCCCCGCCAAGCGCTACCCGTGCCGCTTCCGCGACTCCCACGGCTGCGAAAAGACGTTTACCACGTCGGGCCACGCTTCCCGCCACTCCAAGATTCACACGGCTGAAAAGGCTGTCCAGTGCACCTTTGCCGGCTGCCAGAAGAAGTTTACCCGTGCCGACAACATGAAGCAGCACCTCGAGACGCACTACAAGGACAAGTCCCGCACCGCCAGTAGTCACCGTTCTGGCCCCGCCGCCCACCCCAAGCCGGCCGCCGACCATCGTCGCCCGGCCGCCTCTGCACGCAGCCGCTCGACGTCGTCTATCAGCGGGCCAGAACTCGACGTACGCCAGTACGCGCTACCCACGCCGCCCCCTCTGCGCTCGCCCGCCGTCATGGCCAGCGGTGGTCGCTCCGCCTGGGAGATGACAGCCTCGACGCTGCCCATGCACAGCCGTCCGTCTGCCTCGCACGCCCCCAGGAGCGGCCTCGATGCGCTTGCCATGGCCATTGCTTGCCAAGAGAGCTCATGAGATGAATAGTTTCTACATCTCTTTCATGTCGCGACACTACCTTCTGCAACAAAATATCCGAGCCTTCTCTGCAGAATCGACATGATCTGCTTGCTTCGTTTTTTAATCTTTAATGCGGCCACACCTTACAGAGGAGTGGTGCGCCAATGATTCCCTTGATATCTCTACGCTTATTACGGCCCCCTTTTTTTTCCGTCTCTTCCGCAGTCCACACGGAAGACTTTGATACCAGTCCTGCATGTTGATTTTTGGCGTTTTTGGAAAGCACACAACCCTACTACTATACACGGCTTGTTGGGCCTGCTTTCCCCCTCCCGAAAGGAATATTTTGATTCCTATTTTTGCTTTGAAATTGTCACGACCGCATCAATTATACAAAATCGGTCAACATTTATGGCTTTGATGCCCAGAATCTTTTCTTCTTCTTGAACATATCATTATATATATACACAACATACACGGGACACGGGAACTAGCATATGCGCACATTACAGACGCAAAATACACGAATTGGCGTCGTTTTTTATTCTCTTTCAGATGGGTGCGATGGACTATGGGTTCATCACGACAATGTGCATTTTGCGTAGTGCAATGCGTTTCTTCTGGCACGTTTGGGAGCCAAAACCCGCGCTGGCGGAGGGGATACTCGAGGACTGGTATACCACTTGTTCGCTTTTTCTCTCTTCTTTATATATCTTGCTAGCGATATCCAACCAGACACAAAAATATACGACGAATCGAACACGGCCGCTTTGAGCGGCGGTTGGTTCTTGTCATTTTTTACTTAAACTCTCCTCTGCTCCCCAATGCTTGACTTGTTTTGCTCTCCATCAGGTGAAGAAGTATACAAATTACATCCACCACTTCCGATTCCCGGCTCGACGCCGCCACCCGTCGATGGGCTGATTTGGCGGCGCCCGTCGTTCGGCCCGCAGACGAAGAAGGAGGTTTCCCTTGGCGGCTTGGCTTGACTTGGGGAGGGGCTTTCAAAAGACCAGGGCCGTGAGATGTCACCAAAAAACATGCAAGTCATTTTTTTTCTTCCTCATCCCCCCCCCCTGGTTTTTCTACTGTCTCTCTCGCGGTGGGGGTGTGGCAGTGAGACCTTTTTTTTTTTTTCTTGTTCCCTCCGTATGATCCGGAGACCCCGGACGTGGTGGCTACGTTGTACTCGTCTGGTGGCTTTACAAAAAAAAACGACAGGGCAAATATATTACAACATCGAGGGAAGGGGGGGACAACAACCCAGGGTCCTGTTGGGACAACGGGAAGAATGCACGGGAAATTGTGACCTGTCAGTCAACGTCAATGTCACTGATGCGCTAAATACCGCTTCTCTAGGTTTTGATCATCATTCATCATTCATCTTGTTATTATTGATCATCTTCATTATATCAGCAGTAACAAAGGGTCTCAGCTGTGCAAGTTATCTCGGGTGCTGTGACAGCCAACTACCTATCGCGTTGCCAAGCTCGGTCAGAGACAACTTTGCGTTTTCTCCGCACGACGCTAGGACGGAGCGCTTCTCGCTCTCTCTCTCTCTCTCTCTTCCCGTTGTCTCTGGTGGTTTGCGCACAGGCTGGATCGCGCGCTGAAAACACGCCGTCTTCCGGTCATTGTATCAGTCTGTTTACTTCGTTCCGCTTCCTCCTCCTCCAACAATGGACCCTGCATCGAGACACACACGAGCCACACGGGCCATGTTTCGGCCGGGCTTGTGCGGCGACAGGCATCTCGCCCTTCGAGATCCAATACATTGGTACCGAAACTTGAAATAACGCACTTGAGCGACAATCTCATCCCGCCCTTGCCTTCTTTCCCTGTCATTTCGAGCACGCCCTGCCGGGTTCGGTCTTCCAGCCATGGTGCGACAAACGCATGGGCGGTAACGGTGGGGAATTTGTCTCAATCCAAGGTTCAAGGTCTCTCGTCTTTGTTTTATTTTCATCCCGAGTCATGCCAAGCGATATGAAATTGCTGGTGTCATTCTTGAACAGTCTACAGAAACGTCGCATTCCTTTAGCTGGACAAGGGTCGCCAGCCCTGGTAAAGTCTCGGACGACGCTTTGTTGCCAACAGAGGTGCTCTTGTCGTATTATTCGGACGCCCTGGGAGGTAATCCTTCATCCGTCTGGCCGCTCAGGAACAGATCCCAGCTGCCCATGTGATGCATCGTTTTCTTGATCAGGGAGAATTTGCGGTGATGGCAGCTCAAAGTGGTGCGGTGGAAATGGCACCCCATTGAACTCGCGATCAGAGCTGTGTGCATACAACCAAGTTTCCAGGAACCGCCGATACCCTGCCAATATCAAAGAGGTCAGCCCGTGCTATATTCTCGAGACAAAACTCAAACATACCCTCGCCGTGAGTGAATTGGATACTCAGATATCGGATATCGAGATCGCTGGTGTCTGTCGATGGCCTTCGTGGCCGTATCCGCTGCGCAAGTGAGCGCCGAGAGCTCTCCGGCGCACTTCCTCGACGACCGTGAACTACAAGCCGCACTTGCTTCGCTCGGTCCTCCCTTCCGCGGAGCTCCCCCTCAAAGGTATGCACATCGTATTCTCGGTATGAACCGCCAGTCTTGTTGGCAAGCACCGACAGCGAGTGGCAGGTCGTGTATCTATCACGCCATATCTTGAGTCGCTGAATTGCGCCAATGCCCTTTACTTTTCCATAGCTGTCGGTACGGCCGTGTACATTCGTCCAAACCACGTCGACGTCATAAAAGTCTATCAAGTCCTTTCGGCGCACGTCACCCTGGAAGAGGAATGAGCCGTCTACAGAAGTGAATTCGTATCGCACCGTGATGTACTGATCATGGATGCAGACACCTTCGTCAGAAATATATCGTATGCGATGCGGTTCGGTGAATGTGACGTAGCGCTCCATGTCGGAGGGATCGTGGTACTGCCTGTGGCGCGAATGCAGTGTGTGCGGGAAGACTTCCGCGGGCACATCGGATGGCACTGCAGGGTTAGCAAAGCGCTTGCGTGGACTGGGCAACAGATGACTTACAGTAATGCTCGAGGAGCTCGTTCTGATAGCTACATTGCCATAGCACCCGGCGCTGCTCGGATCCGACCACTTCCCAGGGGCCGAGATATACCGTCCGCTCTTCTGGTGTGTCTTGAAAGAGGGTTCTGGCGAGTCAGCAGCCGGCGTCAATTTATCAGTGCGGAGGGACGTACATGGTGGCTTGGAAGCCCGGGGGGCCAATGTCGAGAGGACGCAGACTGGAGCGAGGCACAAAGGAGCCTCCGATGGACGACGGCGCAGAAGCAATGGAGATGCCCGAAGTTGGCGTCCAAGTAGAATCGACGGGACTGGTGTAGGAACGACTGTAGGTTGGCGGACGGCCGAGTGAAGACGAGGTAAAAGATGAACTCGACGAGGACATGCTGCAGAAGCAGCTCGAGGCGTGGCGATCAGGTCACGTCGGCGGTGGGGGAGGGGAACCTAGCATGCCAAAATGGTTACCGAGGCGCAGGCTGACGTTGGCAGGGAGCCGAGCAGAGACGCGAGATTGCGCCGGATCGCAGCTGGACAGAGACGTGACAAGGAGTTTTTTTTTATGGAAGTAGACCAATGTCTCGTGAAATGTGTTGGCCGTGGTAAGAATTGATGTTTGATGAACGCTAGGAAGCGGGTGGGCGAGCAGACAGGTCCACGCAGCGTGCAAAGGTGACGGGCAGTCGATGATGTTCCGCAATGCGCTGGCTGGTTGCTCACTGGCTAATGGCGCTCAATGCTACTCAGTACTGCAGTTGGCGATTTATTTGCGACAGGTTGAGCAGCAAACTAGACACGGCAGCGGCTCGCTGGCCAGGTCCGGTGAATGTCGCGCCATTAGTCAATGCAGCGCGGAAGCATCCAGCGCAGAAGACGGTGTTGGCAGCGTGCTAAAGTCGTTGGAGGTGGAGGTCGAAGCCGGCCAGCGGGGGTCGGCCAGAGCCGTTCCACTAGCGGCGGTTGCGGTAGGCACGGGGGTTGAGCGCGGCCTGTGATGGGCTGGCGCGGCGCCGTTGAAGGTGGGGAGATGTTGAGCGAGTGTGGACCATGGCTGAAGGAATGGCTGAGCGTTGCATTGTAGTGCGTCGCGAGGATGGAGATGGCGATGATGAGGATGATGTATGATGTGTGAAGGAGGAGATGACGATGGGGGCGACGGAGGAAGCAGATAGTTAGTGCAGGTTAGTTCAAGGTAGTCCTGGTCTGTCTCGGCGGGTGGTGATGAGTGGGTTTATGAGTGTTTGCGTTTGCTACCTAAGAAGAGGTAGTTAACCCAACTCTGCCAGCTGCGAGGTTGCCAGCTGCGAGGTTGCCGGCTGCAAGGTTCAAGGTTGCCAGCTGCCAACACCACCAAGCGGACAGACGCTCCTCTCCGATTGGATTTCCCCGCCGGCTCGCTCGCTCACTCTCCTCTACAAGAACCATCAAACCACCATCTTGGCCCAATTTCCACCATTCAAGCATCGCTTCATGACTTACCCGCTCTCGCACGAGGCCCTCCCCAAAGTCCGCTACTGTGTAGAGTTTGCACATTGGCAACGCCACTGCAACTCCACCATCGCGACATGTCCAGACAGACGACACACTGCCATCACGTTTTAGCCACCGCTGCTGCATCTTCGACCGGGTGGGGGATATTGCCTAGCCTTGGGTGTCTGGGGTCACCATCACCTGTCACCAATTCCTCCTGCAAATAACTGGTGCTGCCTCACTGCCAAGTCGCCAACCTGCCCTCCAGCTCTCAGCCCGAGTCTTGCAGAGCCCAGCCCGGCCCACTGACAGGGGCGCCTCCTCGCCTGTCCGCCTACACTATTGATTGGCGGCGCATTCACTCTGTCTGACAATCTGTCGCGGCCTCCTGACCGCGCCGACATTAACTATCTCGGGACTGAATGTATTCTCCTCTCGTCATGCGAGACACTGCAAAACACTCTTCATCAGCTTTTCAACTGCGCCCCCGCTTGCGCCGAGATATAGCTAGACCAACAACGGCTGTTGCAGCCCTGGCGCGCTCTGCGCTGAAATTGCCCTCCGTTTCGTGCGCACGAGTCTGGCAAATTTTCTACAAAACATCTAACCGCCTCGTCGCTCCTCATGCCTGGTGCAGACTACATTTACAATGCCTCTCGGGTCATCTTTCGGACCTAGAAATCGAGGCTTCCTCGGAGCAGACAGCTCTGCTCTTCCGGCACAGGATCTGCAGGTAACTTCCCTCCACCAATCTGATCCTCGTAGCACCGCTAATCGTGCAGGACCGCCATCAACTGCGATATGAACTGGATCTCAACTCGTGGAACTTTAGGATTTGGGGTGTCGCCGCCTCGGGGTTTTTGACTGACTCGTACGTCTCGTCTCGCTTCGCTCGTCCCGGCGCAGCCCGCCGACGGCTGGCTAACACATGTCCAGATACAACCTTTTCTCAACCAACGTGATTCTAGCATCCATCTCATTTGTGTATTATCCGCATGGCCGTGAATGGCCCGGTCTTCTCATTAATCTCTTTACACTCCTCGGCTCCGTCATTGGTCAGCTTTCCTTTGGCTTCCTCGCCGATTACTATGGCCGCACTCGACTTTACGGAATCGAGCTTGTGCTCGTCATTGTCTCAACCATTGGTGTTGCAACCAGCAGCCATGGATACAATGACATGTCCTTCTTAGGGTTGTTTATATGGTGGCGTTTTGTCATGGGTATTGGTATGCGCTGCCTCAAAGTCATCCATGTGCTGAGCTAACAGTAACAGGCATTGGTGCCGAATATCCCCTCAGCGCTGTCATTACATCCGAATGGGCCAGCACACAATCAAGAGGAACCATGATTTCAAGCGTGTTTCTCATGCAGCCGGTTGGTCAGGCCTTGGCGCAACTTGTCGGGCTCTGGGTACTGCTTGGCTTCGAAGACAGCAAGAAGTTGAGGGATCTTCGTTGCGGCTTGGACACTCTCCATGAAGAAGAGTGCCGCAGAGCAGTAGACGGAATTTGGCGGATCGTAATTGGATCTGGCGCCGTCCCCGCTCTTCTTGCCATCATTTTCCGCTTCTTCCTGTTTGACTGCGGCCTGTACAGTCTCGAGGTTCGCAACAAGCCAGCCATTGCCATTCTAAACACGCAAAGAGTCTACGGAACACCTGCCAATTCAGCCAATCACCACCAGAACACGCAGCAAAGCATGCACCCGAATATGCATCAGCAAAGTTTGCATCATCAGAATTCGTTTGCGCTGCAGAATACAAATGGCAACTTGCACCCGGAGCCCTCGCCTCGACCTATGCCGGTGCAATTCTCTCGCGAAGATTTACACAATTACTTTATTCGCGATAAGAACTGGGTCTACCTGCTAGGTACGGCCTCAACATGGTTCTTTCTCGACGTTAGTTTCTATGGATTGTCCCTCGATAATAAGGGTACACTCTCCGATATGTGGGCGACAACACCACCAGTCGCAATCAATGAGAGTCTGGAATGCTGGAATTCAAGTCTTCCGGGCGGAACATCGACAGTTCCTGGATGGAGGACGAAAGGCCTGCCAACGTGGCAAACCGACTCAACGCATCCTTGCAACACCATCTACGACGTCCTAATCGAGCAGACCAAACAATATCTCTTGACGGTGTCGTTGGCTTCCATAGCAGGCAGCCTCTGCTTCATTCTTTTTGCAAATCGCATACCAAGGCGGCAGTGGCTTACGGCATCATTCATTATTCTGGCCGTAGTATTCATGATCACCGGTGGTGTTTACTATAGCGTCCATCGTGACTACGCGGCAGCCGCCACTGTGGTGTGCGTCGCCATCTGCCACTTTTTATTCAACTTTGGTAAGCCCCTCTACGAAAACGCACCAACAACCAGCTAACCCCCACAGGTGCAAACACACTCACATTCATGATCCCCGCCGAGATTTTTCCTACGTGCTACCGGTGTACGTGCCACGGCATCTCGGCCGCCGCCGGCAAGCTCGGCAGCATCGTCGCCGTGCTCGTCGTGTTTGGCATCAACAAGGCCTACAAGAGCCATACACGCCAGGGCCTCATCTTCTTGCTCTTTGGCTCCGTTGCCGTCGTCGGGGCCTTCTTCTCGTGGGCCTACCTGCCCGACCCGCAGCGTTGGGTCGTGGAGCCCACGGGCGACGGCCGCGAGAAGCGCGTCCTCGAGAGCAAGGACCTGGAGGAGCTGGGCGAGGGGAGGGAACGAGCCAGGCAGGCTGGGGAGTTGGTGTCGTTGAAGGAACGCTGGGGTGAGCTGCGCAGCCGGAGACGTGGGCCGAGACGGAGACAGGAGACATAATACCCCCATTTGATGCAGATTGTATAAACTAGTTTGTTTATTCTTACGAAATATTGCGCAGAACGCTACAGAAATGCTACAGAACGCCTTAATGTATACAATTCATAGTCCAGACATGACACATGGTTCTCTTCATTTCTTCCATTTCCCTTGTCCCCTCAAAGCGGCACCGGCGCCGGGTCGTTGATGAGCATATCTGCCGTATCCGCGTACAAGTCATCGGCGCTCGTAGTCGCCTTGACGTGCGCGTCGCGCTCCAGGGCGTCGAGCCAGCGCGCCCAGCGCGAGGCGGACGCCGGTGCCGCGGCCGGCCAGCCGCGGCGGGGGTGCAGAATGGTGCGCAGGCGCAGCGCCCATGGAGCGAGGTGCACGTCGACGAGGCTGAGTGCGGCGCCGAGAAAGTACGGGCCACGCTCGTCGGCAGCCTGCGCGAGGCGATCGAGTTGCGCCTGCAGGCACGTGATGAGGTCTGCTTGCCGCGCGAGGTCCGTATTCTGGAGAAGCGCGTAAAAGGCGACGAGGAGGTCCGTGTTGATCTGATGCGCGTATTAGTGGCTTTTCTTCTTTTTTTTTTGTTCTTCTCTGATTTTTATTCCTTTGGTTTCCCTTTCTTGGTATGAAACGGCGGTGAAAAAAAAAGACTGTAGGAAGCGGTGAAGAACTTGCATGGTTGATCCAGAAACGGCAGTTGGCCTTGAGCCGCGCGTCCGAGGGCAGCAGCGGCACGCGCGCGTCCAAGTCCTCGAGCTGGAGGGGGAGGCCGGAATTGTCAGCATGCCCACCTTGAATTGAAGTATTATGAAGGGGAGACGTACATATTCCAAAATCACAGACGACTCGGCGCAGGCCCACGCGCCTTGCCGGATCGCGGGCACCTGGCCTTTGGGGTTGGCCTCGAGCAGGCCCGCCGGGGCGGGCTTGCGGTGCGGGTCCGCCTCGCAGTACTGGTACGGGAGGCCTTTGGCCTCGAGGGCGATCCAGACGCGCTGCGAAAAGGGGCAGTGGCACGCGGCGTACAGCTTGACGTCACCGGCGGCGCCGGCCTCGCGCGCGTGCTTCCGAGCGGTGACGGCGGCGGTGCCTGTAGGCCGGCGCGGGGCCGGCTGCGCCCGCTTTGTCTCGCGGTCCTGCGAGGCCATGTGCCGCTGGACGCTATTCTTTTTGATCTCGTCGCTCTTGGCGAGCGTGTGCTTGTGCGGGCCAGCGACGCCGTCCCCCTTGCCGTTGCCGCCGTTGCCGTTGACGCGCTGAATGGTCCAGAAGCGCTGCCCGTGGTACCCGGCGGCCACGGCGGCGGCGCTGGTGGTGGCGGCACCGTCCGCGCCGCCGTCGAGCTGCACCGGCTCCGTGCTGGGAAAGTACTCGGTGATTTTGATCTTGACGTCGCACAGGTCGCGCTCGCGCGCGCTGCGCCGGCGCCGCTTCTTGGTGGGGTCCTCCGTCTTGGGCGTGCCGGGCGGGCGGCCCTTCATGCGGCAGTCCCAGTAGTGCGAGACAAACGGCTTGCGCTTGTACTTTTGCGTGGACCTGTGCGAGTAGACATTATCCACGTGCGGAAAGTATGTTTCGAACCTGAGCGCGCGCGGTTGTAAGTCGTGGGAGCCCTTATCAGAGACGAAAAAAAAAACAAGCAGGTTTTGGGGGTTCTTACTGCTCCTGTGTCAATACAATCATCTCATCCACGTTGAATAGCTTCTCCCGCCAAGCGTGCAAGTCTGGCGGATCGACAACAATCTTGCCGCCCAGCTTGCCGTGGGCCGAGGGCGCGGCGTCTGCGTCGGCGCCGGCGCCGGCCTGGATGGCGGGCGCGAAATGCAGCGTCGGCTGGCCCATAGCCGGGGCCATCGATCGGTGCGGGTGCACCACGGGTACTGGCGTCGGCGCCAAGATGCCAAACTGGCCCATGTGCTGCGTCTGCTTGTCCGGTGCCCCCATCGGTGCTTGCGATGCAGCCTGCATCACCGGCGCATGACCTCCACTGGCGCTGTCCTGCTGCTGTCGTCGGCGCCTCTGCGGCTGTCGGTTTACCTCGACCTGCGGCTGGTACTCCAGCCTCTCAAACACGTTACCCTGGGCCCGGTACACCTCGCCCATGGCGGCGGCGGCGGCGGCCGACGGATACCCAATCCCCATGTCCATGGCGTACTGCTGCTGCTGCTGCTGCTCATGCTGTTGGGGCGGCTGGTGAGGTGTTTGTTGTGGCTGGCCGCTGGCGAACGACCCTGATGCCATGGCCGGGGCGACGGCACTGATTGCTTTCAATATAAAACGCAAGACAGGCAGTGGGATGCTCGAGCGGCTCTAACACGATGGACGCACGGCTGCTTGCTGCTTTTAGGAGATGGAAGAGTGATGAGGGCAAATTAGGTGACAAGTGGGTAAAATGCTGCTGGTCGGCGTCAAAAAGAGCGACGTGCACGGACCACTTGACGGATCTTATCTTAGATGGTGATGATGTGGCTGTGTATGTAGGGTATGCGACGAATAATTCTATACTTGTAGAAACGTTTTGAAACTACACCAATTGAATGTAGTAATATTTTTTTCTTTTTTTCTCTGCAATGAATTGTCTCATCTTGGTCGAACGCGAGTAGCCATCTACGACTGTTCCAACATCATCCAATTCGTGCGCGGGTGCGTTTCTTGCGTCCAAAGAGCCGCGTTTGTAGCCAATCTCTTTCCTAAATGACTGCATCTGGAAAGGCGACTTGTGCTGGCTTTCGCAAATGTCAGAGTGCTGTTTCCAAGTCAATGTTCGCCAAGGTTATCCTGTTCACGAGGTTGTGAGGTGGTGCGCACAATCACATGGGACTTGTCCTGTAACAAGCCACACTGAGCATTTGCATAGACGGGAGGCACGGATCAAAAGCCGATCTTTTAAACCACGCATTTACTGGCATCGTCTCACGATACAGTCTTGTCGTGGATAAGTGCGCAACAAGAGGCTAGATATAACCGGACGAGATGAGACGAACTTCCGCCCTTGACCGGGGCGGCGGCGTCAACCTCGGCATCGCTAGCTTCCCCAGACCATCTCAGACCCCGTTCGAGCCGTCCGATATTTCACCTATTAAACGCCGTTTCCCATCCCACCAACATAACCAATTTTTCGTCTTTCCCTCTCCATTCACAATCTCTCCTATCTTTATAACAACCACACGCACACACACACACACAGCCCGCAACCATGTCCATCGTTCCCGCCTACGCATCGTACCAGTACATGCGCGTGACGTCGCCAGCCGAGTACGTTGCCCACGTCGAAATCAACAACCCCAAGCGGCTCAATGCCTTTTCGCAGGCCGTGTGGCTTGAGTACGGGCGCGTGTTTGCGCAGATTAGCGCCGACCCGGAGTTCCGCGTCGCCCTCCTCAGTGGCGTTGGTGACCGCGCCTTCACGTCGGGGCTCGATGTCAAGGCGGCGACGGCCGACTCACCGCTGACGACGGCTGAGGGCGACGAGGTCCGCCGGGCCAAGCTCCTGCGCGGTCACATTGAAGAGTTTCAGACGAGCATCACATCCGTGGAAAAGTGCGAGAAGCGTACGTTTTTTTTTAACAGCTACAAGAGTATATTTGGATCGTCTTTGAAGTCCGTTGCTAACATGGACAGCCGTCATTGCGGTTCTCCACGACGTCGCCATCGGCCTCGCCATCGACATTGCCACGTGCGCCGATATTCGCATCTGCACGGCCAAGACTCGCTTCGCCGTCAAAGAGGTGGATATTGGCCTGGCAGCCGACATTGGCACGCTCGCGCGGCTGCCCAAGGTGGTGGGCTCGTTGTCGTGGGTCAAGGACGTGTGCATGACGGCGCGCGACTTCGGCGCGGCCGAGGCGCTGGCCCAAGGGTTCGTGAGCCAGGTGCACGAGGATAAGGCGACAGCCATCGCGGCGGCCGTGAAGCTGGCGTCGCTGCTGGCGTCCAAGAGCCCAGTGGCGGTGCAGGGTACCAAGGAGCTTCTCAACTACGGTAAAGAGCACTCCGTCGCCGACAGCCTGCGGTATACACAGGTGTGGAACTCGGTGGCGCTGCAGGGCGAGGACTTCGTGACGGCCATGATGAGCAGCATGCAAAAGAAGAAGCCTTCGTTTTCCAAGTTGTAAGAGGATTTGTGCCAAGGTTATTGAATATTCGGTATCGATATCATGCAGTATAACGCCTCAAATGCTAGTGTTTATTGTGTTGTGATGATGTGTGACATTGTCCAAGGTCGTATTGATGGGACCTTACTCGGAGCCGGATTCGTCGATTGGAGGCAAGTTTTCTTTGAGACGCTGCGACAATTAGTAAGAGCATTTCGATGACGAGTTGGCGGCACAAACGTCTTCGAGCTTTTGCTTGAGCAAGGGAACCATATTTTCCTTGACAACAACGCGCTCCTCATCCAAATCCTCAATAATGAAGTCGTGGTTTTCGCTGTCAATGTTGACAATGATGGATTTGATGGAGGGGTCGCACTCGATGAGAACGCCTGCGAGGGACGGATTGTTAGCCGAGGCCGGTGCTACGCCGAACACATCCAGGGGTAAAGCATACTTCTGATGGCACGAGGCATGATGGCAGTTGTACGTATTGTATTCTGCGAGAGCGGGCTTCGGTGTTGGACCTAGAGTGCGAAATGGTACGGTTGGGAAGGCAAGGCCTGTGATGGATGGGCCGAGGACGCGCCAGGCGGGTCGCAAAGGGGGAAATAAGCAGGCGCTGGATAGAAATGGAAGGAGGTAGGTGCTGTTGGTAGCAGCGGCGATGGAGCAGATGGAAAGCACGGTTTGGCGATGAGTACGTATGGGGAGAGGTTGGATCGTGATATGAGGTGGGCCGGCTATAAGCTGGGCGCAGTGGATGGGAGCGCTGAATTGGCCTGTCAGTGGATTGGGTGGAGGAGAGCGCTGTGGACGGGCAGAAGGTGCTGTATTCCTGTCGTGAAACCCATCAAGGGCATTCTTTTAGCGTCCCGGACGCTGTAAATACCGCCTCAAAAAAATCGTGTAAATGTGCCGCCTCCAACCGAGCTCGCTCTTTTTTTCTGCACGTACCAATGGCTGCGACGCTGCACGACACCTTTTTGCATGCATACAATCAAGAGAAGAAAACAGAAGGAGAAAAGGAAAATTCTGCACTGTTGCATCCATCGATACCTCCCATATTCACTCCGCAGCGAGTTGTGCATGCTGGCCCTTGTGGCCTCTTACCCTCTTACTCCCGTTGTACCCGCATTCCATCTTGCTTAGAGTGCCAGTGCCTGTTTGCCCCTCCCCCCTCCTTCAAGCACATACATATATCCTATCGTAATGCTAATTCCTCGCTACCACCCTCCGTACCTAATAGGTATTGCTCAACTTTTGCCCAATTCTCGTTTTTCAGGCCCTTTTGCCAAGCTCGCTTCGAATGAATCGTGTTTGTGCCCAACGGTGCACTCTTTAGCTCAAGCGCCGCCAAGCACACCTTTCACTATGCCACGGCTTCCATATCCATGCATGTGCGCTGTCTCCATCTCGCTCTGGTCGTTACTGTTATCTAATGATAGTTTGACCGCCTCGTCGCGTTGCCGCTGCAAACGACTCAATCAACTAGGCGCATCGCAAAACGTGGCGCTTCTCAGCTGGCCTCGCCTGAGCAACACGCCCCCAAGCCCCCTCCTCCTTGCTGGTGTGGTTGCAGTGGTGGCTTGCTGCCTGCATCACAATCCACTAACTAATGTGAACTAGTTCTTCCAGGTTCAGAAATATTGACCACGGCTCGAATTACACCATGACGCTAATCGCAGCACATGCAAGGCTTGGATCAAGACGGATACCGGGCAGGCGAAAAGCGAGCCAGCCCCACCAACATGCGATTCGCACAGCTCGCCAGCTCGTCTCCTCGCCAGCCTCATCAGCAAGCCCTAGCTGGGAACAGGATCAACAGTGATGGCGCTAGGCTGCTTGTCTCAGGCGTGCATGCGCGGCAAGCATCAAAGACCAAGGACGGCCCTCTCCCCTCCCCTCTCGACTCGTTGGCCTGCCTGGTTCTTCTGCCTCGTCCCATCCATTTGTGTTGGCCTGGGCTTCTTGTCCACCAGGGTTGTTTGTACCTAGGACGAACTGGAACAGCCCTCAGTTTTCTTTTCGTTGTAACGTCAGCTAATAAGCCCCGCGGCAAGCATAGTCAAAACGAGAGCATCGGCTCGCCGCGGCAACTCTTATCAGACCCCCCCCTTTGACAAGTAGGACATCACTCCTGCAGCAACAACCGCCGCAACCCGTGTCGTCGCAACCAGCATTCATTAAAGTTAAAATGAAACGCAAAACCCAATACTTGGAGGCCGTATCCCTGGTCATTGCAGCTGCAGCCGCACGTGAATCCCCTCACACTCCCCTCTCCACCACCAAAGCAACCCACACCACCAACGCCGTCAAGCCATCATGACATATAAACTACGAAGTAGCATGAGCGATGGTGCCGGAAACTGACGTTCCTCTTTCGCACCCATCGGCCTAACTATTTGCGGCCCGGAATTCGAGCGCCTCACTTTGAAGCGCTTCTCGTGTCGTTGCGTATCCACACATTTGCCCACTCATTGTGGCAAGTGCTAGTCAGTCTCGTGGCTGACGAAGTGTGTCAATCTCCAAGTCCAACCCTCCATGGCATTTCATTTCCACATTACCCTGCCACCGAAGCCCTCCTCTTCGCTTCGTTCCCCAAACTTGCGTCCATCTTGTCATTGACATAGCTGCGTCTCTCCCTGTTAGCTTTGCGCTCCTACCTGGTGACACGGCCCGCAGCCTCCCTTTCTTCCCTCCGTGCGTGTCTCCGAAAGTACGGTCCTCGTTGTCGTCTCAGACGGACACGAAGACGCAGCAACTGCCGCGCTAGCTTGTCCAATTTCGAACCACCCACCACCGAGGGAAACAAACTTTGGCCGATTCGGCGTGTCGCGCGACGACTCGGTAGCGAATAGTGTTTTCAAATCTTGACCCTTCTCCAGGCGGTCGAATCCAACAACTCTCACCATTTCCTACTTCGTCTAGCCATTATTCCTCACCTTCGTCCCGCCGGCATTTAGTTGCCGTACTGTTGCATTCACCAGCGACGATTTGCCTATTTCGGGTCCGACCCATCCGACTTGTGACGACATCGATCCAACCCGCCAAACATCTTGTATGACAAGAATAATTCCATCTCCGAGTCAAGCCAAATCATTATCTCAAGGCTCGATATATGTTTCTCCTTTTACCAAATTCTCAAAAATCAACCCCTACACTCCTCTACATGACATAGCGAATCCTCCCTGTAACCATGTCCACAACAGAACCGCCGCCTGCCACGGCGACGGCCTTTGCCACACCGGCACCCAGCTCCTCGCCGCCTAGCACTCAAATGCCACCCGTTACCTACGTCATAATCCCGCTCGTAACGCTGGCCTCGGTCTTTCTCATCGGCTTCTTCGCGTATGTGCGCCGGCGCCACAGCCGGCGTTTCGAAGCAAGCAGTGCCGGCGACGGCGGCGAGGCTCAGATGCAAGAGCGCCGTCGCAACGACACGGACGCGGCCGACCGGTGGCCCCCAGCGAGTTTAGGCCTCAACTGGTGGTTTTTCCGCTCCAACGAAGGTCTCAATGAGCTCGGCGAGGCACCGCCACCGTACGACGTCGAGAGGCGCCGAAAAGCCGCGACAGAAGGAAGCGTCGACGCAACAGACGAGGGTGCGGAGCCGAGAAATAGTGTACTAGAGGAGAACGAAGACCGCGAGTCGAGACACAGCAGCGATTCAACACGAGAGCCGCCAAGACATAGCGAGGAAAATATAATACGAAGACCAAGCAGCCGGGTCAGCAGACGGATCATCGAGGAACAAAGACACAGCGCGGGCCAGCAACCACGCCGCAGCCAGGAAGACTCACAAGCGACAACACCTGAAGAGCAAATACAACATACACAAAGTAGCGAAGAGCAAGAACAAGAACCACAAGAACCCACTCGTCCAATTCGCCTCTTTGACGAAACGCCATCCGAAGCCCACCGTTCCGCACTGCCGGTCTCCTCATCTTCCTCCCAGGAGCTCCCCGGTCTCAACAGCAGCCCCCGCCGCCAAACCGCCGAGGAGATGGCCGCCATCCTGGATGCCCGGTGCCTCCGCAACCGGCAGTGCCGCCGTGATCACGAGGAGGCTGCCGCCGGTTCCTCCTCCCCAGCGGACATCTGCAACACCGAATTCTTCCACACCCCGTCGCCATCGGCGTCGCCCTCGCGCAGCCGGCAACGGCGCATCGAGCGGCTCAACCAACGCCTGCGGCGCCTCGGGTACGCCACGCCAGACAGCAGCGAGCACTACGGCTCCCAGCTGCGCGATATGGAGGACGGTGCCGCGCCGCCCGACTACGAGCGCGCACCGGTCGTGGCCGTGCCGGCCCCTGCGCAGCTGCCTCCGCCGCTCGCGGCCGACGCGCCCCCGCCGTACCCGGCGCCCGTCGTGCGCCGACCCCAGTACCGGTACAGGGCCGGTGACCCCCCCATGGTCCGGCAGACTCTGTACGAGCACTTTCCGCATCATAATTACCTCTTTATGCCCCCTCTCGAACATGACTACCTGGTCACGAGCTACTCGGCATCGCTCCACTCGCGGTTCTAAGACGGCAGCGGAGACAGGGTGTGGCTTTCTAAGGTTGGAATTAAGCGTTGTATTTGAATATTTTATTGCTTGGCATACTTGGGAGTTTTTGTTTTGGTGGTTCTTGGATATATATTTTTTATAGGGCGCTGCGGCGTAGTCTTGGGAGGGTTTGGGGGGCACTACCCTACATCATCCTGGAGTACCGGGGGCCAGACTCATCGTGGCCTGCTTTGTTTTCTCTTGCATATAGCAGTGCCTATCAATAATGTATACAATACATGTGCTGCGCTGTTGACTTGCGCTGGTTAGAATCACCACACGTTATTGTGTGATACCTTTATACGACCACGAGTCACCAGCCACTCAAGGTCGCACAATACTAGTGAAAATAGTGATCCGTATGAACCTCTACTCCGATCCCATGGCTAAATAGCAAGCTGTACGTACTTTACATATGCGGTGCAGAAAAAGCTGATTCCGTCCACCTCATACTGTCCAGTGACACCCATACCCAATGTCGCATATATTCGTTTACATGAGGAGACGGTTAGTCTCTCCATTCGTCACCGCCGCGTACGCCAGGCGGCGTTGTGCCAGAAGACTGGCCACGGAGAGGGGCATCCTCTGGCTCAGCATCGTCGTCGAGGGCTCTGGCGAGATCGTCGGGGTCCTGCATCTTGGCGTCAGGATCGACAGCCTCATCCAGACCCTGCGAGGCCTCGGCGCGCTCCTCGTCCTCAAAGATGCCCTCGTCGGCGCTGACGGATATGCCGCGGGACCCCCACTTGGGCCGGGCGCCGCCGCGCTGCTGCTGGTCATTGTGCAGGGCCGCCTCCTCGTCGTCGTGCTCCTCGTTGTGGTGGCCGAGGGTGCGGCCAAAGATGCGCTGGACGAGCCAGCCGTTACGCAGGTCGTCGGCGTCGACGACGCCGCCGCCGCGGAGCTTGACGCGCTGGCGCGTGTAGTAGACCCAGGCAAAGTCGGCGTAGAGGGCCGTCTGGATGATGCCGAAGATGACGGACAGGGCGTCGGGCTTCAGCTCGTCAAACATGCGCACGAACCAGTTGAGGCAGTACAGGGCGCGGTAGGAGCCGAGGGCCAAGAGGTAAAACGAGTCGATGACGGTGGGGACAGTCGTTTGGCGCAGCAGCAGAAGCTGGGGCAGGACGCAGACGGACTCGAGAATCTCGGAAAAGGACCACATCCACTTTGCGTGCGCGCGCGCAAGGTTAGCAGGCTTCAAAAGCCGGTCGCGGGAGAGCAGAGAGTGCTCGACTCACCGAGAGGAAGCTCCATTTGATCTTGGGCAAAAGGACGAGCATGGCGAACGGGGAGAGGGCCGCGGCGCCGCCGAGGATTATGGCGCCGAGCTTCCAGGACAGCTCGCGTTCGCGGGAGCGGGGATAGACCCATTGCATGACGCCGAGAATGTAGAACGAGGTGAGGATGTAGGTGATTTTGAAGATGACGTTCCACGCGGAGCCCGTGTGGAAGAGGTCGAGGTAGCGGGTGCAAAAGACGAGGGCGTAGAGAATCTGGGTGATGAGGGAGACGCCCTCGGCGCTGCGGTTGCTGTGGATGGAGAAGATGAGGATGCCCTTGGACGCCATGTGGCTCAGGTCGCCGAGGATGCGGAAGATCTAGAAAGAGGACGGGTTAGCCAGGAGGGTGCCAACTTGACCTGTCTGGGGGGGGGGGGGGGGGGAGGCAGATTTGACTTGCGTTCCAGGCACCCATGATGTCGAGAGGCGTCGGCAGCCACGCAATTTGGGAGTTGTCAAGATGGAGGGAGCTGGACGGTCAAGATGGCCAACGTCCAGACGTGCGGTATGATGGCGATGGCGATGGGGGAAAGGGGGAGGAGGAGGAAGAAGACGAGAAAGACAGTTGGCTGCGTCACCTGCGACAGCTACCTATCATGGAAGAGGAGACGCTGGCAGCGAGGCTGCTGGAGTGGAGCCTGGACGAGGCCCCCCCAGGGTGCAAAGTCGCGGGTTGCAGTGCAGTAGTGCCACTGTAGCCGTAGGTAGTGGTGACGGCACAGCTGCAGCTCGGTACAGGTACCTTGTTTGGTGGGTAATGGCAGTAAGAAGGTACACGTAAGTCATGGGTACAATACCCTTTGAATATTTTTAGCAGATCGCAGGTGTAATACGGAGGTAAAATGGGGAAACAATACCGTAATTAATATGGTAAAACGTGAATTTTGTGGCCGTGTCGACCACTCGGCTCGCCTACCAGTCCCGGCTCCAAACATGTCTCGGGTCAGCTAGTTACAGATGACAGGTAGTTCAATATATCAATTGTCAAGAATCGATAATAATCGTTAATCCGTACAGGCCTAACAGAAATCGGCATCCCAACTACCCAGTACCTGGATCATTAGTTATTACCATGCTTCCACCCACATCTTGCTTCAGCTCACACCCAAGCTGCTCCTTGCCAATATGCCACAATCTACCGACACCTAAACTGCACCACCGAGCAGGATTTGCACCTCGCGTGGCACCTCATCGACAAGCAGCTTGCCTTGCATGCCTCGCTTTAGGTGGTGCTCGAGGTCCTCCCTCTCGGCTTCCATCAGCCGCCGCTCGCTCTCGCTGTCGCCCAGCACCATGGCATTTCCAAAGTTGGAAATAAATGGCACTATTTACCACAAACACGTTAGTATACGCAGTACTTTGCAGGCAACTCATACGAAGTACGAACCGCCTCTGCCGCCGGGCCTGCCGTAGCGGACGTAAATGTTGCGAATCCCAGGCTTGGGCCACACCGCCAGGTTGACGTTGGCGCGGTGGTGAATGCCCTCTTCGTGCAACTGCGCGAGGACGTCGAGAATGTCCCGAATCAGCGCGTCATCGAGGTCGCTAAGCTGCACAGGCGCCAGGCCGGGAATGTACTCGAGCAGCAGCGCATTCTGCGTCTGGCCTTGTGCCGCCGCCGCCGCCGCCGCCTCGACCACGTCGGTCCATGCAAACCCGTAGTCGTCAATGTTGGTAGGGACCGCCAGGTAGCCCAGGCAGCGCGGCCAGCCAAGCTTGGGCTTGAGCGCCGAGAGCGTGTCGACAAGACCGTCGGCAGCCTCTTGCGCGCTGCTGTAAGTGACGGGCCTGGTAAGCTTGGAGTAGGCCTGGACTTCGTGGCGGAAGGTTTCTTGGTTCTTCGTGTCTCGAGGGAACTACTCGGAATAACCTTAATACAACTCGTTCTTGTCCAGAGGGTTTGCAACGTACCGTCTTCAGTACACATTTGCCAGCGCTTCGGGCGGGTCGTGAGCTGTCCGTCTTGCGACGCACCTCGACAACATACAAGCTCGGCATCTCCGATCGGCCATCTTGCAGGATATCAACCAGCTTGAGCTCGATCAAAGAGCCGAGATTGACAATGTTGTCGCTGGGAATTTGCTGCTCTTTGGCCATGGTAATCGAGATGAAGAGATGAATGCTGATTTCACTGCCCATTTACACACACTTTTGCAGGGCTTTTATACCTTTTCCAGTCCCCATCCGTCCCGATACCGCAGCATCGGGCCTGATGGCTCATGGTCGGTGTTTGAAGCTCTCGCGATACTTGCTTCACCGCATTACTCTAGTTTTTGGTGGTGTTTTGTGAATTAGTGCACATTTTACTGGTTGCTTCCGCTAGGGCCATGGCAACAAGCCTCGTCTCAGCCTGCCCACAACGCTGGAGCCTGAAGTTACAGTGGCCAGGGCAAGCTAGCGCCGGCTTTAAACGCGTCACTGCATCTCCATACATCCAGACCGCGTCTCACAACGTTGCCGTCCAGCCCAGCATCATCAACGGCAGACACGGCTTTCCAATGGTTATCATCTGACGAGTTGCGCGCGACTCTCTCTTGCTACCATGGAGACAGGTTCGCCACTGCAAATCATTATCCCAAGTCAGAGCTAACTGTTACCTAAGGTCAGGACCGCGCCGAGCGCTTGAATCAACGTCTTCGCGGCGCTGGGTACGTCTCTCTACGGTCCCGTTTGCCACCCATGTTCTAACTCCGTGCCCAGCCGAGCCAACGTCGGAAGCGACGACTTCAATCTCGACATTGAGGGCATCGGCGAGCCGTTTACGCAGCCCAGCTCCTCCCCCGCCTCCGCGGCTCGACCAAACGCCCAAGCAGCCCAGCACAGTCCCGAGATCCCTTCCGCACCCCAGGAGCCAAACGAGCCCGTCACCTCGCCGAGTATACACCAAGCGCTTATACAAAGCCCGCCACGGCCCGCGCCGTACGATGAGGAAATCACCGAAAGCCCAGCGCACGCCCCCGGCAGCGGACACCGTCGCCGCCTGCCCGTGCAAGAAGTCTTGGCCGGCGCGGCGCGCATGAGGAGTGCCCTCGAGCCGGACCCGATCCAGCCCATTTCGCTTCCGCCCCTCCGTCGGCCCCCTCGCCAGAGCCAGGCGCCCTCGCCCACGCGCAACACTCCCCCGACCCCAGCCGGCCCGTCTGGCGACGATGAATCCGACGATCCGCAGCTGATGCCCCCGCCGAGGGTGCCTCAACCGGCACCCCGACCACCTCCTGCGCCAAGCCCCGTCGCAGAGTCCCCCTCCCCCGAGGCGGAGGAGGCGGAAGAAATCGGCGACGACAGGGCAGCCGCGACGATTGGCCGCAAGAGACCCCGCGTGAGCTTCCAGCCGCCGCCGTCCCCCGAACTGGGCTCCGAGGAGGATTCCGACACAGAACCCGCCGAGGAGCGCCCCGCGGCCAAACGGCCGCGCCCACAGCCGGCGGCGCGGCGCGAGCCGGCGGCGCAGCGACAGCCCAAGAGGCGCAACGCGGCCGAGGGCGGTGCGGGCAAGCGGCGCGGGCGTCCACCAAAGGAGTCGGCGCGGCAGCGCTCCCACGGCGGCATCCGCGCAGGCAGCGCCGACGACAACGTCATTGAGATTACGGTGCAGCGCTTCGTCAACGGGCCCGACGGCGCCGAGAGCGACGACGAGGGCGGCCAGACCGAGGCGGCCCTGGCCAACCGCAACAGCGAGACCGTCGTCGACGTCTTTGCGCAGGTCTGCGACGAGGTCATCTCTACGACTCTCGGCAAGTACGAGTACCTGCGCCAGGAGACGCAGGACGAGGACAAGAAAAAGGACTGCCGCATCAAGATGCGCGCCATTGAAGCGTTTCGTGAAGAAGTCAGCGCCCAGCTTCTGCAGCATGTAAGTAGACGATGTTCCATGGTTTTTTTTTTCCCGACTCGTCTTTGGTTGCTGATAAGAATATTTTTTTGACTAGTCTATTTACTTGAATCACTGGTACTCGCTACGGAAGCGAATTCGCCATGTGCAAAAGGAAAAGCTGGAGCTGCGACAGGAGATTTTGCGTCTCAAGGCGGAAAAGGAACAGGTCGCGCTTCGCATGGACGGCGTTCGGGCGCGGAGCGAAAAGGACGGCAGCGACTCCAAGGTACGTGGCTTGACTTGACCACGTATTTCCCTACGAGCAATCACCCTAACGAAAATGTGCAGCACCGTCTGAGTGCGTCCAACCTCATGCACGATATTGACCTGGCTGTTGAGCAGGGCCGCGACGCCGCTGATCTGTCCTCGCGAGCCCGCAAAGAAGCCGAGCTGGGCAACCTCGAGCTTATCATCTCCCAAGTCGCCCAGCAGGCGAGCAGCAACGGCCCTACCGGTGGCCTACTACACCAGATCCAAGACTTCAATGCCTTTCTGGAACGCGCCGCCACCGTACTCGAGTCAAGGTGATGTGAATTAGCAACTTGTTATATTTTTTATTGGAAAAAACGCCTGCCCATGCCCCAACTGGGTTCTACCGTCTAGCTGAATTTGGCCTTGCTAAAGTCCATTTCGGGGTGCTGCGCTTGGAACTTCTTGAGAATGTCCGCCTTTTTCTGCTCGTCCGACGAGGGCAGGCCCTGCTCCTTTTGACGCTGATCAAACATCATCTTTTCGACCATGCCGCGCGTCTGGCCGTCGAGCTCCGACAGCTTGGAGTTTTCCGGCTGGATCTTAGTCACGTCAATCATGGGGGCGTCCGTCACGATGTGTGCCCACCACTCCATCTTGTTGACCTTGTCGAGGTGAATCTCGGCCGTCTTGGTCCCGTCCGCGTTGGTGGACAGTGTCCAGGTCGAGTCATCTACGAGGATGGCATGGGGGAGGTCGCCCTGTTGATAGTTAGCTTCAGGCGTCATCGGCGGTGCAGTTAGCGGGGCACGCACGTTGATGATGGGCTCTTGGCCCTTGATGCCGGCAGTGAGCTTGAGCTTCTTGATTTCCACCACGAGATCGCGCGACTTCAGGTTGCCGGGAACGGTGAAGTTGATGTCGAGCTCGCCAATGGTCTGCGTCCACTTGTACGGCAGGGCGGCCTGCGCTTCGAGCTCGGCGGCGCGGGCAGCAGCGTCTTCGGCCGGTGAGGGGTCTTTTTGTTCGTGTTAGCGACTATTTCGAGAATGTGCAAATGCAAGAGTCGTTGAGGGGACAGTTTTGTCCGTCTACACACCTTTGTCTGCCATGGCTTCGGAGTTGGTCTGACGTGAATGAATGGTGGAAGTGGAAGGTAATCGAAGCCGGAAAGCTCAAGATCTTGGAGGGGCAACGGCCCCACTAGCCGGGCTGACCAATGTAACACGGTTAGCATCTGTGGCATGGTTGATGATGGAATGATATTGAATGAATAATAATGAATATCATGCGGATTGTCAACAAGGAACTGCAGATAAAAGGAGTGATTTCATGCTATCGTGTAATTCGTTGCTGATTACCAAGATTGCTCGGGGTAAGGACCCGAGGCAGATGCTGTTTCTCTGAGTTGTCATGGAAAGGAATAGTGTGTGACCACAAAGCTACTAATCGGAAGTTGCGGTATTTTAGTACCTATGTATTGCTCGAATTTTAGAACCAAGGTTATTGGATGCTTTGGAATCATGCGCTGGTCGCGAATGTGAGTGAATCCGGTAGTGGCAAAAGTGGACCATATCTCTTCCTGCACACCCCAGCCTCGAGCTTCACTTCCACACTGCAACAAACACCGACCACGGCGAGACAATCGCAGCAGCCGTCCTGGTCCACCACCCAAAACAGGACGCGTTGCCTTCACCCACCAAGCACAGGAACTCGGCCGTCGACGCCTACGAAGCTCTGACCCTCTACACAGGCGACCAGCAACCATGGCCGTCTCGCTGCGGCACTCGTCGGCCACCAACGGCAACAGCGCGGCCGCGCTGGACGGCGACGACGAGGCGTGCCCCGTGTGTAAGACGACACGGTACTTCAACAAGGACATGGAGTTTCGCATCAACACCGAGTGCTACCACCGGATGTGCAAGACGTGCGTGGAGCGCATCTTCAAGGACGGGCCGAACCAGTGCCCGTACGCGGGCTGCCACAAGACGCTGCGGCTGCGCGGCTTCAAGGCGGCCTACTTTGCCGACCTGGGCGTCGAGCGCGAGGTGGACATCCGGCGGCGCGTCGCCGCCGTCTTCAACCAGGCCGAGGACGACTTTGACGGGCTCGCGAGCTACAACGACTACCTGTACATGGTCGAGTGCCTGACCGACGACCTGACCAACGGCGGCGACGCGGCGCGCGCCGCCGCCGAGGCCCGCCTCGCCGACTACGAGGCCCGCCACAAGGCCGAGATTGAGCGCAACCGCCGCCTCGCCAAGGAGTCGGACGAGGCCCGCCAGCGCCGCCTGGCCGCCGAGCAGGAGAGCGCGCGCCAGCGCCGCCTGCAGGACCTGCGCGACGACGCCGACGCAAAGACGAGCGCCGCGCGCTTCCGCGAGGAGATGCTCGACTCGCTGCAGAGCGCCGATGTCGGCCACGCCGCCGCCGCCGTCCACAAGATTGTCCTCAAGAAGCGCGGCCAGCAGCAGCAGCAGCAGCAGCACCAGCGGGCCACGCTGGATTCGGCGGCTGGCGGCGGGCTGTCGATTCGCGGCTTGCGCGACAAAAAGGCCGCCGCCGCCGACGCCGCCGCCGAGAGCAAGAAACCGTACGACCCGTACGGCGGCCTGGACCTGACGACGCAGCGCGTCGACTTGGCGCCGGCACAGCTGCCCCAGTACACCAGCGAGTGGCTGGATGTGACCCGCTCCAAGCACGAGTACACGGTCGGCGGGTATAGTGCTGATGAGTACCTCACGCGCGCGCTCTTTGAGGCCTTTTCGGGCCTGGGCGTCTTTGTGGACGAGGAAAAGGAGACACGGTAGGACGGGGGCGGGTGCCATGGGATTACATGATCCATACAAGGCAGGAGAGGTTTTGGCTGTTGGGAAATTCTGCATATCGCAAGGCGTTTAGATTAGGGGTGTTTCCGGAGTCGTTCATACTTTTAAGAAATGGCGTTTTTTCATGTATAGCCAAGTTATTGCTACAAAATAGCTTGCCACAGGACAAAAGTTGGATGCTGGCTTCAAATATCATCTACCATGTTCTCTTACGACTCTCAAATGGTACTCTGTTGGTTAGACGTGATGCATATTTATGTTCCTGAAAGAGTATAGTAAACGTTAAATATACATCGTTTTTGTTCTTTTTACACGTCCAGCCTCGGGATGTAAACAATGCAACCTGATAACATGCTGATAACATGTCTTTTACTCTCCTGCATCGGAGATGATCGGAGATGGATGGATTTTGGCGCCTGACCAATTCCATCAATCCTATAGCCCAAGGAAAGAAGAAGGAAAAAAGGGGAAAAAACGCCGCGCTGTTGAAAAACAAAAAGAAATGCAGAGAACAGAGTGAAGAAGCGAATGTGGAAAGATGAACCGTCTCATTGCTGCCAGGGAGACTGCTGCGTCGGGCGAGGGAAGACGGAAACAGTCTGCAACTGGTCGATGCCGCCGCCAATGGGCGCCTGGTTGTGTTGCCAGCCCATGCCGGTTGTGTGGTTCACGAAATCGCCCTGGCGGAAAGGATTGGTAACGCCCGTCGGCTGAGGAGCGAGCGCACCAGCCTGCTGCTGCTGCTGACCGGGCATTGCGGGCATTGGAGGCAACTGCTGCTGCTGCTGCTGAGGCGAGTTGCGAGCAAACGGGTTGGTTCCTGTGGGCGTGGCTTGCAGCGGAGCAGGAGCCTGCGATTGGAACGGCGAGTTGTTGTTAGGTGGTGAGACAGACTTGGCAAAGGGATTTGTTGACTGGCGATTCAGGGCGGGAGCAACGAACCCCGTTTGCTGGGGCTGTTGGGGTTGGGGTTGTTGCTGCTGCTGCAAAGGTTGCTGGTTCATAAAGTTTGGCACGCCGGTTGGTTGCGCCATCATCATCGATTGTCTAAACGGGTTGGTGGTGCCAGTCTGCATGGGAAGCAACTGTCCAGGAACTTGTTGCTGCTGCTGCTGCTGCTGAGGCTGCTGCATGAAATTCTGGCCTTGAAAGTTGGCCGTCGTATTCTGGGGAATGGGTGCTAGAGAGCTGGGTTGGAAGTTGTTCTGCGGTTGCGGCGTGAAGCCTCCGAAACCCGCTCCGGTAAAGGTTGGCTGGAGAGGTGCAGGCTGCGGCTGCGGCACCTGTTGCTGGAACATGTTTTGCTGCGGCTGGAAAATGTCTTGTTGCTGCTGGAACTGATTGTTTGCGAGAGGGAAGGTGGCGGCGTTGTTGATGAACCCAGTGGGCTGGAGATGGAGCTGTTGCTGAGGAGGCTGGAACATGTTCTGCCCCGGCGCGCTGGGCTGTGTGTTTACCTGCATAGTCGTCTGGTTCTGCTCGATGGAGCCGAAAAAGTCAATGAGGTCAGGGTCTGGTCCCTTGGCCGCCGGCTTGGGCGCATCCTTGGGTGGTGCGGGGAAGGGGTTGCTCGAATTCTGCGCGCTGCTTGCCCGGCCTGTGGGTGATCGTGGCGGTTTGGGAAGATCAAAGGCATCCTTGGCCTTTCCCCCCTTCTTGAAGTCCTGCTCGGCGAGGTACTGCCGGCGCTGAACCTCAAAGTCAGCATCGTTCAGGTATTCTTCCAATTGGCGGCCGAGGTTGACGGGTGCGTGCGTGAGCTTGGGAACTTGGACACCGGTGCGGTACTCGTATTGGCGCGCAACAGACAGATACTGGACGACGTGGTCGGTGTACTTGGAAAAGTTTCTATAAATTTCCATGGCCCGCTCGGCATCGGTTTTGGACATCTCAAAGAACCGGCCGAGGATGTTGATGAGGCCCTGGTTGAGGCACTGGAACAGGGCTAGCAGGTCTAGCACGAGCAGTTTAAAGATGGAGATTGTAATGTCAGTTTCGCCTTCCGAGTCCAACACCTTGGCCAGGTTAGCGATATCCCGCACAGAGCAAAGGTGGTCCATGGAGAACTTACATCACACTTGACCAGGGCGGCCAGTTGGTGCAGTACCGTCTCCGTTTCACGAAGGAGACCCTTGTCGACGCTCAACTTTTCCAGACGCCCGTCGCCGGACCGACACCAGTCAATTTTGGTCTCGCGATAGGCGCGCGCTCGTTCGGTGAGGTAATTGGCGTAGCGCCGAATGTTCCGGCCCTGTGTCTGCGCTGCGCAATTGTTAGCGTTGGACCGACAGCCAAGACAATCGAAGAGCAAACGTACCATCTGTGAAGCTGCTAATGGCAAGCATGTTCCTGTGCTTGGAAAGATACGCGAGGGTGACTTCCTGTGCTCCCTCGCGAATCATCAGGTGGGCGGTCAGGAGACCCTTGAGCACAACGGTCCATGTCGAATCCCTCAGTCGGTAGTGCATGGCCCGAAAGACCTCACCGACGCCGGCCTCCCCCGAATGCGTAGCAATCAAGAGATGCTCGATATACTTTGCTTTTGGTGGCGCATTCTGCGGACGCGCGCTGTCAGTCAATTGTCTGGTTTCGTCACCCGGTCTGCCACGAGTGCCCGCAGCGGCGCTGGGACGGGGCGGGCAAGTAGGGGACCGGCCTATGACGGCATACCTTGATCTTGGTTGCGCCCTTGACGGACTTTTCGAATGAGCTAGACATGATGACGGGGCGGGATGCTAGAAAGCAAGCGCCTTGAGCAGCGACAGAGCGGACAGGATGCAGCACCCTGGAAGATGAAGATGTTGTAGCCAAACCTTGGAAAGTCGAAGGTTGGGCTCCGCCACGCAATGGTATGAGGTGGCGGCTGGCCCAGTCAGTCAGTGCTGGCCCAAATGGATCCGAACCCTGGCGGTACCGCGGCTGGCGAAGTTACAGCGAGTTACAGGGGCTGAGATGGTGGAAGAGAGCCGACTCCAGCGCTTCCACCAGTTCGCGTCATGCCATCGCCGCGACCCACTCACTGGAAATACATGGGACGTAATAATGAGTACCTACGAGGGTGATGGAATAATTTTGAAGCAATTTACACCGACCCGTGGTCAATGACAGTATTCATCATTCGAGGCTTCGGGTAAATGGTACTCGATCCTGCACTCAGCCGACTGATTGCACGTCTTGAAAGCCGTACACACACGAAGGAAAAGCCATTAGGTAGGACCTCATGCAAATGTTGCAAAATAGCCGTGATATATTCGACATGACATACAATACAATATAAATATTTGTCTAATGTTCCTTACCTGGGGGCAGCCAGCCGGACTCAGACTTCTGATCAGCTAGCGAAGGCGTGGTTCAAGGCAACTGTTCACTCGAAGCGGTCTGTTCACTTGAACAACACCAGCCAGACACGTGCCATAATAGCTTCTGCTATGCCACTGCATGCAGAAATCCTTTCCATTCTATTGAGTCAGAGTTTTTTATCATCGCGTCCGATGGTGTAACAAGGTCGTGTCGAACGCCCATTTCAAAATACCAAAACCACCGTTAAACACAAACCCTTGAGCTCCGAAGAGAGAGTTTGTAGAATCGGGTTGGCTGGCATCTGCATCATATTATACACGCGGTTCTCATCATCTGCGAAAGACTGGTTAGTTCTGATCTAGGCGGTTCGCTTGCGCGTGGCAGATACTCACATTTTTTTGAATGGAAGGTTCATGAAGAGAAGAAAAACCCAAAAAGAGCCAGCGTCGCGCGAGAAGATTTATATGGGGCGCGGGGCTCCCCCGGAGTTTTGTCGGCGCGTGTTTTGGCGGCACTTCAAGGCACCCAGGCACGTTGTCCGCTGTAAAGTTGGACCAGCGTCGCCGTGGGGCGCATGCTATTCTTGTGAACTGGACAGCCAAGCTTGCCAACGATTCGGCGACGAGCCATTGGGTACCATGATACGGCTCAAGCCTCTCTCAAGAAAGGCTTCGGCCTTTGTTTGCCAAAGACGTATCCCGCAAACCACAATACGAATGGCTAGCTCTATATCAGCTTCCAAGCAAGCCAATCTCCTTCAGACGTGGAACAAATGTACGCAGTGCGCAGCTTGACCGACGAACGACTCTTACAATTCAGTTGAACAGATCGCGGCGTGGACCTCCGTAGCGAAGCTGAAGCTTCCAACTCGTGCGTTGGTTTTCTCGGTAAAAAGCGAACGCTCTCGAAACATCTCTCGTTTGCCGACCTCACAACACCCTCGGGCGACATCATACAGGTCTGCTCCAATGGCGAAATCGACAAAGATGCCCACGCAGATTTCCGGCAAATACCGGCTTTTAGCCCAGTCATTATTAACATCCGAGCTCCAAACGCAGAGGAGCAAGGCCGCGACAGCTCCGACAAGACGACAGTATATCTCGACGACATTCGCGCCCTCAACAGTGTCCCCAAGGAACTTATTGTTACGCCGGAAACTATCTTTCCTCAGACGAAGCGCCACCTGCAGATTCGATTTCATCCAGAAATCCAAGCCCGGCTCGAGTTTCGCTCATGGCTGAAGAATGTACTGCACCAGGGACTCGTGCAGAAAGGCTTCACGGACATTGAGACGCCTACGCTCTTCAAGTCGACACCAGAAGGTGCGAGAGAGTTTCTTGTTCCCACGAGGCAGCGAGGAACCGCCTACGCGTTGACTCAAAGTCCGCAGCAGTACAAGCAGGTGCTTATGGCGAGTGGCATCTCGCGCTATATGCAATGGGCGCGTTGCTACCGTGACGAGGACTCACGGGCAGACCGCCAGCCTGAATTTTCACAGCTCGATATGGAGTGGGCATTTGCTGGTGCGGCTACAGTGCGCCAGGATATAAACGATATAATCATGGCCGCGTTGACAGCACTCAAGCCTTCTTGCTATCAAGATATGCGGGGGGAGAGAATCCCTATGGTGCGCAAAATTTCAGCAAAAGAGGATTCTGGCTCCGAAGAAGCGCATCAATTCACAACTCTCAAGTTTGCAGAGTGCATATCTTCGTATGGCTCTGACAAGCCTGACCTGCGAATCCCGGGGCGCATTCATGCCATCAAGGACATGGAACCTTATCAAACCTTTGTTGGAATGATTACTCATCTGGAGAATCCCACGATTGAAGCCTTCTCCTTACGACTGACTGATAGCTCGCCGGAAGAGTCACGGCGATTCGTCATGAAGTTTATGGACAATCTGCCATCCGAACTGGGGGAGAACCCGGAAGGCAAGCCGCAGGTCCTCATCTTTGATTCCAGAAAGCCCCTATGCGGCTTCTCCTCAATTGGGTTCGAATATGAACCTCTAATTGATCACATTACCCAGGGAGAGGAACTCAACGATGGTGACCTAGTCGTGTTCCAAGCCCGAGAAACACCACAAGGACAGTACTGTTCGGGCTCTACCAAGATTGGCGATTTACGCATTGCGCTCTGGAAGGCGCTCATCGAGCAGGGCTACATGACAAAACCGCGCAACGGCGAGCCGGGCTCCCTCCAATTTGTCTGGGTCACCGAATTTCCCATGTTCAAGCCCACCGAAGAGAATGAGCCAGGCCAAGAGGGCGCGGCCGGCATCGCGGCATCCCACCACCCGTTTACCGCTCCCCTTTCCGAAAACGACCTCCAACTACTCTTCACCAACCCCCTCGATGCCAAGAGCGCCGCCTACGACCTCGTCCTCAACGGTGTGGAGATTGGCGGCGGCAGTGTCCGCAATCACGTCGCTGATGTGCAGGACTTCATCATGCGCGACGTGCTTCAGATGACGGACAAGCGCATCGCCGACTTTTCCCACCTGTTTGAGGTGCTGCGCGCCGGGTGCCCGCCGCATGCTGGCTTCGCCCTGGGTTTTGACCGCATGGTGGCGCTGCTGACGGACACGTCGACGGTCCGCGACGTCATTGCTTTCCCCAAGACGATGAAGGGCGAGGATGCTTTTGTCAAGTCGCCGAGCAAAATTACGGATGAGCAGCTTGCGCCGTATGGATTGCAACTGCGAAGAGCAAAGTAATGGGTGCCCCCGGAAGAGAGGTGATGAAACTGTATTATCTACTGTATATGATTGTATATTATAAAAGAGCTACATGCGTCTAATTGCATGCCCTTCGAATGGTCTACGCGTAGTTGTCTATCGCGAACTCAATTTCCCTGATCTCTGATCCATTGTCGCTTGTTCACCTATCCGCTCTTACGTGACAACTCTTACTTGACAAGGGGAGACTCACTTTGCGCAGTCTTATTATGCAACGCCACTCTCGGTTATTGCGCTGCAGGGATTTCCTCAACGTAATACCATCCGTTGGCGACTTGTTTACCGTCTGAAGGGGCTTGTGTTCGCTCAGGGCTTTGTATGCGGTTCGCTCTGCAGCCGGGCCTGGTGGTGAACATGTACGTGCTACCGTTCATTTGCAAGTGTCTCGTGACATCTGCCAAGCTTACACGAATAATTAAGGTAATAATTCGTCAATCTGACGAGAACTGGTTGGACCAGGCAAGGGCAACCCTGCGTGGGTCGGTCCGGTAGGCACAGCACAGCATATTTTACCTTGTGCTTCCGTGTGTAAAGCTGAGGCAAGCTGTAACAGTGTCAGACGTCAATAACACCGTTCGGGTTTCTTTTGCTTCATCCACGGCGAGATGGTTGATTGTGAACATTGTGAACCCGAACGCTTCGGCGTACAGAGCAAGTCTTTCCGGCGTCCAACGTGCCGCGAAAACCCTTCACTGTCACACGCTGCCGGTAATACGAAATGAACTGTGTGCTACCCAGGCGTTTCAATATCCGGGATATCCCGTGATCTAAAAAGAAAGGGCAAAAAAAACGTTTAAATATGCCAGTCCGCGACCTTCAGGATCGGTGTGCATTTTATGAACCCGGCCAAACTTCGGTTCCCCACACAGTCCAGTTCATGATGCTGCGGCAGGACCAGTGATTGCGACTCAGATTTACTCCCATCATCCCCTTTTAACTACATTGTCGGAAACGGTGAGGGAGCGCTCGTCGTTGTTGCTTGAGAGAAGAGGAACACTGTAAGCGCTTATCCCATTCTTTTTATTATTTGCACGGCGCGGCGCGCGAGACTCATGGTTGCCACGCCCTCCATCGGCACGCCAATACTTTTCTCATCCTTCCCCCAACGCGCGCGCGCCCGTGTCGCATTCACAACCGCGCTTCACTCGCGACGCAATCCACTCCCAGAACGCAAGCTTACCATTCGCAGTAAAGGAACCTTTCGATTCGACGAATCATCTTCCATCCTTTCCCCACGGAATTTAAGGCCTCGAAATCAAGAGACAATGTCCGAGGCAACGAAGCCAGAGGAGCCAATCCCGGCCGAGCAGCACGAGCAGCACGAGCAGCACGATCAAGACGGCGAGATGGCAGGAACAGAGGAGGTGAGCTACATGCCTCTCTGCGGGAATGCCCTGGCGTGACGCAGAAAGAGAAGAAGAAAAACGAAGAAAAAAGGAATAGTTTGCTTACGCAGCTGTTTTGCAATCGGATAGGAAGAAATCTCGGCCATGAAGCGTCGCGTGGCGGAAATGGAACAGGAGGCAGAGAAGCTCCGGGAGATGCAAGCCAGCCTGGAGCAGCAGTCAGCCAGCCTCGCCGACGACAAAGAGTCGGTCGACTCGCGCAGCATCTTTGTTGGCAACGTCGACTACTCTGCGTCGCCTGAGGAGATTCAGGCGCACTTTCAGAGCTGCGGCTCCATCAACCGCGTGACAATTCTCCTCGACAAGTTCTCGGGCCAACCGAAGGGGTACGTGTGACATATATTTTCCCAGCTGCAACCTCTGTGATTCTCTTTTTTTTTTCCTCGCAGGGCTTGTTGTGCTAACAAGGCTGCAGATATGCCTACGTCGAGTTCACAGAACCCAGCCTCGTCGCGCAGGCCCTTGTTCTCAACGAGAGCGTCTTCAAGGGCCGCAACATCAAGGTGACGTCGAAGCGCACCAACGTGCCGGGCATGGGCCGCGGGCGCGGACGCGGCGGCTTCCGCGGCGGCAGGGGCGGGTTCGGTCGTGGTGGCGGGTTCCCTCCCCGGGGCGGCTACCGAGGGGGCGGTCGGGGCCGGGGTCGGGGCTTCGCGCCTTACTAGCAGCAAGGAAATGGCATGCCCAGCTCCTTGCCCGAGTATTACGAATGAGGTAGGTAGGTGGTAAAAAACAAGCCTGCGCAAGGATCGAAGGGAGCAAACGTTGGACCCCTGGTCAGCATCGGCAGAGCGGTTTGTGTATTGGATTGGCTTTTTTTCGGCTTGCTTGGTAATGGGAAAAATGATTCCGTTTTTTAAAAGTGTACGAGCAAAAAAATGAAAAAACGCAGATATGGATATCCCAGAGCGAGAGGATTCATGTTGTTGAAGGCAATTGGAGGACTACTACCTACAGGGTCAATCGGGTGGTTTCTTTTTGGAGTTTGAGGTCTCTAACATCAACAGTAGTTACGCATGTGTTTACTATGTAATATTCACGGATGGTTTCTGGACTAGACGAGTGGTTATGCACCACGTCTTGTATCGTACGTCCATGTGAACGGCCTCTCAGTGGAAAGGGCCTTCGCTACCCTACAGTCTACTCAGACGGCGGCTAGATAAACAGACACGTGCAGACACGTGCTAGCTGCGGTTTGCGTAACGTGCCTTGGCGCTCTGCATGCCGAAAATAGCAGCATGCGGTTTGTGATGGAGAGAACGGTGGTGGCTCATGAATGCCAAAAATAGGAACACGGGGGGGGGGGGGATCGATTGCGTGTGGTTTGTGAATCCCGGGCGTTGTAACTCGATGGGATCTTCTGGTTGGGGACTCATACGACGCACGCCGGAGCCAGGAAAACGATGCGTCGACGTCGTCATCAGGTGAAGCGGTGGGTTGGCGGATAAGGCATGCATCAGGTCGGGGAAGAAGCCCCGAAGAGAGCTAAACCGGGGCCGTGGCGTAGATTGGTGGTGCCAGGAGCGGATAATGCGCCGTCGAAAGTTGCCTGCTCTTGGTGTGTTTTGTTGTTGTTGACGGCGGTCCTCGACGTGCGCGGGTTTGAGTTCTTGATGCAGGACCAGGGCGAAGTAACAAGGGCCGCGCGGGTTCTCTATCCGTGTCGGCACAGCCTTGCTGCAGCGCGAGCTGGTAGTCAGGAGTTAGGAGAGGTTGGCGACCAGAGGAAATGTGGGTGTCGCATCGCCGGTTACAGAAAGCACAGGTGTCGGTTTGAAGCTGCGCCAAGAATGCAGGAGTAACTGGTGAAAGGTGGAGGCTGACTGTGGCAAGACGATGAATGAATGAATGAATGATAGGTGTTTGGCTCATTGGTGTTGGTGTTGATGATGGATGTGCGTCGTGTTTGTGGCGTGCATTGGACGACGGGCGCTGTATCGGAGTGGACTCTTGACCTGTAGGTGCCCTCAGTACTTTCTTCAACAAGAAGATGCTGACAGTGTGTTGTCCGCCCTGTACCTATCAGCAAATCTGTCCACAGCGCTGCAGCTTATCCTGTCCCACCGCATCACGTGCCCCGCCTCCAACGGCACCTACAGTGATGCCACTGGCCCTGTAACTTTTAGTAGGTATCCCGCGTACGGGTATCGAAAGCCCCGCCACCGAGCTTCCCGCCTCCTGCGAAAAAAAGGTACCTCTTCGTCCCCTCCCAGCACCTGGCCCAGCCGCCGCGGCCGCCCGTCCCCCTCCGGCCGCCCTAATATTATTAACGACTACTAAACCTGAAGCGGGGGAAAGACGTCTCTCTCTGTGTTTCTCTCTCGCTGCTGCTAGTCTGTCGGGCGTTGCACAGCCTCATCATTCTCTACAGCTTGTCATCTGCTTTTGCACCCGTTGTCATCATATTACTCCTTCTCACCTGCTGTGTTGGCCGTCCACCGAAATAGAGGCCATATTGCTCTGCCCCTTGAACGCTTCCGCCCGCCCGTCGCTCGCCCGCATTGCGGCTTCTTGCTGTCCTCAATCTCCATCCACGTCTGGTCTTGCAGGTGCCTGGTGCGCTGCTCACCAGCGCCATCATGAGTTCGAGCCGAGCCGAGTCTGGCCTGCCCAGGTGCGTCGTCCAGCCCCCGTTTCCTCTTCGTCGCCATCATCTCCATCTCAAGATGCACTTTTCTTGTACTGACCGATGCCTTCCCGCGACAGCAAGCCCAATCTTCGAGTTACCAGTTAGTCGCCTGAGCCCGCCCTGCTCCGCATTAGAAATGCCCACGATACATGCGCACCTCGACACAACACCCAGTTGCTGACAATTTCATAGTCATTGCCGCCGATGGCCTTTACAAACGTGATGTGTTCCGTACAGACTCCCTCGCTCATCCCCTCCTCTTGCCTCGACATATGCGCTGACCACTTCTAGGCTTCCCCGATCCTTTCGCCGTCGCTACTGTCAATGGTGAGCAAACCAAGACTAGCAGCGTCAGCAAGAGGACGCTGAACCCATACTGGAACGAGAGCTTCGACTTGTATGCAACGCCCCCCTCCCCTGCATCACTTCACATGTCCTGCATCCTTTTCTATATGTCTTGTTTCAATTGTGCCAAAATCGCTCCAGCATCCTCTAACGCTTCAGCAGCCGCGTCAATGAGGGCAGCATCCTTGCCGTCCAGGTCTTTGACCAGAAAAAGTTCAAAAAGAAGGACCAGGGCTTTCTAGGAGTGATTAATATTCGCGTGGGAGATTTGATGCCAGATATCAGCCCAGATGCAGATGGTACGTTTCCATACCCCGGCCCACAATCGTTCGCGGCTAACCCATCACGCACCAGACCAGATGATTACGAGAGACCTCAAAAAGTCCACCGATAACCTCGTCGTCCATGGAAAGCTCATCATCAACCTTTCCTGCAACTTAAACACTCCGATCCGCAATGGACAGGGTTCCTCAAGTCGCCCTGCGGCGAGCGCTAGTACCTCCAATGTTTCTACCCTGTCCGCGCCGGCTAACGAGAATCGACCCGGATCATCCATGTCTTCCGCCAACGGCAATGGCCTTGCGGTTCCGAGCGGCTCTGGTCCTCCTCACCCTGTCAGTGCTGGCACGACGCCGGCTCCTTCGGTAGGCGCCTCGCATGCTCGACCGACCAGCCAACTCAGTCCGTTCGAGGACGCCCAAGGCCGCCTCCCTGCTGGCTGGGAGCGGCGCGAGGATAACCTTGGCCGAACGTACTATGTCGATCATAACACCAGGACGACGAGCTGGAACCGCCCTACTGCCAACGGTACCGGCGAGAGCCGCAACGAAACCACCCAGGCCGAACGAACCCGACATCAAAACAGAACTCTCCCTGAGGACCACACCGGCACCAGCTCCCCCACGATGCCTTCCGGCTCGCCGAGCAGCAGCCCCCCGCCTCCGACTGCCGCTGCCGCTAGCAACGCTGCCGCCATGATGCACACCGGTGCCACGAGCCCCGGAAGTGGCGAGCTACCGCCTCTCTGGGAACAGCGCTGGACTCCCGAGGGTCGCCCGTACTTTGTTGATCACAATACTCGTACCACGACCTGGGTCGACCCCCGTCGTCAGCAATACATCCGACTCTACGGCGGCCAGAATAATGCCAACGGCCAGATTCAGCAGCAACCCGTGTCTCAGCTCGGTCCTCTGCCCAGCGGCTGGGAAATGCGACTCACCAACACGGCTCGCGTATACTTTGTCGACCACAACACCAAGACCACCACTTGGGATGACCCTCGTCTCCCCTCATCCCTCGACCAGAATGTGCCCCAGTATAAGAGAGATTTCCGACGCAAGCTCATTTACTTCCGTTCGCAGCCTGCTATGCGCAGCCTCAGCGGCCAGTGCCACGTCAAAGTCAGGCGCTCTCACATCTTCGAAGACTCTTTTGCCGAGATCACACGTCAATCTGCGACTGATCTGAAGAAGCGTCTCATGATCAAATTCGATGGCGAGGAGGGTCTCGATTACGGTGGTGTTTCGAGAGAATTCTTTTTCTTGCTTTCCCATGAAATGTTCAACCCCTTCTACTGCCTCTTCGAGTATTCTGCCCACGACAATTATACTCTGCAGATTAACCCTCACTCCGGCATCAATCCCGAGCATCTCAACTACTTCAAGTTTATCGGCAGAGTGGTTGGCTTGGCCATTTTCCACCGACGTTTCCTCGATGCATTCTTCATTGGTGCTCTGTATAAAATGGTCCTCGGCAAGGCCGTAGCCTTGGCTGATATGGAGGGAGTCGACGCTGATTTCCATCGTTCTCTGCAGTGGATGCTTGACAACGATATCTCGGGCGGAATTTTGGAGCAGACCTTCTCCACCGAAGATGAGCGCTTCGGCGTCTTGACCACAGAAGACCTTATTCCCGGCGGTCGCGACATTGATGTCACCAACGACAACAAGAAGCAGTACGTCGACCTCATGGTCAAGTGGCGCATTGAGAAGCGCATTGCCGAGCAGTTCCAGGCCTTCAAGGAAGGATTCCACGAGCTTATTCCTCAAGATCTGATCAACGTTTTTGACGATCGTGAGCTGGAGCTGCTCATTGGTGGTATCGCAGAGATTGATGTGGACGACTGGAAGAAGCATACCGACTACCGCGGATACACCGAGTCTGATGAGGTTATTCAAAACTTCTGGAAGACCGTCCGCTCCTGGGACGGGGAGCAAAAATCACGCCTACTGCAGTTCACGACTGGTACCTCGAGAATTCCCGTCAACGGGTTCAAGGATCTGCAAGGTAGTGACGGTCCTCGTCGCTTTACAATTGAGAAGGCTGGCGAGCTCGTGAACCTGCCCAAGGCACACACCTGGTATGTTGCGTCTTCTTCGCGACAATATGTCGAGCTTCTTTAAATATATTTCGGCTAACAATATCTAGTTTCAACCGTATTGATCTGCCCCCATACAAGGACATGGAGACGCTGCAGCAGAAGTTGACTATTGCTGTTGAGGAGACTATGGGCTTCGGCCAAGAATAAAAAACGCCACATATGGCGACGATGGACCGGCTTGGGGTGTCGCAACGCCCAACCTCTCTATCCGGTTGTTTTGCCCATCCTGCTCGTTGTCTCCCCTCAACTATTTGTCTTTCAACGTTCTCTGCGCGCACAGAGCCTTGCATTTGGGTATATGATTTTGTGTCTTTTGTTCATATTGGTTTGAAATCGGTCTTGAGACCAGGTTATGCTTGGCGCCGGCGGTTAATGTTCTAGTATGAAAGCAGCCACGATGCTGCCAGCGAAGGGTTGGACGAAGCAGAAGAGAAAAAAAGGGGGAACCAATCAATGCCTGGTGTCAAGAGGGCCAGGAAAACGAGATCTAGCATCAATGCACCCGCATATGCAATTTGTTTTCGTCGTGGGATTTCGAACAGCCGAGACAAACTTGTGCTGAGTTTTGTTGTTGGGCACGAAGCATGCTGGGTCGTACTCTGTGGGTTTCGAACATGTTGCCCCCTTTGTTCCCACTAGACAATAGAATGGTATTTTCTTGCTTCTTCTTTTTTTCTGCTCTTTTCATTTGTGAGATATGAGATTGGTCATGAACAAACTGAAGCTGGTCCTGCGATATTTCACATTATCAGAGGGTGTGTGTGTGGGTGTGGTTGTTCATGCTGTTGAATGCTTTTCGATGGATCCTGCCTTGTTTTGTCATCCCTTTCTTGCCTGTCGCATTGTTCCTCGCATACCATACGTACAAACTAGGTAGTCATAGTACTATACTTTAATGAGTTATGTGTTCCCCTCTTCGTACCTACCTTGCACCTGGTGTTCGCACAGCATGTAGAATTGTACATTACAGTATATTGAGCAGCTCATCCTGCCGGGTTCTACCAGTACAGAAGGTGAAAAGAGGTTTGGGGCAGACAAACACAGAAACCCAAAGATAACCATTCCCCGCCACGCGTACAAAGGAAACGAAAGAATCAAATGCAAAGGTGGTTTTTTTTCTCGGCTCGTGGCCGCTTCTCCCCCGTTGTTGTTGGCACAGGCAAAATTCTAAATACACAGGTTTCCCCTGCCTGGCACAAAAGCAGGCATCTTGCAACACGCGCATTCAGTATATTCCTGAGCTCTCCCATATTGCCCTTGGAATACTCCCGAGGTATTTCGTGGCATAACCATTGTTTGTTTCGATTTTTTTGAGATTTCTTTTGGAATTGATGCCAAGAACCCCACCGTGTATTACCGGCGGTACCACATGCGGGTAATCTTGGTGTTGCGCATCTTGCGCTGGAGCTGGAAGATGCCGTACATGAGAGCCTCGGAGGTGGGCGGGCACCCGGGGACGTAGATATCGACGGGCACGATGCGGTCGCAGCCGCGGACGACGGAGTAGCTGTAGTGGTAGTAGCCACCGCCGTTGGCGCAGCTACCCATGGAGACGACCCAGCGGGGGTCGGGCATCTGGTCGTAGACCTGGCGGAGGGCGGGGGCCATCTTGTTGGTGAGGGTGCCGGCGACGATCATGACATCGGACTGGCGCGGCGAGGCACGGAAGATGATGCCGAGACGGTCCTGGTCGTAGCGCGGGGTGGAGAGGTGCATCATCTCGACGGCGCAGCAGGCGAGGCCAAAGGTCATGGGCCAAAGCGAGGACTGGCGGGCCCAGTTGGCGATGACGTCGAGTGAGGTCCTGGGAGGGTATTGGTTAGTTGAGGTGCGTCGCCCGAGTTATATGAAGGTGACGGATGTTCAATTGACGGAGGAGGGGAGTGTGGTTGGGGATCGCGCGGCGGACGCAGGGAATATGGCGGGCAACGTACAGGGCGTATTGGATGACACCCTTGGTGCCCTCTTGGCTGCCGATGGGCACTTCTTTGCGGGCCTTGGCGAGGCCGCTGGCGCCGTTGTGCGGTGTCAGCGAGGTGGCGTCTCGTTTCGAGCTGGTGGAAAGCGCGGCAGCGGCACGGAAGGGAACCATGGCGGTTGTGATGGGTTTGGCTACATCAAAAAAAATCAAACATGCGTCAGCGATCCAATCCCAGAAAAAAAAGCCTCCAACATATCAATTCGACGCGCGGGACGGCATACCTCGCAGGGCCATGGCGGCCGCCGAGCGGGTAGAGGCGAGCATGGCGGGCGGCGGGCGGATCGAGCGAAAAACGACCGCGGACAGAGAGGCCTTTCGGGGGGGCGGCGAGTGGCGAGACGGCAAGACGATGACGGGTGTTGGAAAAAAAAATGGCAATTGCCCTTGGTAAATCGTCTTCCAAACAATTGAATGCCGAAAGAGACGAGGATAGAGTGGAGGGGGGGTCAAGGCCGACGCGGAGGGCAAAGATGGGCTTGAGAAGGAGAGAGAGAGACCAGCTTGGTGCCCCGGTTGTGCGGACTGAGGCCAAAAGATGCGCGCCTCTGGGAATTTGGGGAACTCGTTTGGTATTGGCGGTGCTGTGATTGGCTGCGCTGAGACGGCGAGGTTTAGCCGGGTGAGGTAAGCGGATTGATCAAGTTGGCGTTACCACCATTCTCAACAGCGACACAATAACGTCGCAAATTATAGTATTAAATCATCACTTTGAATCTGATTTGCTATTTCCATCTTTTCCATTTTTGATTTTCTTTCTCGTTGTTTATGTCTTGGTGAATTGGGTTGTTCTGGTGGTTGAAAGTAGTGCGTCACCATTTAGTTAGTACCCGATTGGAAGCAAAGCAAACTAATACGCTACACGCGTTGACGATGTTTTAAAGAAGAAAGCGACGCAGAGAGGGGGGGTACGAGTACATCGAGTACAGTGTATCGTTACAATTGGCATTCACAGTCGTAGAAAGCAGTCCGGCAGAGACGTAAGGTGGCCTACCGAGGCCGTCGCTATGTTCTATTGAGTAAGAGCGTGTTATGACCAATTTACAAATATTTTTCAGATATAACATGCTTGCGTTGGCGAATCAATCTTGTCGGATTGATTAGTGGCGTTATTTCCAACCTGTTGCTACCCATGATACGAGACCTTGTTTTTTTATGCCGCTGTGTCAGCCGAGCTGTGCAGCTCGAAAAACAAGGACACAAAAAAAGAAAACAGGCAAAAAAAAGCAATCTGAGTATACCAGGGGAAGTAATCTCTGTATTGCGGACCGTGAATATCTCATTGACTAAAGAAAGCGCCCTTGGTACTGAAGTGAAGGCTCGAAAGAGCGCGTATGTATTAGTTGCCCAAGCACAGCCACATACTCGTAGTTACTACCAACGCAATACCATGTATTATGAAACATATCGTAGACTTGCATTTTATCATCAATATCAACTAGATTGAGACGGCATGGACTGGGGCTACGATCAGATAAGCGGCAATAATAAGGAAGCGTGAGTATTAGCTGCTTTTTTACGTAGCTTAGTTAGTTTGGCGAAGAAATGCACAAATATGGGCCTATTCATCGTGTATTATGAGCTGCAATCATGGCCCTACACAGCCGGGACGACACATCATGGACTAAATTTGTTGCAACTAGCTATTCGGATAACTAATTGCCCGAATTGCTTCGCTCAGTCAAATATTCAACCACATACAAGCGCGTCGCTTGCCAACCAGCTCGGTGATGCACTAGCAAGCGTTTCTCGATTCCACGCTAGAAACGAGGCCTTCGTCTGCTGTCTTGTGCTAGCGGCGAACCTTGACCGATACGGAGTAGCAGTAACTAAGGGTCAACTCTATTAGCAGGGCTAGCAAGGTTGTGAGAAACGGGTGCTAGAGAATTGTTGGCCGTGTCAATTTAGGTTGCACGCAACTGAGACAACTGTCTCGATAGAATGCTTGCAAAAATCCCCAAGCCGTTTCTGGGCGCTGCATCATGTATGTACAAATCGCGATATGGGTACAAGATAATGAATCATTGGAAAAGGTGACGGATGCGGCGGAGGATGCATGACACTGGATGGGGATGGTGCCGGGATTAGGCCACGAGAGAATAATGAGCCGAGACATGGCCAAGGTTGGATTAATGCATGAAGTTAATGCATTTCCTCTCCGCTCAAGGAAACACCCCAAGATGATACAGCCAAGCGAGAAGGTAGTTGCACAGTATGAATTCCCTGGTAACGATGATACTGGCATGAACCTTGCACAGTATGGTTTTCTTGGCAAGAAAGGAGTTCTTTCAAGATGATACTGGTACAGATATCGAAACCATCAGCGTTGCGGCTGGTTGCAATGAGCTTTTGACTGGCTCTGTTTCAATGTGTGACTGTACTGCCAAGACCAGGACAGTGCGAGCGCTGTTATCACGACACTTGTTTACGGTGCGAATAAGGGGCTCCTTTTCCGGTTGTGACCGTATGCATGTACTCTTTATGACAACTGTTGAGAACCAAGGTTGGTTCATTCGCTCCCCGTCCTCAGTATACTGGTCCAAGTAAGCAACTGCCAGGATGTCAAGGATGTCAGAGGGATCGACTGTTTCGATCCAGAGATGACTATGTATGTATGTATAACCCCCTAGGTAGTAATTTGTACTCATCCCCCTGTCGCACTGCACAGTGGTCCCGGCTTGGTGGACGGATTAGAGTTCGCGCCCCCTCAAACCCAATCTACCCACGTTTTCTAACGTTCGTCGTCTGGCGTTTGTGCAGCCCCTAAAACTGTTCCTGGCGTATTAGCGCATAACTAGCGTTCATCCAAAGTATTACATACCGATATTACCTCGAGCAGCTTTTTTTTCCCCTTGTTGGTGGCGCTCCTCCTTCTCCTCTCATTATACACTCGTTTTTACCCCCATGGCCAAGAATTTGGCAAACGCCTTTCCTTCCAGCAGATACGCCAAAAATCAACAAGCAGTTGCGTCACAATTCACTCTAGCACAGGGTCTGGCCTGTACGCGTGTCCCGCCACGATGCCCAACATGAGCCAGTTCATGACGTCCAAGGTCTACCCTGCCCGCCTGCGCCTGGTGGCGGTTCTCCTCGCCGTCGCCTTTGTCTACGCGGGATACGTGCTCTGGCACGACGCGCCCCTGTGGGAGCGGGCGCGGTCCCATCTGCCCTCGATGGCCTTTGACCCGATGCACCCCATCCGGAAGCTCATGATTGACGCGCGCGACGAGCACGAGCGTCTCCTGGAGACGAAGCGCACATATAACCTGCAAACCACCGCCGCGCGCTACCGTGAGCGCCGCGGCCGCCACCCGCCCCCCGGCTTCGACAAATGGGTCGCCGCCGCCGTCGCCGCCGACGCCGTCCTCGTCGAGGACTACTTTGACAGGATCTACAAGGACGTCGCCCCGTTCTGGGGCCTCGACCCGGCCACCCTGGCCGCCCGCGCCGCCGCCGGCCAGTTCGTCGTCAAGGTCCGCAACGGCACCGTCGCCATGCAGGGGCTCGACGAGGACCGCGTGCCCTGGCTGCAGCACTGGGCCGCCCTCGTCACCGAGTTTGCCGAGCACATGCCCGACGTCGACATGCCCGTCAACATGATGGACGAGCCGCGCATCATTGTCCCGCACGAGACCATCTCCGCGCTCGTCAAGCAGGAGGCTGAGAACCGCCAGGTGCGCCAGCTCGCCGACGTCACCACCAGCTACACCGGCCTCGCCCACGTCGACGCGGCTGAGCCCCAGCCGTACGAGCCGCAGTGGCTCGGGCCCGACAACGCCTACTGGGACCTGGCCGTCAAAGCCTGCGGTCCCGGGACGCCGGCGCACGGTATGCCCGCGATCCGCGACTTCGCGCCGCCCGCCGCGGTCCCCGACGACTGGCGCCCGACGTACGCCTTCGAGGGCTACGTGCGCAACTGGACCGCCGCCATCGACCCGTGCGAGCAGCCGCACCTGCGGCAGCTGCACGGCTCCTTTGTCGAGCCCATCAGCATCTCCACCACGGACGAGCTCGTGCCCCTCTTTGGCGGCTGCAAGCTCGCCCTCAACAACGAGCTCGTCATCCCCGGCGCCATGTACCTCACCGACGAGCCGCGCTACTCGGGCGGCGCCTCCCACGGGCCCGACTGGGACAGCAAGCGCGACGGGCTCGTCTGGCGCGGCGTCGACTCGGGCGGCCGCGCCCGCGACAACAACTGGTACCACCTGCAGCGCCACCGCCTCGTCGAGATGCTCAACGGCACCACCGTCGCCCGCGTCGAGCGCACCGGCGAGCGCGCCCTCGCCTTTGACCTGCCGCCCGCCGCGCTGTACCCCAGCCGGCACCGCGCCGCCGGCCAGCTCGGCGCCTGGGTCGCGCGCCTCGCCGACGTCGGCTTCACGTCGCTGTGCTTCCCCGACGGCTGCGAGTTCCTGCGGCCGTTCCTGCGCGAGGCCGCGCCCGTCGACATGCAGCAGCAGTACGAGTACAAGTTCCTGCCCGACGTCGACGGCAACTCCTTCAGCGCCCGCTTCCGCAGCTTCCTGCTGTCCACCAGCCTCCCGCTCAAGGCCAGCGTCTACGCCGAGTGGCACGACGACCGCCTCGCCCCGTGGGTGCACTTTGTCCCCCTCGACAACACCCTGCAGGACCTGCACCCCGTCCTCGAGTTCTTCGCCGACGCCGACGGGCCCGGCGACGCCGCCGCCAGGCACATTGCCGAGGAGGGCAAGCGCTGGGCCGAACAGGTCCTCCGCAGGGAGGACATGCGCCTCTACGTCTGGAGGCTGCTGCTCGAGTGGGCGCGCGTGTGTGACGAGAAGCGGGATACCCTCGGTTTTGTCGGCGACATGGTATGATGACAACTACCAACGAGGTCGAACGACGAGATAGCAAGGGGACGAGTGGCGGCGACGGGCCATGAGAAAGAGGGGGGGAGCATTGGATACACCGGTGCAACGTGTCAGCAAATGCACCGTTTCATTGTCATATATATCGTGTGCTATGTATTTTTGTTTTGAGATATCCATGCGCGTCATACAGAAGCCAGATACAGCCGTTGTACAATAATCAACGTTGGAGTAAATATGAGGGGGGGTTCGTTCTTATTAGAAAGCATTTTTGAGTTGCTTGGCAATTCGTATATAGTACTAATTAATGTCGGTCCATGCCACTTGATCCTTTCGATGCACACATATGTAGTCATTGTAGATGTGCTGGCGTTGTTTTAGCTGTGCTAGTCGTTTCGACATGATTTCAGTATCATCAAAATCTCCGAAAAGTCGTAAAATCATCCTCCCATGCAAAATTTTGTGTGTATTTTCAACAAGTCATTCCCGCTTTTGTATTATATACCAAGGTATAATATCCCATATATTGCCACCCCAAGTGTCGACAGGACATAGCTACAGCTGCAGATCCGAAAGAAGCGGCCTAGTCGGCCCGCCCTTGAGATGTGCCGCTGACCCCTTGTACAGACTCTGCCAAATAAAAGCCTCGCTGAGGAGCAGCTCAATGTCCTTTTCCGTCCAGTTCTTAGTGGGCAGGCTCTGGAGGAACATCATGACCTCTTGAAAGTCCATCTTGACAAGCTTGTCGGACCACTTGACCAAAAGCGCAGCACAAACATATAGATGAAACTCGGAGAACCCCTGTTCCTCAGCCTAAAGGATATCGTTAGCCGAGCACAAAGCTGAGGGTGTGGTGGAGATGTCGCAAGAGCACCGACGTACTAGATATGTGTCCCACATGCGAATCGTGTTTTTGACACTAATCTCTCGCATCAACAGACAGTTCATCCATCTAAAACTGAATTGGATAAACTCCACGCCTTCCTTTTCGAGGTGCTTGGACAGGGTCGAGTCTATTCTGGCAGTCAGGTCGCGCAAGGCAGTCACTTGACGCTGAATGCCCGGTTGTGCAACGATATAATGGTCCTGGATACCGTCCAAAAGCTTCGCTAGGCACCAGTACGAATCCGCCTCCACGGCGTCCAGGACCGTTCGTGGTAGCTGCCCGGGGTCCATGCCAGAGTCAACATTCGGGTCGGCAATGTACAGACCAAGGAACGTCTGCCAGAACGGCGAAACCAAGTCGTTGATGCCCTGGACGTATCCGCTCGCAGGGTGCCGCACGGCCCAGACGTATAATATTCGTTCAAGAGATCGCTGTGTCGCCTCGTAGCTGTACAGTTCAATATGTGGGTTCGTTCGGGGCACGTCGATGCTGATCTGGTGCCAGATAGCCTCATCCAGGCCACGCGACTTCCCCGGTGTGCTGCTCGTCCCCACTCGTTCAAAGGCCTGTTTCACCCCATCCAGGTACTCCTTTCGCTTCCGTTCAAGCGTTGCGACTCGACGTTCGCTATTTGTTGGCAGGTAGCTAAGTAAAAGCTGCCACGTCATAGCGCGCACTTCTTCTGGCACCCCTGACCAGGCCAATGCCCTTAAGTCTGGTAGCGAGAGCGAAGTTGCCTGCAGCAGTCGTTTGAACTTGTTTATTCGCGTAATTCGAGAGTTGATGGCATCAGCCTCTTTCGGCGTGGCATTAGTGGAGACAGAGGGATAGTTTATTAGGTGTAGTGCGTTGGCAGGATCTGTCTTGATTAGCATCTTTCTTGGAAGCCGTCGAGCCAACACACCTTTGAGAATGTCTTTATATTGCGGTCTGAGAATCTTTCCCTCACTCTTACGTGGCATAGGATAAGAAGACACAGGCCGTTCGACAGCAATGTCTGCACTGTCAGACGCATGTCGGCCATAGCTTCCAAATGAATTGCTGAACGAGCTTGGCGGGACGGCGGCGTTGCTCTGTTGCTGCGCTGCCATCTTGCGACTTCTTCGCTTCATATTGGAAAGACTGGGCAATCCAAAGTCGTCGCCATCGTCATCGTCGTAGCCCATCTCATCTTCTTCAGTATTCCAGTCGTCGTTTGTGTTGGAGAGAAAGTTGATGTAACTCTTGAAGGGTGGGGACTTGCGGCCAGAATTGTGTTTCTGGGGCGGAGAGGCATCGCTGGGCCGTGACCTAGAGGTCGAACTTGAGGGAGGCGTTTTAGGTCGTGAGGAAGAGTTCGAGACATTACTGTGTTGGCCATTAGCATTGAGCGGCGTAGGGCACCAGCGAGACAAGTCACGTACAGAGCATCAAGCTTCAGCATGTCGGCATGCGAATACGCCGCCCCAATGACGGCATTGGGATCGCGCGGCGCTGGCGCCGTGACACTTCGTCTAGAAGAATTCCTCTCGAGCTGTGGTCGCCAGAATGGTGATGAGGAGCTGTCAGCAGGTCAGCCGAGCAGTTCCAAGAGGCGGGCAGCGGGGCGGTCGAACATACTCAGATCGCTCTGCAGGTTTGCCGGCTCTGCTGTTAGCAAATATACAATTGGAACGGCCTCGTCGTAGCGGACACGGGATGATCGAAAACTTCGGCGGCGAACATACCAACTTGGACCATCTCCTGCGACAGCGGGGTTGTCAGTGTCCTGAAAGAGCGAGCATCGCGGCGCGGGGAGGCGCAAAGAACAGCAACTCACAGAATTCGCCGGCTTCTTGCCGCTGCTTGAAGATGACCACATGTTTCACGAATAGGATTCCAGGTGATTCGGCCGGCGCCTCATCCTGTGAATCAGTCAACAGCTGGAGGATGCTTTCTGAGGTAGGGCGAGGCAAGACAGTGTGGTCTGTTGAGGTAGAGCGAGTGTCACAGTGGCGCGCTAGCTGTGTCCGCCTACAGGCCGGTTTTCAGGGCCGTTTCGGCGACCGCCTCAACGCACAGATGCGGCTTAGTCATGCAATACCCCACTGCGAATGCCCGCACTGCCGCTTTCCCTCTTCAAATGAGAGCCCCCCCCCAGTTTTCGCCGGTGATCAATCTTAGCTTTGACAAACAAGATAATCTACCATCAAGCTTGGGGGATTGATCATAGCTGCATCTTTCCGATAGCCTATACAGCATATTCTATCCTTTTCTAGATAATTTGCGACTAGATCAGATCGCTCCGAAGCAGAGATTGTTATCGTCCTTCCACACCAACATGGCTGAATCGGAAAACTTTGAGGAGGATCTCTTTGCAGACCTGTATGTTGATGTGCCGCCCATCGCGCCATGCTGCTCTTCTCTCTCGCAATCGCTAATTCTGCTGAAGTTATGAGGATGGCGACGCTCCCAAAGGTGCAACTGGCCCTCAACCCCCCAAACCGGCCGAACCTGTTGCTCCCAGTGCGCCAGCACCGCAGACTACTGCAGCCGAATCATCAAACAATCAAGGCGGCAATGCCATGGATGAAGGAGACGATGACGACGACGACGATGTCGACTTCAACCTCGGTGGTGGTGCTGGAGCCCCCACATCCAACAGCTATGCTCCTCCAGAACCAGAGCATGAGCTAGAATCGGCGGCTCCCGCGTTCGGTACAGTGCACAAGGCCAGCGCCAAAGATGATGGGTAAGTCTCTTGTCCCCGGTGTAATCCTTAAGCGTTCAGTTTGGTGTTTCTGTGAAGTCATTTTACATTGCCCCCCCAACCCCGAGCCAAGGTAGTAGGTCGCAGAGAGTGGTGGCCGAGGTTGCTTCGTCAACCATTTACTGTCAAGTATTGGTTAGCATGTCAGATATGGTCCAAGAGGACAGTGCAGTCGAATTGGGCTTTTGTGCACCACGATGAGCTTGGTAGAGCAAGCCTATGCATGCAGATGGTTACCCTGTCCGCTGCTGCAAATGCGCCGACAAAGCAAGAAATCAGAGTCTATCCTGCTTCGAAGCGAAGTTTATACTTCGTGGAAGATTCAAGACTTTTTCGTTTCGGCATAGACAGCATAGGACACTCGTGTCTTCCATAGCTCTCAGATACAGCATCTGATAGAGTACGAAGAGAATAGCCTGCAGGCCTCGGGGACTGTTACCAGACTATGGCGGGTAGCGCTCCAGTTCCATATGAGCCTAGAAAAACACAGACAAGCAGACAGTCAACGATAGCAGAAGACGAAAAACAGCTCAGACACAGAGAAAAAAAGAAAACGATTTTCGGCAATATCTGATCTGGGGCTTTTTCCTTCAAATTGATGGTCGTGCTACGAGCTATCTGGCTCTCATGTCTCCCTACTCGTCTACACCGTCTACTACCGCCATTCTCACCGCATATCGACGTCCAGTTGCAGTTTGCATATGAAAAGCCAGCATGCCAGGCTGCCGAAACGGCGTATGCCCTGAAATAGCACTTCAACAACACTATGATGCATCATACCTGTTCCTGTTCCAGCTTGGTATTATTTTTCAATGCTGCCTTGGACCATGCACGGCGGCCACGACACTCTTGATACCCACTTCCACGCAGCGAATTGCGCCCAGGCTCACCGAGGGTTTTGGCTACAACTTTTGCAGTGTTTCATATTGCAAATACACCACCGGCTAGCATCGTTGCTCTAGGCAGAGATTCACTAACATGCGTAATATAGCAAAATGTTCATTGGTGGCCTGAATTGGGAAACTACTGATCGTAAGTCATGCCAGGTTTCTGGGAGCGAACAGGAGCCGCCACTAACGTACGTAATACAGAGTCCTTGCGTGACTACTTTTCTCAGTTCGGCGAAGTCGTCGAATGTACTGTCATGCGTGACAGCAACACAGGGAGATCTCGAGGTTTCGGTTTCCTGACATTCAAGGATGCCAAGACCGTCAACATCGTCATGGTCAAGGAGCATTATCTCGATGGCAAAATTGTGAGCACCGTAATAACTTGCATACATCCAAAAGTATCTAATGATTTCCCAGATTGATCCCAAGCGGGCTATTCCTCGCGATGAGCAGGAGAAGACGAGCAAGATCTTTGTTGGTGGCGTCAGCCAAGACACGACGGATCAAGAATTCCGAGAGTTTTTTGCGCAGTTCGGCCGTGTTATCGACGCCACGCTCATGATGGACAAGGACACTGGGCGACCTAGAGGTTTTGGATTCGTCACGTTCGAAAGTGAAGCTGGCGTCGACGCATGCATCAATATCCCTCTCGAAATCCATGGCAAGCCCATTGAAGTGAAACGCGCGCAGCCTCGCGGTAATCTGCGTGAAGAAGAGGACGCAGCTAAGCGCAACAAGTTCAAAAAGGGAGATGATCAAGGACAAGGCATGCAGCAAATGGGCAACAGCGGCATGACCCCTCAAGTCATGGCACAGTACTTTCAGCGCATGCAACAGTACTTTACCATGATGCAGTCGCAGATGGCCATGAACCGCGGCATGAACAACATGAACCCCGCCATGTGGCAGAACATGATGCAGATGCAACAGATGCAGCAGATGATGGGCCGTGGCGGTGGTGGTCAAGGGGGCTCAAACATGATGGCCAACATGAACCCCCAAATGATGCAGCAGATGCAGCAGCAGATGATGCAACAGCAGCAGCAACAACATCAACAACAGCAGCAAGGCAGCGCTAGCCCCACCAGCCAGAGCAATGGAGGTGGCGGCGGCTCCCAAGGCGGCTTCGATGGCAACAATTTTGACCAGTTCCAGCAACAGCCCCCGCAGGGCCCTGGTGGTGCTCGTCGCGGTGGGCGTGGTGGCTTTGGCGGCCAAGGAGGATACGGCGGCATGGGCGGCGGCCACCAGGGGGGCAATGCAACATCCTGGGAGGGCATGTATGATGACCCTCAGCCAGGTGGCTATGGCCGAGGCGGTCACGATGCTCCTCCGGCCAATGCACCCACCGGACCCAAGAACCCAGGCCGCGGCGGCAGTGGCGGCAACTATCGCGGTGGCGGCCGTGGTGGCGGCAGAGGGGGTTTCCACCCGTATGCGAGGTAATGCTGCGAGGTTTCGTTTTGCTTTTTTTCTATAACTTTTGTTAATTTTCTGGAATTGGCGGTTTGCTCTATTATTAAGAACTTTCTTCTCTATGACACCCGCAGCTTCTGGAGTTCCTAAGAACTTGGACTGCTCGATCACACTTATCACGGGGGTGGCAATCTAAAAATTACATCTACTTTCTGGGCTGCGGCTGTGAAGTATAAGACTAAGCATGAAATAACACGGTATTTTCATGAGAATGTGTGATTGTACAGTGTCTAGTGATGCGTGTCTATGAAGGATTGAACATGGAACGTTTTGCTGGTATAAGAAGAGCTCAGGATTGGTTATGAGCGTTTGAAAGCGGATATTAAAAGGTAAGCGACGCCGGCGACGCACACAAATTCCACAGCGGACAGCAACTCCAAGCTGCCCAGAAAGAAGCGGTCGGCCAGGAACAGGCGGACCACGGCCGCTCGGTAGGTTCTCTTGACGCTGTCGCTGCCGTGCTCGAGCACGTACGCATCCATGGGGGAGATGCGAAACTCTCGAATGTCCACCGGTTTGCACGGCGGCGCCGCGCTCCACTCTGCCGATGTCATGGGTCGCTTGATGGCCGCGGGCATGCGCCGGAGGACCTGAATCACCTTGAACGCCGCATACTCGAGGACACCAGACGCGCGGAGAAGCGGCGGCGGCGCCTTCTTCAGAAAAATATGCGGCAGCATGTCGGGGTTATCGACGGCGACGGTACAGCTCTCGGCCAGCTCGTTGAAGAGGCCCTCCACGTCGTGCGCGTAGTGGACGAAGCGGGCGTAGAAGACGGGCGTCAGTACGCGAATCTCGACATCACAGGTAGACGACATTGCTGGGGCCGTGCTCGAGGCAAAGACGTGCTCGGCGGCGTCGGCCGGGGTGATGCCGCTGGCAACGTAGCGGACGCGGAGGGCCTCGGGCGCCTGTTCGACGCGGTGGCGCAGGTAGGCGCGGAAGACGGCTTCGAGGCGACGCTCGGTGGACGTGGCGTGGCGGCCGAGGCTCTGCGCGCGCGGCTCCGGACGGAACCAGACGTGCAGGCGGCGGCGGAAGAAGAGCGCGGCCGCCTCCTTGACGATGCGGGGAAACGTGGCGAAGCCGATCCAGAAGTAGCGGCACACGAAGCGGAGCTTGCGCAGGGCCGTCATAGCGGCCACGTCAATGGCGTCGTGCTGGTTTACGAGACGGGCGACGAGTTTTGGGTGCCCCTTGGAGGACTGCAGGGTGATGGTGACGTCGAGGCCGCGAAAGGCGGCCATGCCGGGGCCGAGAGGGTCCTTGGCGAGGAGGCTGTAGGAGCCTTTGCGCGAGTTGAACGGCGACACGTGAAAGTCCTTTTCGAAGGATGCTGCGATTTTAGACGGCGTGGTGTCGGTGGAGGTGGGATCAGTCGACTGGATGTGCTTGGCTTCTTGGTCAAAGTCGCGAAAGACGAGGTACGGCCGGCGCTCGTCAAAGGTGTTGTTAACCTCGAGGATCATGGCGGACAGGACCTTGGCGGGTGAGTAGAGGTACCAAAACGAGACCGGGTTGAAGCTGTATCCGAGGAAGACGGGCGCCGTGACGAGGAAGGCGTGCGGGTAGTCACCGGGGTCGACCGACTGGCTGGCGAGGAAGCGATCGAGCTTGGCGCGCAGACCGCCGCCGTCGGGCCCGCGAGCGAGGTGGCGCGCGGCATCGACCTCGTACAGCGGCGACGCGAGCCACGCCCACCAGCTGCCGCGGGCGGAGGGTGGCGCATCGACGGCGAGGATGCCGTTGACGTTGCGGGCGCGCAGCCCGACGCGCACGCCGACGGTGAGGTAGGAGTAGGCGAAGCTGTGCTTCTCGGGGAAGAAGCGGGTGTGCGTGGTGCGGCTGGGGAGAAAGACGCTGCTGCCGGCCGAGCGTGTCGGCGCGTCGAGGAAGACGTGGGCGGTGGTGAGGATGGCGAGTCGAAGAGCGACGAGGCTGCACGCGGCGATCACGGCGGCGCCGAGGAGCGACGGTACGTGGCGGGCGAGTGTCGAGGGCGATGTGAGCGCCGCGACGGCGGCGGCGATGAGGAGGACATGGCTGCGGCGGCCGAGCAGCGCGTAGTAAAGAGAAAAGGCCGCAGAGACGAGAATCGCTTGGGGCCAGTGGCGGCGGAACCGGTCCGCGAGGTCGGCAATGTGCACCACGGCCAGAGACAGCGGCGAGTCGTCGATGCTGTCCATGGGCTGGAGAGGAGAGCCTGGCTGGTGGCTGTGGCAGAGATGGCTCTCAGGCGTGTCTACCAGAGGGTTGCATCAAGGCATTGAGGATCGGGCCATCATGGTAGTTATGGGTTGACTTGTTGCTGAATGGGTGGGCAAGTTTGACGGGGCGGCCGTTGTTATCAAACACCAAAGTGTGTCAGCGACAGTGAGCGTTGGTGGTTGCGTTTGGTGGGCCGTGAGACGCTGGGTGATGCCGTCATAGCGTGGTGGCTCACACAACAGTCGGGACGTTATGTTTCTACTACAACCCCGCCTTATCTTGCTGTTTTCATTTATGAATAAAGGTTGGCGAAGCCGTCGATTACATCAGAGCGAGCTTATTTGGTCAAGTGTATTTACTTGAATAGTAGCATATTTTCCGCGAAAGGTACTTGAGGTTTCGTCACCTCGGATGGCTCCGTCGTAGTGGTGGAATGTGCTAGATTTCAAAAGCCGGCACGCTATGCTCCGTAATGGAAACAGCCTTGCGCCGACGAGCCACCCAGTGGCGGTGCACTCTTCGCTCGTCTTACCTTCTTACCGCCCGCCCGCCGGTTGACTCAAAGCTCCAAGAGGCCACTTGCGTTTTTTCCCCACCGATCCCGTCAACCCTTTCGGATTATATATTCCAACAGGGCCTGGCAAACTCGTCTCCATCTTGCCCTGAACATATACTCCTCCTCTCTTCTATCCAGCAATCCACGTTTTTGGCACCGCCGACGCACTACTCCCAACCACGAAAGAACATCGTCCGTCCAAACACCGTCAACCCCGCCAAAACCACACATCATGTCCGACGACTGGGAATCGCAAACCAAGATTGGTAGCCGCGTTCGTGGCCCCGGTGCTGGCGCTCGCGAGACCGTCGTCCGCGGCAAGGCCGCCCTCAACGCCGCTGCGCGATCCGGCGCTGCCATCAGCACTGAAAAGAAGTACTCGTCCGCCAACTCAGTACGTGCCTCCTCCCACCATGGCGAGAAAGAGAGAGGGAAAACCCCGCCACCCACCTGCGCGTGACACCATTTGCCGCAACGGTGGCCAAATGCCCGTGCCTTTGCTCGTCTGCCACAGACGATGTGGTGTCTCTCCGAAAATCTCTCTGCCCTCCATCTATCTTTTTTCTTCCCATGACTAACTCGCATCCCCGTTCGCAGACCGGCACCGGCGAAGGCCAGCGCCTCACCAAGGTCGACCGCTCCGACGACATTGTCAAGCCCAACACCATCGGCAAGACGGTCGGCGACGTCATCTCCCAGGCCCGCCAGAAGATGGAGCCCAAGATGACCCAAAAGGACCTCGCCACCAAGTGCAACACCACCCAGACCGTTGTCGCCGACTTTGAGCGCGGCACCGCCGCCCCCGACCAAAAGGTCCTCGCCAACATGGAGCGCATCCTCAACGTCAAGCTGCGCGGCAGCGACATTGGCACTCCCAAGTTTGCCAAGAAGAAATAAACGGGGAGTGGGGGCAAATGTATAAATGGGGGAGTTTTTTTTTTCTTGTTTCTTTTCTCATGGGAATCACGGGCAGTCGAAGCGAGTTATGTAAGAAACAGAGACTTAGGAAGACGTACCGTGATAGATCCTAGATATGTGTCTACGCCATCACAGTTGCTTGGAGTCCAAAATCATCAGATAGAGAGGAACGTATAGATATTTTACTGGCATATTTAGCAAAACGGAAAATATTGACGGGCTCGTTTGCATCCCCTCGACTGTGCTTCGCGGGTGTTGTCACGGGTGCCTGCTTCTCAGATGTCACTCACCTTGAGGGACTGGACTCGGCCGCGCAGCATTCAACAATTTTCTTCCCGCTGTTCATATGATTCCCGATTCCAAACCTCCCTGCTCCTCTCCAACGCTCCCAGCTAACAACTCACCAAAACCTCGTTCAAAATGCATCACACCGCCGACATCCCCGCTGTCCACGCCGCAAGCTCCGCCACCAGCTCCCCCAGAAGCATCATCGACCGCGAGCGTGAGCACAAGGCCATTCCCGGAAGTTTCTCCTACAACCTCGGACGTCGCCGCGGACCGCCGCCGCCGCTCCTGGACCAGTCTGCCGTCCTGAGCCCGAGCCGTAGCGTCCGGTCCATTGTCGCTTGGATTGAGTCCTCCTCCTCCGTCGTCGTTGCTCCAACGCGGCCCGCCGCCAGCGACGAGAGCGGCGCCGCCATGCGCTTCAAGGCTTTGTCACCTTGCCAGCGCCGCGGGGGCAGCAGCAGCAGCAGCAGCCTTGTGTTGTCGCCGTCGCCGACGTCGGCTTCGTTGCGGCCGCGTTTCCACGCCGACGACGACTGCGCGACGTTTCTCGACTACCAGCAGTATTTCGCCACCGAGAGCTTGGCGCGCTGTCTCGACGAGCACTCGTCTGTCGAGACGGTCGTGTCTGGTGCAGACACGACCGAGGGGCGCGTGCACATGATGCGTGAAGGAGCGGCGCGCGGCGGACTACGACGAGTGGCGGGCAAGGACGAGCGTTTTGCGAGCGACGGTGCCGCGGCTGACAAGAGGTCCCCTGCTGATGTGGCCGCGCTGTAGAACAGCATCAGGCAGCAGCTTTGGATCCCAGATGAGGAGCTGGAAGGCAGCGTGTCAGATACGAGCTCTGTGCCCGCCGATGGAGGCTCTTGGATTTAATGTACATCAGATCCCAGGTCAACTGCGCTTTTGGCAAATCACCCAATCAGCCCATGTCCAGATTTATTGGAGAGGGCCAGCTATTCATAACCGCGTATTTAGCCATCGGACGTTTGATTTCCACTTTTCATAATGGCATCAGATTTGACTCTCAGCAGTTGCATTTCCCACGATACCTTCAAAGCCAGCAGCGTTGTCAAGTAAACTGATCCGGATCCAATTTGGTCCAGCCCCACTACCGGCTCTGCGCCACAGCGGAAGTCACGTGAGATAGAGGGGCACACTCTTTGGCGAGACAAGACGGAGCGCAACTTTGACCACACCAGCCACACTCAATGGGGTATGGCGCCGACCCTAGTTTCCCACAAACCGAGAAATCACCAAAACCTCTTGATTTTGCCCCGTCCTTGGAACTTTGCATCACCAAACAACCGTAGCGACATCCACACAACGTCGTCAAGATGGTACGTGCTGCGACCTTGGCCAGCTCTCGTGACATTTGATGCAGTTTTCGACGACAAAGAACATTCCTGTATCGACCGGACGGTTTGCGTACGCACGATGATAGTCTTTCCTCCCGAATCTCGACGACAATGCCTCTCAGGCACCTCGACTACGAAATTTCCTGCGCCAACATCTACAATGACGACTACTCAGCCGATTGCTGCTGAATCAATTTGCAGGAAATAAGAGGCAGGAATTGTGTCCGAATTGAGCTCTCAAATACGCACCGATGAACCACCATAGGAAAGACTATCTCGTGCGACCACAACGACCGGCCGATATGCGAACTATCTCCGCCGTCAAACTCTGCATCCCATGCCGGAGAACTGCCCGCCACCGCACCCGCTCACAAACGACGAAACACTGACTCGATTTGGAACACAGGTCAACATTCCCAAGACTCGCAACACGTACTGCAAGGGCAGGGAGTGCCGCAAGCACACCCAGCACAAGGTCACCCAGTACAAGGCCGGCAAGGCCTCGCTTTTCGCCCAGGGAAAGCGTCGTTATGACCGCAAGCAGTCCGGCTACGGTGGTCAGACCAAGCCCGTCTTCCACAAGAAGGCCAAGACCACCAAGAAGGTTGTGCTGAGACTGGAATGCGTTAAGTGCAAGACCAAGTGCCAGCTCGCCCTGAAGCGTTGCAAGCACTTTGAGCTGGGGTACGTTTTACTGGCCGATGTAGCTCGCCATCCGGCGTGCTGTAGGATACATGTACTGACTATTCTTCGCTATACAGTGGTGACAAGAAGACCAAGGGTGCTGCTCTTGTTTTCTGAGTGCACAAAAAACTATACTGGGGTTTCTCACACTTTTTTTGTGCTTTCCTTGACTTGCATTTGGGCATCGGAACAAACTGGCGAAGGGAGGTTCGTGTCCTCGATTGAGGGATGGTTCATAGGGAACGAATTATTACAAAAAGGAATGAAATTCTCTATGTCATGAAAATAGCAGCTTCACTTGAAGTGAATCTAGACAAAAATTCAAAAAATTACCAAAACCTGCACGGCTACGGCGGACCAAGGGCGAACGGGAGAGGGTTGCGTGATGATCTATTGTCTATGGCGGGAGCCCTATGGCGTGAAACGAAATGCGTTGACTGGTGGAATGGCAAGATACCAGCGGCTAGAAACCTTCGCCCAGTTGGATAGTTCTGCCACCGCCATACCACAAGGTGCCGCTGCGGGCGTCCAGGCCGCGTTCCTGCCCGACAACCCACTCTCCCGTAAACGCGGCGGCGTGGCTGTCCCAGACATCGGCCTCGAGCCAGCGGTTGACCTCGTCGACGGCCTCGACCCAGCGACGGCGCTTGGCCGGGGTGTCGTGGTCGGCCTCGGACAGATAGCGGCCGAGGGTGATGTGGGCGCTGGGGACCTGGTACCGCGAGCCGACCTCGACGCCGGCAGCGCGTACCTTTTCAAAGACGTCTCTGCGGAGGTGGTGGTACGTGTAGCCGTCCCCGGCGGTGACGTCTTGCGCCGCGAGGTCCACGCCGGCGGGCGGCGGCGAGAGCGGCGGCTCGCCGGACGCGGGCAGGAAGGAGAGGGCAAAGGCAGAGAGGTCGTACGAGACAAACGGCTTGACGAGACGGGCGCGGTGGCGGTGCGTGTGCGACACAATGGAGGGCACGGCGGGCCGGATGAGGGCAGTCAGGGCGGCAATCTCCTCGGGCGTCTTGGAGAAGGCAACTTCGAGGGCCGTCATGTGCATTCTGTAGACGGGCATGAGCCAGATGTCTGAAGGGAGCGGTTGTTAGAAAAGAAAAGGCTAGTCATGTCTTTGGGACGGGGGGAGCTTACTTGGCGCCGTTTGCTGGAGTAGTTGCTGGACTTTGCTGGCGAGCAGGATGACGTGTTCTGGCGGCCGGGCCCAGAAGACGAGACAGTTGCGCTCGTCTTGGAAGCCGGGCTGGATGGACGGGTTCGCCAGGCGGAGGAGATACTGGTCAATGACGAGCTCTTTGTAGTCTGTGGCGAGGAACTTTTCTCTTTGCTGGGCGTTGCGCTTTACACGATGAGTATCGTAGAGAGCCTGAATCTCGGCCTATATATACGTTATCAAAGCGTGAGGCTTGCTGGAATGTAGGTGAGAAATAACACAAACGGTGTAGAATGTGAATATATCATGGAATACAGATTAAGAGCACATACTGGGTCATCGTTGCACGCCTTGATGAAGACGTCGTATGGGTTCTCGCCTGGCTGGATGACGATGCCGGACAGGTCCTCGAGCTTGTTGCGCGCGTCCACAGAGACCAGTTTTTCGGCCATGCTATATGTTATGAGAAGAGGAAGAATAAGAAGAAGAAGAGGAAAAAAAAACGTCGAGTCACTCCGTGTGACAAGTCTGTACGGGGGCTGAGGGAAAAGAGAAGCATGGTGTCCGTTGCGGAGTTGAGGTGTACCCTATAGATGACTAATCGTTTCGGAGATGATATCGCGAAGTGGCTAAATAAGGAAAATCGAGTAAAATACCTACTTTGATAAAAATACCTTGATTTGACGTGTGATTGAATCTATGTACATAAATCATGGTTTGGAGGGGCAACGCCGGGTGTCCAATATGCAGACGCATTCGACTGGATGCTGGCCATGTGTCTATGTGGTCTCGTTATATACAGCTATATACTAGCATCCTCGACTAGAGAAAAACAGAATCTCTACAGTTTCCCCCTCGTGGACGTGTTGTGAATGGGAATCTGCACTCGCAGCTGCGGCTCCGGCCTCCCCTCGGCCTCAAACTCGAGCAGCTGGCAGTCCTCCTCGGCGACGCCGCTCGCAAACTGCGTCACGACAAAGTCCAGCGTCGTGCCGGGCGGGCCGAGCACGACCATGGGCGCATGCCACGTGCCGGCGCCATACGTGACCGCCTGGCGCGCCGTGCCCACAAACGCGCGCAGCTCCTTGAGGTTGGGCAGGCCGCGTCCCGGCGTCATCCCCGCGGCGTCGCCCGGCGGTGGCGCCGGCGTGTCCTCGTCCGCGTCTGCCGGCGGCAGGCTCGGGGCGACAATGACGAGGTACAGCTCCGCCGAGGACGCGACGGGCGCAAAGGTCTGCGTGGTGAAGGGGTGGCGCTCGAGGTTGCGCACGACAAACGCGGCGTGCCGGCCGCCGGCGGCGGAGAGCGGCCGGGCGGCGCAGACAAAGAGGCTCAGGACGGGCTTGCCCGTGTCGCCGCGGTACAGGTTGGCGACGCGGCTGGCGTGCCGGTACTGGATGGCGAAGCCCTGGTTGGCCGAGACGGCGTTGTCGGGGAGCAGCAGCGAGCCGGCGTGGTGCGCAAAGGCGGTCGGCAGCACGTCGGGCCGCGGGTTGGCGACGACGTCGCCAAAAGGTGCAAAGGCCCCGGCGGTGAGCGGCTCGGCGGTGACGCGCACGTCGAGATGGCCGACTTGGATCTTGCGGGCGGCCATGGCGAGATGGGATGCGTGTGTGTGGTTGGGGAGTGGTGGCGGGAGGAAGAAGGGTGGGAGAGAGGATGGATTTGTAGGAGGAAGAGATTATGGCGTGGTGGTGGCTGGGGTTGTCATGCCTGTGAGCAAATAATGCAGTTTGCTTGCTGACTGGGTTCTAAGGAATCAAGTTGTAGAAATTCAGATGGATAACAAAAAAATGAGAGGAGGAATTGATGCCTGTTGCAGTGTGGTGGTGGAAGCGCTAGAAAGCTAGGACGACACCGGAGAGCTCCGGGTGCATGGCCGGTCCTGCACACTGGCCCCTCCGGTTCCGGGGGTGGCCGGGTCCACGAGACACGGCGGACGGCGGCGCAAATTCGGCCAAGGGCGGGCGAATGGATTCAACAGACCAAGCCGGGCTGATGAATAATCGATTCTGGAGGAGATTTGGAAAATGGGACACTGGGTTTTGCTTCTAGCGTTGGCTGCTTGACGTAGGCTACTTGTAGCGTGGGCTTGAGACTACAAGTGGCCACGTTGAACCGATTATAGTCTGACATGATGCAAAGCTTCTTTATTCGCACTAAATAAATTATACCTTGATCAGCCTCAAAGTCTGAGAAACAGGTCAGGCATTCGCCGCTGCAAGGCCGTTTCATCGGAGCGTCGCCCTGCAAGCCTGCCAATGGCGCCACCACACCAGCGGATTCCGGATTCCGACGCCGAGGAATGCCCATTTCCGCACGCCGTTACAGATCGTACATGTTGTACATGATTTTGGCACAACAACGAAAAAAAAGAAAGAGGCAGAGGTTGAATATAGCATTCTCCACGGATATCGCATGGACAGCACTCTCATTTCCATTCAGCCAAGATAGCCAGTTTGTAAGCCCCCGTAATCCCGAAACGAACCATCAGTTTGCCTCCTGCCGATCTTCCGGCGCCGGAGCCGGCAAAGCCTGCCTGACCCCAGCAAAAACGTCTCCAAAGTTTCTTCAGCAGACCAACATGACCTTTTCCCTCTTCTACCATGTTGCTGATTTTCTTCCTTGTATAAATCCCTGTACACATCGTTCCCGTGCCATGCGGCTCACGTTCCGATGAGACCCAGCTCTGACCGCCGCACACCGCGGCCGCCCTCGCTCGACGGCGTGCTGCTCCCAGCCGTGCCGAACAGCCGTGATGCGCCGCCGCCGGCCGTCTCCAAAGAGCAGACCAGCAAGAAACCCGTCGCGTGGAAGGACATGCCCCAAAAACGGCAGCTCGCCATCCTGACCATCTCCCGTCTGAGCGAGCCGTTGGTGCAGACGTCGTTGCAGGTGAGATTTCCGACTTTTGTCATCCGCAACGTACTTTTGACAAACGACCAAAAAACTCACAAGATGATGATAAAAAAAAGGCCTACATGTATTACCAGCTCAAATGGTTCGACCCGTCCCTGCCCGACTCCGCCATCGCCACGCAGGCCGGCCTCTTGCACGCCAGCTTCATGGCCGCCCAGTTCGTCACGGCGCTCGTCTGGGGGCGCGTGGCCGACTCGCCGCGCGCCGGCCGCAAGACGGTGCTGCTCATCGGACTCGTCGGCACCAGCCTGTCGTGCGTAGGCTTTGGCTTTGCCACGTCCTTTTGGCAGGCGCTGCTATTTCGGACCCTCGGGGGGGCGACGAATGGCAACATTGGCGTGATGCGGACCATGTGCGTTCTCCAAGAGAGAACAAAAAAAAAAAAAAAAAAAAACAACTAACTGGTTTTTACAGGATTAGCGAAATCGTCAGGGAAAAGAAATTTCAACCCCGCGCATTCATGCTCCTCCCCATGACCTTCAACGTCGGCATCATCGTCGGCCCCATCCTCGGCGGCCTCTTGTCCGACCCGGCCGGCAGCTACCCGGCGCTGCTCGGCGGCGTGCGCTTCTTCCGCGCCTACCCCTACGCCCTGCCCAACATGGTCAGCGCCGCGTTCCTCGTCGCCGCCGCCGCCGCCGTCTGGCTCGGCATCGAGGAGACGCTCGACGCCCTGCGCGAGCGGCCCGCCGGCGACCTCGGCCTGCGCGTCGGCCGCCGCCTCGCCGCCTGGTACCGCCGCTGCCGTATCTGGGGACAAAAAAGCGGCCCGGACGAGCGCGGCGCGTATGCTGCGCTCGAGACGCACGACATGGAGCTCCCAGACACCTCGGATACAGAAGCCGGCCGCACCGCGTCGGTTGGCGGCGGCGCAAAACCACGCCGGTCCGGTGCGCGCTACACCCAGCGCCTGCCCTTTCGGCAAATCTTCACGCGCAACGTCATCTTCATCTTCATCGCGCAATTCTTCCTCGCCTTTCACATTGGCACCTTTAACGGTCTGTGGTTCGTCTTTCTCTCCACGCCCGTCTACGACCCATCCAACAGCACCACGACGCCGTCCCTGCCGTTCCGCTTCACGGGGGGCCTGGGCATGCAGCCGCAGCGCGTCGGCGTGGCCATGGCCATGATTGGCGCCATCGGCATCACCATGCAGCTGTTCCTGTACCCGACGCTGGCCGCCCGCCTCGGCACGCTGCGCTCGTGGCGGCTGTCGCTGCTGTGCTTCCCGCTCGCCTACTTTGTCGTGCCGTACCTGTCGGTGGTGCCGAGCACGGTGGCGCCGCCGGCGGCCAAGGCGGGCGCGGCCGTGTGGCTGGCCATGGGCGCCGTGCTCCTGGGGCACGTCGTCGGCCGCACGTTTGCGCTGCCGAGCATGGCCATTCTCATCAACAACGGCGCGCCGCACCCGAGCGTGCTCGGGACCGTGCATGGGCTCGGGCAGAGCGTCAGTAGCGCGGCGCGGACGCTGGGACCCGTGATTGGCGGCCCCGTGTACGGCTTCGGCTTGAACCAAGGCTATGTCGGCTTGGTGTGGTGGACGCTCAGCGGCGTCTCCGTGTGTGCGTGCCTGGCGAGCCTGTTGGTCAAGGAGGGGGATGGCCACGAAGTGTGGCTGGAAGGCGATGACGAGGATGAATAGACGAAGATGAATGGATGAAGAGGCATAGACGAAGTCAAATAGACGAACAGACGAAGCGACGAAGAGACGAAGAGACGAAGAGACGATATAAAACGGATCACCGAGTAGATTATAAGACGATTGCATTACCAACAAAGTTCGAGTATATAAAATATCGAGATAGACATCACCCGCCGGTAAAACCCAAATTGAAAGATACCCGACAGAATGTCAAGACAATCTGCCATGTAGCATTGTTGCCCGTGGAAGAAGGGAAGAAACGACACCCAAACAATGACAGTACGTATACCTGTATGCTGTCAAGCTCCCTGCACCGAAAACGCCCAACTTGAACAAAACCAGAGAAAATGATATGTTACACTAAAGATTTGAACAGCAGACATGGTCTAGAGGAATGGCTTGTTGGTCCTGGTGCCCAGCTCGTGGCCTTGTTCCTCATGCGACACGCGGCCGCTGCCGCTCTTCCACGGCGACGGCGAGCCGGGGGCCCTCTTGACGCTGGGATTGGGCAGGGGGTCGTGGTCGTCCCGGTCGCGCGCCGTGCCGGGCTCGTTGTCGGTCCATCGGTCGTCGCCGTACGAGGCGGCCTGCGCGGCACCAAAGGCGGCAGCGATGCGGCGCTTCTTGGCGGCGCGGATCTGGCGGATGCTCAGGAAGAGGGCGGTGAGGCACAACACCATGACGGTGATGCAGAGGCCGAGAGCGGCGACAAAGTTCATGGCGAAAAAGTAGCCACTGCATGCGGGTTAGAAGAAGGGATGACGGCGACTCCTTTAGGGTTGGTACGTACTAGAGCATGTTGAACATGGCAAGGAGTAAGACGCCATTGCCGAGCCAAACGTGGATTCTACCGTATCTTGTTGGGGCGCGCGTTCGACGGTATTCGAGGTGGTGCAGGACGCCAAGGGTGAACTGGCCGAGCAGGAAAGCGACGACGAGGAGTCCGATAATCTGATGCGCCGAATTGAAGCTCATGGACTGTAGCGGGTGATAAACGTTAGCAAACAAACGTGTTTTAATGGCACGTCCTGGCACTTACGCGGTTGTAATGGAAGCTGGTGGCGATGCCCATGCCAAAGCCAGCGAGTACAATGACAAGAGCCACAGCCTGGTTGACACCGTGCCAGCTCGCCCAGCGCCCGACACGCAGCAGCACAATGCCGAGCGGAAAGAGCACGAGAATCGCGAGCGTCATGAGCGCCGCGTGCATCGACGACTTGACATCAAACAGCTTGGTGACATGTTCCACCTGGGTGATGCCCTCATCCACCGACTTGTCCGTCAGGACCGGTGCGTCGGCCGTGCCCTTTGTGCGCGCCATGTCGATGCTAAAGACACCATGCGACTCGTGGTAGCGCAGGGGCGCGCGCTGGTCGTCGGCGTGCAGCTTCTGGCGGGGGCCGAGGGCCCAGATGGACTTTTGGCTGTTGGAGTTGAGGTCGAGGTAGCCCTTGCCCGAGTCGGCGCCGGGCCAGTTCTGGCACTCGATGCAGCGAAACGACAGGGTGGCGAAGCCGTCCTTGACACCGGTGCCCGGCAGGTACTCCCAGCGCATGGCGTCGTAGAAGCGCGGCTCGTAGTGGCCGTAGGCGAGGCGTGGGGAGAGCGTCACGTTGTCGCCCTTGGCATTGAGGTACATGACGAAGTAGAGGGCGCCGGCCATGTCGTGGCTGCCGAGGCCGATGGCGCCCCAGGAGCGCGTGGTGCGCATGCGCATCGTGACAAAGTAGTCGTTGACGTCCTCGTCGCCAATGGTAAAGGCGAAGCCGAGATCCTTGTCGGGGGAGACAAAGGTGGACTGGCCGGTCGGGTTGTCTGCGTCGTCGGCGGCGGCGAGGGAGGGTACGAGGACTGACAGGGCATAATTGTTAGTATTTGGAGAGTGTTTTTGCGACGATGGGAGAGGTGCTTCCGGAGAGTTGTTTTCTCGGAGGGAGGGGGGGGGGTAAATTCTGGCTATAAGGGGGAGGGTTACCAGCAACGGCGGCGGCGGCATAGCGCCAAAAGGATGATAATCGCATGACGGCGAAGATGTATTATAACATGAGCGAGCGAGGGAGTTGATGTTCAGAAGAAAAATGAAGCCAAATAACGAATGAAGATGGCCCAGGCCCAGGAGAGACGACGAGTTTGTGGGATCGAAAGAGGGAGCAGCGCGAGAGCTTGGAGGGCAGCTGGCAGGGGTAGCGCGTAGGCAGGCCAGCACAGTGTGGCTTTGCTCAGTCTCGTCTGTTGTGCCGAATCTGGGTTGGTCTGAAAGATGGAGAGTTGGTGGATTTTGTAGATCTTGGCCGCGTCTTTGATTTCAATTCCAGAATTCCAGTCAATTTCAGTGCGGCTGGAAAATGGGGGGGAGTGAGATTGACGACAGTATCTCGTTGCCTCCAAGCATGCTGACACGTCTCCCGATTTCCTCTCCGTCATGCCTACAACTGCCATGTTTATTCCTTGGTCATGCTCCTAACTATTCTTGTTCATGCATTGACTTTGCTATTTGTACAGAATACTCCGTACAAGACTCCATATGCACTAGGAAACAAGTGTGGAGCAATCTAAAGGCAGAAGACGGGGGTGTGGACCTTGGATTGCTATTCAACCCCTTTTTAGTGGTCAACATTATTCCAAAAACAACATAGCATAGTCTCCTTCACAACGTTCTCCCATGATTCAAACTGCCTGTGTTGGCTGAAGCCTTCCCTCTGGCCTCCTACACATGCGTCTCGTCGCACAGCTTGCTTGAAAGTCGTGCTGAATCTCCGCCAAGCTTCGCCGCCGCTACCCCTCCCCCCCCGGGTCAGCGCCGCCCAAACCACACAAAGGATGTTACTCACGCCAGCATGATGCCATTAATGAAGCCCTCGCCGACGCCGACGACCAGACGGCCGGCGATGAACATGCCGAGATGCACCGCCCCGGCTTCGAGCACGACGCCGAGCGCAAAGACGAGCCCGCCAATGGCGATGCCCGACGACCGGCCCAGGCTGTCGGCGACGTGCCCGGCGAGGAACGACGTGACGGCCGCGGAGAGGAGCATCGACGACACCACGAGCCCGTGCACCGCAGGGCTCGGGTGGCCAAAGTGGTCGACATAGCTGCCCATGACGGTCGCGGGGCCGATGATGCCCGTGTCGATGCCCTGCAGGAGCCCACCGACGGAGCAGACCAGGCTCGCCACGACGTAGCGCGGCGGTCGGCGGAATATCTGGGCGTCTTTTCCCATACTTTCCGTGTCTTTTACGACTGCTGAAGAGCTGCGCAAACTGAATGGGCACGCTATGAGTGCTTTATACGGGCGAGCTGGGTGAGTCCTCACGGACGGACTCGGCCTCTTTTCGCGCCCCAAAATAGAACCTAACCAGCATGTTGACGACCGCGTAAGACAAGGCTGCGTAGAATTGACCCGCAAGGCAAGGGAGGGGGAGGAGAGCCGGTATCGTTCGTGTCGGCGCGCCCAACCTGCAAACACCAGGATAGGAAACTCCGCAGCATACTGATCAGCAGCGTTGACCATGGCGGCTGATGTAGACCATACTGCGCGTTCAATGCTGGAATGTGAACAATGATCATGGCTATCTGAGTAGTTGGTATTTCTTATGAACAGGTGATGCGTCTACTTGAACGGGTTGGACGGCTTACACGCCGGTACCGGATTCATCGGCCGTGTAAATTACCTTTCTGGGAACGCCTTTATTGGTTCCTCACCAACCGTCTCGGCAGCGCCAAGCTGTGATATTGGCCACACGGATTTTAAAACAATCCGCCCTCTTCTGACCGCTACCATGTTTTGTCGCAACGCCGCCAACCAGGTAGGTTGCGTTGTATCCGACAGGCAGGCTAACCGATTCCTTGGAGCACGGCTGAACCACAGAGTGGGGAGAAAGCGAGTATCGCGACGCCAGCTTGAACCAGAAACGGAAAATAATGGGATGGCATTTGAAAGGGCGCTGAGATATGTTTTTTTTATGCTTTGAAACTGAAAGGACGGGCTGACGGTGACGTGGAAGCAGGGGAGCAGTCAGAACGCCGGCGGAAAGGGCGCCGCCCGACGTGCTCAAGGTCATTCGCGGTTTAATCTGCAGGCAAAAAAGGAAAAATTACAAGGGCAACAACAACGGCGGGTTAAGAATACAGGGCGAGGGCATGCCGTCAATCTACCAAATACATGCAATAATTGACCAGTTACAGTTCACACGAAAGACAAAAATCGAAACAACATTTTTTATTTCGAAAAAAAAGGAACCTCCCGTACACTCTAATCTAAACGATTTATTGTACAAAAGGCGTCTAACTTAGGTATTTCATTAGAGTAACGCGATAAAGTGAAACATGGCAGGCAGGCAACAAAGGCAAGAAAGAGAAAAGGGCCGTTTCCAAAGCGGGAGATGAGCAGGCTCTTCCGACGCCCTCCCTTCTTCCTTTTGACTCTCTCCCCAAATAATATATCAGCAACCAAGAGGTTTCATTCAGGAAACATTCTTAGTTGAAGTAGTAGTTCTCGTCGTTGGTGCGGCCACGGATGTACTGGGGCTCGGAGCCGGGGACGTAGATATCCTCGAACAGAATCTGGGGCTTGGCCTCGGGGATGGCCATCTCCTCCGCCACGGCGACCTCGCCGGCGACGTGGCTGCGGGCCTCCTTGTCAATCTTCTTGAGCTCGTCCTCGGTGGTAATCTCCCAGTCGAGAATCTTTTGCTTGAGGCCGGCAATGGGGTCGTTGGTCGAGCGCATGCGCTGAATCTCCTCGCGGGTGCGGTAGGTCGTGCCGGGGTCCGACATGGAGTGACCACCGTAGCGGTAGGTGACATATTCGAGGACCATGGGGCCCTTGCCCGCTGCGGTCCACTCCTTGCCGTACTTGACGGCGGCCTTGACGGCGAGGACGTCCATGCCGTTGACCTTGAGACCAGGAATGTACTGTCCGCGCTTGTAGTAGTCGGTCAGGGCCGACGAACGGGCCGCAGAGGTACCCATACCGTACTTGTTGTCTGGGGACGATTAGCATACCAAGGTCAGAAAGAGGGTGTGAGTTCGACTCACTCTCGCAGCCGAAGAGGGCAGGGAGGTTCCAGAGCTTGGCCATGTTAAAGGCCTCAAAGACCTGACCCTGGTTGGAGGCACCGTCACCGTAGAGGATGACGGAGGCATTCTTGTTACCGTTGTACTTGTGGGCAAACGCCAGGCCGGCACCGACGGGGACCTGGGCGCCGACGATGCCGTTGCCGCCGTAGAAGCCCTTGGAGAACATGTGCATGGAGCCGCCCTTGCCGTAGGCGATGCCCTCACGGCGGCCGAGGAGCTCGCCGATGATGGAGCGGACGCTGGCACCGCGCATCAGGGCGAAACCGTGGCAGCGGTAGGCGGTGATGATATCGTCCTCCTTGGTTAGGGCGTGCTCGATGCCGGTGGCGACGGCCTCCTGGCCGGTGGACAGGTGGCAGAAGCCACGAATCTTCTTCTCCTTGTACAGACGGTCGGCGGCCATTTCCATTTGTCTAGGGGTGTCTCAATTAGCCTTGATCCGCACGTGATACTATTAGACGAATCGGTAGACGGTGGTGCGTGTATCGATTCGCCCTGCTAGCATGTGTCGTGTCGTCCATACCTGATGCTGACCATGTCGTAGTACATCTGCTTCAACTCCTTCTTGGAGACCTCGATGGTGTAGGGAGGGGGGTCGAGCTCGTAGGTCTCGAAGCTCTCGTCGGAGAGGTTGACGAGGAAGTGCTCATCCTCGGACTATTGGAAAGAGGGTGATGTTAGCGACGTTGTCCTGCTCGATTGGCGTGGTCTTGCCATGACAACACGATGCTGACACAAATCCACCATCTTCCAGTATTTGCCGCTCCAAGCGAGCACAGACAACAGCCGGTTCACCCGAATGAAATTCGGTATCCGTCGGAGCAAGTGCAAAAGAAAACTGTAAACAGGGTGCATACCTCGGGCACATTGGTGCTCAAAGACGCAGAGGCCGCATCAGTGGTGACGAAGCGAGCGGCAGCGACGGCGCCCAGACGAATGGGAGTAGCAGCGACAGCAGCCCGGCGAATCGCCACGCGAGGGGCGGAAAGAGCTCTGGAGAACATCGTTTAAGCAAACAAGCCAAGGGAATGACTTGAGGAGAAAACGATGCTAAAGAAGGGCGGTAGGAGGGGGGGCGATGAAGAAGGGTGTAAAGGTTTGGGGAGAGGGGAGAAAAGGCAGAGCGTAGACCCTCACGTAAAGCTGCGAAATTTCGCGCTGGTTGAGCGTTGAGAGCTCGACTGCGACGCTTGTTGGTCCCTTGCTAACCAGGAGTGGACTAGCTCCCATGTCACGTGTAGCTTTATCTGTGCCATGGCCCCAATCGGGCCGGCCAAATCCCTGAGAAAAAAAACTCCCCTGACCCTCCGGTGCGCTCCGGGCGCCTGGCCAGGGCAGGCCAAACCCGATATTTCGTCTGATAGCGCCGCTATTCGGTCGATATTATGGGGCTATGTTTCTTACCTTGGTAGGTACCTAACATTCATCAAGTCTCATCTTCACCTCACCAAGTCGACAACACTTGTTAAATAAGCACCATATTTATTGGCATGAGTAAATCTATTCCTAACTTCCATGGCCGGATATCTTTCTGTTCGCTGCCCACCAATGGCAGCCAAATGGTATAATCCACTGTCGATATCGCCACAGTCCAAAAGTCGAATGGGCGCTCATTGTATGCCGTGTCCCAAGCCTGGCCCAAATGCAAATGTTTCCCCCAAAAATGCATATTACGGTAAAGCAACGCTAATATCATGAGCGTCCAAAAACCATCACCATGGTCTATATACCCTTGTATTCCCAAATTATACAGCAACGCGCCTGCCCGAGATAAGGAAATCCCACCCACTGCACAGACTGCGACTAGGTCCAGCCTCGCAGAATGCCGTCGTAGTAAAGGGCATAGAGGATACAAGCCTCCTGAGTCCTTTTCTCTTTCGCCACAGAGGCTCACCCGGTCGATGCATTCCGGACGCACTGTGCGACGCTTCATGATGTCGTCTCGCCCAGTAAATTCTCGAGTTGTTGTGGTATGTCGACATCCGGCAACGCGGCCATTGCTGATGCAGCATCTTCCATATCTACATCTTGACTCAATGATGCTCGACTCGAGTCGCCAGTGGTTGACTCCCTATCATGGTATCCAAAGCCCATGGCGCTAACAGAGCGATGGGGCTCATCTTGCAGCGCACGATGATGCAATGATAATGGCCGGTCGTACAACATTTCCTCGGGGGGAGCAAAGGACCACACCTCCATGACAGTCCGTCCATTTCGCAAAGCCATTGCGACACACTTCTCCTCCTCAAAGGCAACACGCCAGACTGCGTCGCCTTGAGATATCAGTTCGCGCACGAGGTGGCCTGTTTTGAGATCCCAAATCTTGACGCGACCGTCGCTACCACCACTGACAACTCGGGTGTCATCAAATTGTAGGCTCGTAACACTATTATCATGCGCCGCCAGCCTATGAATCGGACACATCCTTTCCAGGGACCAAACTCGAACGGAGCCGTCTGAGCCACCGGTAACCAACGTATCTCCGCGCATTTGCAACTGGCCAACGAGTGACGTGTGGCCCTGGAGGATGGCAAGGCACTCACCACTTCTGGGATCCCATACACGGACGTTGGTATCTAGACTACCCGTCACGACTCGCTGCCCATCAAAGGCAATGGCGTAAATCTGGCTAAAATGTCCCTGGAGAGTCTGCAAGCACCGTCCTTCCGAGATGCTCCAAACACGGGCGAATGTATCGTAGCTACCAGACACAACAATGTCTCCCTTGATTTCGAGACAACGGACACTCGACTGGTGCCCCAAAAGCACATTGCGGCACAGGCCCGTTCTGATATCCCAGATTCTGAGCGTCGTATCGCGCGAGCCGGAAATTGCAGTATGTTCGTCGGCCATCTTCAGACAGCGGACTGTAGAGGTATGCCCCCGCAAGGTGTGCAGGCAGGCGCTGTCAGAGTTAGTATCGGGGAGCATCCCTGTATGTAGACGGCTCCGACTCACCCAGTCTTAAGATTCCACACGCGGACATCCCTATCACAGCCACCACTGACCATGGTGTCGCCCCAGGGAACCATGGCCCAGACGCCCATGACGTGGCCCTGCAGTGTTCGCTGCGAGTTGCCATCCGTATCAAAAACGTGAATCTTGGCGTTATCAAGAGCCACGATGATGTATTTGGAAGTGAGGTGCAAACTGGTGACGACGCCCCCCTCTTGTGTTATATTCTTTACCGTGCTGGTACCACCAGAGCGCCAGGCAGCCTCAACAAGATACCTTTGTTTGAAGTGTGATTTATACGTTCGCAGCTTGGGTCGCATTGGGCTGCCATCCACGCTCCGTGAGCCGGCGTGATGAACCATGAGAGGCATGGCACCAGGAAAGCTGCTAGTCATTTCAGAGTCGGCGGCGGGTAATTGAGGGGTTGGTCGGGTTGGGACGGCCGAGGCAGCGTATACTTCTGATAACCGTCGTCCGTAGTCGTGCTTTACACAAAGGTTTTTCCAAGTCATGTCGTCGCTGAGCAAATCACGCCATCGCTTAGAGACTTGAGATGCGCGCGCCAAGACTTTAGGGTCATCGATGAACGATAATATCTATGAGAACAGAGTTAGAGACTTGTAGGGGGGTCATGACTGGCAAATGCTGATTGCATACCCTTAGGCATAGCTCATCAGGAAGACTTGTGAATGGGTCCTTTTTCAGAAGCGGGCTGACAAACTGATGTACAAAGCTCAACTGCTGACTTGTGCACAGGTTAAGTAGATCGGCGAGAACTCTTGTACGTTGGGGACCGGAGCAGTTTTTAAAGTGCTGGCGAACCTTGGCGAGGAAGAAATCCTCGTCGTCGGCGGCATCACTCCAGTCGGGCTGGTAATGTGAAGGGCCGGGCGAGGCGGCTGGGGTAGGCGGAGGCGGCGGCGAGCCGGTGAGTTGCTGATCAAAGTCGGCGGCCGGAGTGGACATGCTAGGCGTGGGCGGCCCATTAAGGTGCCGTTGCTTGGGCATCTTTTCGTCGACGAGGTCCATGTCTGAATCGGAGGCGGCATGAAGCATGAGCTCTTCGGTCAAGAGGCTCCCTCTCCTCTCGGAGAAGCCGACGGGTTTCTTGTATCCAGTCATTGGCCGGCCGGGGAGGGGACCGAGTGAAGACGTTGGCGCGGGAGCGAGCGATGGCGATGGCGATGAGGAGGAGGAGGAGGCGTCGGGTGCGGGCCAAAGGCGGCGGCAGTGGCACGAAGCAGAGAGGAAGAATGGCGGCGACAAGTTTTTGTGTGCTATGTAGGTGAGCGAGTGCGAAAAGGGCGATGTTGGAGATTCGACGAGGGATGGACCAAGGGCGGCCAAGAAGAGAGCGAGCGGGCCGGCCGAGTCAGGCTTTTTGCATGCATGCAGCAGAGTCAAGTAAGGAGGAGAGAGAGGGCGAAGTGAGGAGAATCGAGGGCGCGGCCGCAGGACCCAGGCAGCGTTTGTGGCGATTGGGCTGAAGGAGCGTTGGGCGGTAAGAAGGAAGAGGGCAAGGGCGGAAAAGTAAATGAGGAGGAAGAGGACGAGGAGTGTAGTTGGCGGGCTCGGTTGATGCAACCATCGAGGGAACCGGCAGTGTGGCCCAGTCCAGCCAGTCCAGTCAAAGAGGCAAGCAGCAAGCAGCGACCCAAGTGGGCGCTGGGCACGGGGCGCAAGGGACTGACAGCGACTTGGTATCACGGCGTGTGGCGCTGGCATGTACTGCGGATTTGGTTACACTTGAGGAGGTATAGATGGTTGGAGAAGATGCTCTATTTTCTCTTGCTTCTTGGAGCTATTTTCTAGACTTTTCCTACTCTTCTTTGGGCTACCCATATGCTATGGCGCTCCGTCCTGGTACCTTACCTCCGTCTAGGTAGGTAGTTACAGGTACTGTACCTAGCAAACCGCTAGTGAGGCACCCACCATTGACCAGCTGGCGCTTGAGCCACCTAGCGCCTCCCCTCCGCGACAACAACTGGCGGCCACCGTTGGGTCTGCCCGCGGCGGAGGCGGGATCCCAAAGGCAGCGGCCGATGAAAGGCGCTCAAGTCTCGACGGTGTCTTTGAATGGCGCTCGATGGATGCAGTCTGAAGCGAAGCCGGGGTGGGGGTACGCGCGCGCGCGCGGCCGCCGCAGACGACCCCATCAACGCCATGCGCAACAAGGGCAATAATAATAGTCGCCTGCAGAAATCATAAAATCAAATCGGGCTTCATGACAGATTTCCGGGCCGATACAACACACCACATGCACAGCGCCGGCCGCGCCGCCATAGGTGAGAAAAAGCAAAAGCACGCAAAAAAACAAGTGGTTGGTGGGACCCCTGGTCGATACATGGCGTGCTGATCTCAGGTACGGGAGGGAGACTTTTGGAAACACAAGCAAGTATCCGTACGGAAAGCAAGCAAGTCAGCAGGCAAGCACCGAGTGTCAGTTCTCGGGTCCTTGCTCAAGAGAAACAAAGGGATGGATGGGTGTGATGCAGGCACAAAAGGGTCCGTGTCCAGGCGGTTGAGCCAGATGCTGGCGCGCCTCGTCTCTCTTGCGGCACAAGGGGATTTTGGCAGATAACTAGGTGAAGGCGTCAAAAATCGCCGACACGACATGAAAGCGAACCAAGAAAGCACGAGGCGAGCTAGTTACACATGTCATACTGGTAATAATAAGGCGGCCGCCTTTCGACAACGGCTTAGCCGCCGCAAGAAAACCACCCGAGAACCAAGATAAATGGCCGAGACAACTAGGGAGACTGTACGGATTACGGAGTAACCATGTACATAGGTAACTTGTAGGTAGTTATCAAACTCGACTAATCCGTTCATCGGGTGTCTTGGCCGCAACCTGGTGCCCTGGGGGTTGTGCATTGCAACTCTCATACCAGATCTGTGAGAGAGCCTGCCCGCCCGTTCCCTTGACCGAACCAAGACCAAGAACAAAACTCCCATTCGGCAATTGAACCAAATCCCAAAAAGGAAAAAGGGGACGAATAATCAGGCCATCTCCTTTTTTCCTCGACAAGAAACATGTTGCTGGTTCACCAACCCCCCCCCTCGTCTAAGCCACCATGTCTGTATCGGCGCAGATCAAACCAGGTTGGCTAAAAAGTACCCTCGCTAGGAAGGGTAAAAAAAGCCGCGGCTTGCATCAATAGCCTTTCACCTGGGCGAGCACCAATATCAGCCTGCTATGACAAAAGGGGCTGTAACACGGGCTGGCGCCGCTCGGTCCACAGCATTACCAGCAAGCGCGTGTCAACGGCTGCTTATAGATTGTACTCGGTACCAGGTCATTCGAGTTGGCCACCCAACTATTATGTACTGGTACTGTGTTCATCATCCACCATAGTTAGTTATGTGTTTTCACTGTTTCATTCTTCGGCAGCGGAGATGGCTTGCTGCACCCGCTCAGATCAGCGTACCGGAACTTCCACCCCCCTGCCGCTCCACGCTCAGCGACCTTTCACTTCTTGCTCTGCATATTACACATTGTTATAACTATATAAATCCATCGTTCCTTCTCGTATAACTAACTACCTCTATTTACCTCGCCCCCTTGTGTTTGCTACGGTGAGCCGGCCAATGTACGCCGCAGCCATGTTTGTGCCCTTCTTTTTTTAGGATAGCACATATCGCGGCCCCCTCCCTTTACCAGGAGCCCATGTCTTGGTGTTTCACACTTTAGTCGCTCGATCTACAGCGGGGAGAAAAGGAAAGGGCACATCATGTAGCCGTATGCACTAGTACCCGTGTAACTATCGTCACATGGCTCACGCCGGTTCGGTCCTAACTAACATATCGGCGGCACGTACCGCTGGCATACGAAAATGCGACGTGCAGACGTCATGAACATGGGGAATTTCCCTGATCGTTTTCAAATTGCCATATAATAAGTTGCGCTATCTCTAACTTCTATTAGACCACCATCTCCCAATTGAGCAAAAAGAAAAGTCAGCCTGTAAAAGCAGAAGCAATGCATTCTATATTAAACGTAGAAGTCAACAACTCCAATTCCATTTTTTGTTACATCCTTGCAGAAATGCCCCCAACCCCATTTTTAGAAGAGAAAATTCCAAGACATGTCGCGCACATGGTCTCAGTGGTGATGACCTCCAATCTGCGTCAAAAGCGGCAGCAGCATGCCTGCCGTTGTCGCGAGCGTGTCCCGCAGCGCCGGTCCACTGGCCTTGGCCGGATTGTTGGTACTCGTCTCCATGTAGCCATTCGACGGCGGGCCGTGGTCGTGGCCGTGGCTCGCGCCATTCTCCTCCATGGCATGCATGGCAACATATCTACATCTCAGTTAGCACGTGTTACAACTCGCCAACCAATCGCCGTGAACCACTTACAAAAACGTGCCGCCCGAGAAGAGCAGAAGCATGCCCGTCCACCAGTGGCCCGCGCTCTCGTCCATGTTGCCGCCGCCCAGCAGCCAGACGAGCAGGTACGTCGTGAGTGCGCCGGCGGGCGCCGCCAGGCTAAAGACCAGCAGGTGCGCCTTGGCTGCGCGCTTCGACAGGCCCTGCCGCAGCAGCACCGAGGTGAGGCCAAACGCGGCGGGCGCCTTGTGGATCATGATGGCGAGGAAGATGATGAAGCCGAGCTTCATGCTCGACGAGGCGGCCGACGCGCCCATGGCGATGCCGTCGGCCGCGGCGTGAATGACCAGCCCAATCGTCGTGGCCATGCTGCGCGCCACCCGGGGCGCCTCACGTAGGGAAAAGCTGCCCAGGAAGCCGCGTTCCTCGTCCTCCACCGAGGCCCGATCGCCGCCGAGGTTGTCCATGCTGATGTGCTGCGTCTGCGGGCGCGCCGACTGCAGGCTGTCGCTGGCGTGCTGCGGCAGCCGGTCGATGAGGAACATGAGGATGAAGCCGAGGACCATGGACAGGCCGATCTCGAGCGTCGGGATATCACGGTGCGTCTCTTCGCCGCCCGCGTGCGTGCCGTGTTCGTCGGTGCCGGAATCCGCAGACCCGGGTGTCTCCTGGGACGGGGGCGAGCTTGTCTCCTCGTTGGCCCGGGTGGCCGCTCGGCGCACAATATCACCTGCTTCCTTGTTGTACCAATCGTTCGTCGCGAGGGTTTCCGCTGAGGCGGCGTACGCTAGAATGCTGCGCGCTTCGATGGCGAGGGCACGGGGTAGGCGACGCAGCAGCTGGCTAGTCTTGGGGTCGTGTGCGGCAATCGGCGTGGTCGAGGCGGCTTCGATGCCTTCCGGGATGATGATGATCAGCGACGTGCCGACAAGGACGCCGACACCGATGCTCGAGATCAAGCGCAGCTGAGACTGCGACAGGTTCATTGACAGCGGCACTGCGCCGGCCAAAAAGGAGCTACGCGATGCAGATTGTCAGTACTGTTGTGTGCCAAGGGGTTCGTTTTGACGGGTATGATGGGCTTACGCGACTGCCATGATGGCCTAGGGGACGTGATGGTAAGCATAAAACGTTTTCAATTGCTGAATGCGCGAGTAACTCACGCATAGCACAACGAGGAGCGCTAGGCCGGCCATGGCTATGATGGCTCCCTCACGGGCAGCTTGCGCTTTCTTGCTGGCAAAGAGGGTGCTATTATTTTCTCGTCTTGGCTGTAAAGCTAAGTGTGCATAGTAAAGCGTTTTGCGCAATGCAGGTTTGACTGTTCGCGCGTGACGTATGCGCAGATGTCGTGATGAAACAAGGATCGTGGAATGTTGGGAGCTGGTGCTCGAAAGCGCTTCGTTGTCCAAAATGTGGGAAGAAGGCTGTCACAGATTGTCTTGCGCGTCACCCCTCCAGAATCGACCCCTGCGCGCCAGTAAATGATAATGATTACAACGCAGTGGTACAAAGTATGACACTTTTATTTTGACCGAGATACAATAAACTAGATTGTAATTTATCATGTAAAAGATTACATTGCCTAATCATTTGCCCTTTGGATTCCATGCGAACTGGCAACGTGGTTCGGCTAGTGGTATGTACGAACCCCACGAACAACGCTCACTGATCCCGGTATCGTCTTTTTCACATGGGTGCCAAGATTTTCGTTGGCCTTGGGTGCTTGGCAGGTTCTTCTATTGAAAGCACTCATATGCTCCGTAGAAATGATCGATCTACTTCATTTTGTTTCCAGACAACGGCACAGCACAAATAGCGTGGCTTACCTGCTCAGTATCCAAACTTCCCGAGGACAGTAGGACGAAATGCGACATTTTTGTTTGGCCTTGCGAATTTCTGATCGCTAATTATAAAGAGCAAATCTTTAAACTTGCTGCCAAACAAAATAGGCACAATATTATATCCATAACTACTCGTGTCCTCGGAGCCGCGCTCAAAAAAGTGGACTGCAAGGCTTAGAAAACGGGTGGCGTGGTTGGCAACACCTTCGTCTCCTACATCTACCTCGCGTCGCGATGGCAGCGCCGCCATGAACGACGACAGAACGTCTCCCAAGAGACGACATATCCTTTCCTCTATAAACCCCGAGAATTTACCCTTCGCGCCACTCAGGAGCCGGCATTCCGAGCGCCGCTCACGATCAGCAACCCCACCACCGAGGTCGCCACGAAAAGAGCCAACAACTGATGGCGGCGAACAAGAACCTGACGGTGACGACACAACGCGGCCGAGGCGCAGCCGGCTGAAGCTCAAAGGCGAGGCGTCTAGCCGTACCCATCGCAGTCGGCGCCGCCGCTCGCGAGAACGTCCTGACGACCGTGATCGAAAAGGGTCCCCACGTCGGCATCGCCACCGTTCACGAGATGGCTACGAAAACGCCGACGAAGAAAAGGAACGCTCCCGTCGTCATCGCCATCGGCACCGACGCCGAAGCCGCTCGCCGACACCGCCAAACCCCCACGAACCAGCACCGCTCGACCCGGAAGCAGCATTCCGCGAGTCCCTGTTCGACGCCATGGCCGACGACGACGGCGCGGCCTACTGGGAGGGCGTCTACGGCCAGCCGGTGCACATTTACGAGCAAGACAAGGTCGGCCCGCAGGGCGAGCTGGAGCGCATGACGGACGACGAGTACGCCGCCCACGTGCGCCAGCGGATGTGGGAAAAGACGCACGCGGGCCTGCTGGAAGAGCGCGCCCGGCGCGAGGAGCGCCGCAAGAAAAAGGAGGACGAGGCCCGCCACAGCCAGAAACTGCACGAGGAGATGGAGCGCAGCCTGCGCCGTGGCGAGGCGCGCCGCGAGAAGCGACGCTGGGCCCAGCGTTGGGAGGACTACACGACCGCGTGGGACCACTGGGACGGCGCCGTGCAGCACATGGCGTGGCCGTGGGAGGGCGGCGGTGCCGTCGGCGCGGCCAAGCGCGCGGCGGGATGGGGCATCGTCGAGGACGGCGCCGAGGAGCCGGTCGACGAGGACGCGGTGCGGGCGTTTTTTGTGCACGGGCTAGCCGCAGAGGAGATTGGCGAGGCGGCGTTTGTGGCCAGGCTCAAGGACGAGCGCGTGCGCTGGCACCCGGACAAGATGCAGCAGCGGTTGGGCGGCACTGTAGATGACAAGGTTATGAGGGACGTGACGGCGATTTTTCAAATCATTGATAGGCTGTGGGCGGATATGCGGAAGAAGGAATGATATTATTATACCCAGCACTTGAAAGTGATTTTATAGCAATCCAACCATTGATTGATATTTTATGACTCTGGGGCCGGAGTGAAGAGCTGTTGGCAACAACCAGAACCAACGAAGTTTTGTGGCTAGTTGGTTCAGCATTCACCACGTTTTGAAATTCTTGTACTGAAATTTGTGGTATTATTGGCAAGTCGCTAGACGACTGCCCAAGACCCAAGTCCTGCTACCATGGTTACACTCTACAAAGCCAAAAGCCCTCAGATGTGATATCCCAGCGGCGCAGGCACCAACTTTTCCGCTAAATATTATGTATTATAAAACAAGCAAACCCGTTTTCAACCCTCATTGATCCTGACAGCGGAGGTCAAAAGAAAGAAAAAAGTTTACAGGTTGGCCATGACGGCGGCACCACCAAAGAGCGCACCCATGGCGACCATGGCAGTGGGCGCGGGGGCGGCGTTGGTCGCGGAGCTGGCCGACTTGGCGGCGGAGCTGGCCGAGGAAGCGGCAGTCGAGGCGGCGCCGGACGCGGAGCTGGCGGCCTGGGAGAGGGAGCTGGCGGCGGTGCCGGACGCGCTCTTGGCCGAGGAGCTGAGCTCGCCGGCCTTGGAGGACAGGGAGGAGGCGGCGGAGGAGGCGGCGGTGGCGACCTCGGTGGCGGCGCTCTGGATGGCGGAGCCGGCGTTGGTGGCGACGCTGGACGCGGCCGAGGCAAGGTTGGTGGCCGCGGTGGACGCGGCTGAGGCGGCGCCGGCGCCGGCGGTGGACACGTCAGAGGCGATGCCCTCGGCACCGGTCTTGATGCTGTTGCCGATGGAGTTGAGGTCGTCGCCGAGGCCAGCCTGGAAGAGGGTGCGTGTTAGTCACGGAGAGAAGGGAAGAGTTGGTGAAGGGGGGGTAACGAACCTGGACGACGGAGGCAACGGCGAGGATGACAATGTTGGAGAACTTCATGTTGATGGTTGTTGGGTGTTGGGGTATAAGGTTGGTGTGTTGGTGTAGATATGGTATAAGACGATTGGATGAAGAGAGAGAGAGAGAGAGAGGAAGAAATGGAAAAAGGAAAGGAAGGAGCTCACGTTTATATGCTTGCAGCAGTTTATACGAGGCTCTTAGGTACCTACCCGTGCACCCAGGATTCCCGGGGCAAAAACACGACATGAGGACTAGACACACCCTCCCTTGTCGTTTTGGTCTGATCCGCATCCCCTTGCCTTGCTTTTCCGGGCCGTGGGGGCTGCAATGTACCCGCAGGATGCAGTCACCACTTGTTGAAACTAAACTTGGCGGACGTTGAACTCTAGGTAGGTACTGAGAATTTACCTACTTGCCATGTTATTTCTGCAGACACCCCTCCCTCCAGCCGCAAGCAGCGCCGCGTTGGTCTGCTTGTGGCGCAGTGGAACGCCATCAGCGCAGACTGACATCAGTGATTATTTTTGGCTGCACGCCCCCAAGAGTCCAACGGTCTTTGTTGGGGGCTGGCCCCTTGATCCCCCCGAAGGATTGCATCATAGCCCGACGATCCAGTTCCAGGGAAAATACAAGGGGTAGATGGAAGTTTTGGATAGAGTGCAATTAAAAGAATTACGTTTGCAGAATCCAAAAGAGCTCAGTCTTTTGCAGGATTTTGGTGGTTGGCAGGAAATGGCTCCCCGTCTAGGCGAGCGAGATCGAGATTTGGTCTGCGACAGTGGCTGGGGGGGTGTGCCTTGGCAGAGAACTAAGCACCGCCACATGTGGCGTCATCACTTTCACACACGCAACAACAAGCGACAAGTTGGTGGTCAGTTTTCACCAGAGCCCGTTTCTTTCACAAGGAGGGCGGTGGTGGTTTGGGCCAGCAGTTCGAGCCCACGCCCACCTACTGGGATGATGGTCGAGCCTCGGTGGAGCATGGAGTAGCCTGATTCTGGCTTCTGAAAATAGGAACAACTGCTCCTCTCTTGCACTGCCTTGCGCATTGCGTCTGCGGGTGATTCCCAGATCATCTCAGGCTCAAAAGACACGCGATGCGCAGCGCCCCGTCTAGAGCCTGCCGCAACAAGAAGAAACGGGCGAAATTTGCGTAAGCCTTGCCTGGTTCTATTTTTGTATTCTGGCTGGCGGGCGTTTTTGCTTTTGGCTTTTCTGCTCAGCCACAGCCTGCACGCGACTTACTGGCTGGCCTCACCGGCCCAACAGGTACCTGTACTAGCCACGTTCTGGGCGACACTACCTTAGTACCTTGGTACATAGGCCGTTAGGAACGGCGGCGGGAAAGAGGGCCTTGTTTTCCGTTGCTTCACAATTCAACGCCCCTCGGTATCATTTTTTAGCTCATTAACCCTGCAATGTGACAATGAGGGCAAATAGTAGCCTAGCAACAAAGCAACATGTATGTAATCATGACCTCGTAGTGATGCAATAGAAGCCCACCCGCATGTATTATGCAACATGGATCTGGGTGGTGGGACGACGCTGAACACACAGAGAGGGCTTGTGCCAATAACACACCCTGCATCACCCCCAGCCAAGCTTTCTTCTCCCGAAGCCTAATTCCAGCTCCCTCCGCCTTGGCTTCTCGACTGCTACTCCGTTTTCCAATTGCTATCCGTAACTGACTTATTACTGGTAGTTTGGTAAGTCGTCGACGCTAATTTGTACTGAGCCCCGGTTCCTGCCTTGGTTGCGGGGCTGATGGATCCCAAAATCACCATGTGGCTCAGCAAGCGGTTTCACACCATCCGCCACACTGTCATAGACTTGGTCACCTCATTGCCGTCACCTTATTGTTCTCTTTGTTCTCCGCGTGGCACTACGTGAACCCTTTCAACTACCAGTCCGTTCTTTCCAACGCTACATTGGTTCTTGAACAGTAATTGGCACGTTGCCACGAAATAAAAGACAAAAAAGTGCCGAGCTAGCTGCTAGTCCTTCCCCCACAGTCCCTGAACACCGCACCGACAGCCGCTCATCCAAGGCCGCTCCTACTACTTCCTTCTCCAGTATTCCCCGGCACTAGCTCGTCCTTCTCAGCTTACACGTCTCGGTTGTACGGAGCAATGCCTCTTTTCAGCTCGCTGACGATTTCCGCCGCCTCGTCGACGTTGCGCGCTTCAAAGTCATAGCGCTTCGTCTCGGCTGCCTTGTACACCACCAGCTGTAGGCAGTGACGTCAGTACGTACTCTCGTCAAGAAGCCGAGGACCAAAAGAAAGAACCGCAGGAAAAAGTTACATACCTTGACATTGGTCGGATGCTTTCGCGCCACTTTACATCCAATCACGTTGCTGAAGTGCACCGTCGTCGTCTTGCTCGTCGTGTCCTGCAGCGCCTTGCCCGCCGATGCTGGCACAATGTGAATGTACTCGCCGTCAATCATCAGCAGCCGCTCGCTGAGCACCAGCCGCATCGGCTGCTTGCGCCACACCGTGTACTTCTTGCCCCCGTCGCTGCCCAGCTCGTCCTGCTTCAGCGCCTCGCGCGCCAGGGGGTGCACGCCCATGATCGGGCCCGCGCCCCCGCGCTGCTTGTTGCCACCACGCCGCAGCATGTGGCTCTCGGGCAGTGACGTCGCGGCCCCGGATCGCGGGGACGCGCTGCTGGGTGATCCCGCCATTGTCAGCGGGCCGTCCGTCGCGAACCGCCGCCGGTAGAGCTCCAGGTCCGACACGTTGCCAATCGACGAGACCGGCCGATCAATCATGACCACAGCACCCGAGCCTGGTAGCTTGAGAACATGATTGGCCTTGTCAAGCTGTCTCTTACGACACACCATCTCGAGCACTTCTTCGAGGTATGTATCAGTCGTCACATCAACCGTCACCATTTGTCCAGGTACAATGTCAGAAGACATGATGTGCACACGAAGTAGTTTCTGCTGGCCTCTGTTGGTATTCGGCATGATGTTCGGCGTCTGCGGCGCATCGGCAAGTGGCGTATTTGGACGATAAGTAGTCGTCATAATAGGGTTATGTCGTGGCCGGCTGGCTGCTGCCTGCATTGCGGCGACACCAGGCTGTAGTGCGTCTTTGCGCGCTTCCTCTGGATCGTTTGCCGGAGCGGACTGCGGCGTAGCCTCTTCGTCCTGCTGTGGAGTGAGTCTCTTGTTCGTCTCATACTCGTCCTCGTCTGCAAGCACCAATGCAAAGTCATCAAATGCTCTCGAGTTGGCGCGCATACGACCACCGCCTCTCATGCCGGCATTGTGGACCGTTGTAAAGGAAATGAGAGGCTTTGTTCTCTCAAACGGCGGGAAATCGTCGTCTACTTCACCCCCCTCCTCTACCATTCGTAGTGTCCACCAATTGATATTCAGTCTGTCGCGCGGCAGGCGAGGCTCTCTCTTCTCTTCATTATATCGATACAAACTTAGACCGATGAGGTCTGCCACGGTCGCAGCTCGTTCAGCGCCGTGGCCGTCGCTCACACGTGGCCGAATAGGCACCTCGAAGGGCTTGCTTGCTGTTTTAGCGTATGCTGGGTATATTCGAACAGCAATGGAACCCGGCGTCCCCTGGCCGCTATAGTGTGCAAATTTTTGAAACGGTATTGATGGCTTGTGCTCTTTGGCTTTCAAAGCCTGGGTCAAAAGACTTGCTGGCTGTATAATGCTAAGAGGTCGGATAGTGCTGAGAGGCCGAGGAGGCGGCAGGGCCGACAGCTTTGCGGGCTCCGATGGGAGCTGTGATTTTCGTACTGTTGATTGTCTGCGGTAATTACGCGGCGGGGTACCAACCACTGGGTGTGTTGGAGTGCCGGTTTCAACCACATTTAGGATGGAAGCCGAGTCGATACTTCCGACGTAATCTTCTGAAATATCGGACCCCTCCTCCGAGTCTTCCTCCTCCTCTGGTAACAATGTTGTGTCGGTGCGTTTGATGCCCGGCGTGGGTTCCTCGTTAATCTTGTCCTGCAGCTTCAGCGTGCGCGCCACCGCCCGTGCGGCCTCGCGATGCCTTTGCGCAAGCGGAACGTCAAACTCGCCCTCGGAAGAAATCTCGCTGCTAGTAACAGTATCTCTTCGCGTGCGCTCCTTGACCGTCTCCAGTGCCGACTGCGAGCCGCGGCGGGGCGGCCTCGGTGACGTGCTCCCAAAGGGCTGCTTGAGGGCCGTGTTCTGCAGCGGCGACGACCCCGCGCGGTTGCGGAGGGGCATTTTGGCGAACTTTATTCGCTGCGCGTCGCGCTGCTCCTGCTCCTCCTCGCTATCGTCGGTGAGGTCGCTGCTGTCGTCCTCCTCCATCTGCTCTCGGCGCCTGCGCCTCTTAGTGGCGATGCCGGGGCCCATGGTGTCGGCGCCGCCGTGCGTCAGCATGCCCCCATCATCCTCGCCGTCTTCGAGCGATAGGCCGAGCTGGCGCGGGGCCTGAAAGTATTCCGACGCAATCGCCGTGGGGATCGGGGGAGAATGCGTCCGCTTGTGGCTCGACGTCGGGCGCCATCCCGCAGCTTTGAAGGGGGCTGTGTTGATAAAGGTCTCGTTTACGGTGAGGAGGCGCTCGCCCACGCCGTCGGCAATGTCGTTGAGATAGCTCGTTCGCAGTTGGTAGGAGACGAGACTGCGAGTCGTTAGCTGGTACAGATGCGACGAGACACGGAGAAGGAGGGCTGTGCTCGGCCTCACTCACTCTTCAACTTGAATGACGGACATGACGCCGGGCAATTCGGGAATTGGAAAGGTTAAATGATGTATGTATAACTTGTATAGATGCACATTGCGAGACGATAATGGAGCACCTTGTGCCACAAGGTGACAACGGAGATGGAGAGAGGAAATCGGGTTTGAATAGCGCTTCCCCACGTCCCACGTCGAGACAAAGCACTAGTGCTGATCCACCTGAGCCAACTTACACGCGGTTGAGAAAAGTATATGTAGCGTTTTTCGCCTTTTTTCTTTTCATGTAGATTCTTCTACCGTGATCAATGCGTTTATATATATATATATATATATAACAGTCAGAGGTTCATTGTCGAACCACTTGCGTAGACTAAGCAGATTGGCAACCGTACAAACCCAGAGGCCTCAAGTACGCGACATTTGTCATATATATATATTTAGGGGCTTTTGGCGAAAACACTGCAATGGCAGATCGTTGCATTATTCATGTATTATCTATGGTATCAATATATACCTAACTGGTTGGGCATTGCCGAGTGTCGTGCTGTAGGTGCAAGACCACTGACCCCACTATTCACTGGCAGCACAGAGAAAAGTCTCGCCGCCCGATGGTGACAATCTTGTTTTCCTCACAAAACCTCCGCAACACAACACAACGCAAACATGGGTCTCGTCGACTATTCCGAATCCGAATCCTCCGGGTCCGAAGCGGAAGCTCCCACGAAGCAGGTCACCAAGCCCAAGACGGCCGCCAACAGTAAACGGATACCCTCGGTCATCGACAAGGGCAAGATCATTGTCAACCTCGCCGGCACCGCGACAGCCGCCACGCCAGCCCCGGGTGACGAGCCCCCCGCCAAGCGAGCGCGCACTACGGGCGGCGGCGGGCGCTTTGCCGGATTCAACTCGTTCCTGCCGCCACCAAAGAACGCGGCGGCCAAGCCAGGGCCAGGAGGCTCCAAGGTCGCGGCACCAGTCTTGGGCGGCCTCCGGACGAGTGCGGCGCCCGGCTTCAGCAGAGACGCGGCGGGCACAACGGCTACCGGCGGCGATGATGGAGACGCGGGGGACTCTGCGCCGAGGAGCCTGCCGCCGCCAAAGAGCGAGATGGCGGCGCCGTCGATTCCAGAGGGCCAGAAGCCCGCGTCCGAGGTCAAGCTCACGGGCAAGCCGCTCATGTTTCGCCCGCTGTCCGTCGCCAAAAGCAAGAAGAAAAAGACATCCACCGCCGCCGCCAAACCCGTGCCCGCAGAACCCACGCCGACACCCGCGCCCGAACCACCCAAGAAGAAAGCCTCCCTCTTCTCCATCCCGACCGACGACACAGCGCCCGCGCCCGGCCCGGCCCTGCCCAGCGGCGGCGCCTACGAGCCTCTGTTCGAGACTGCTGCCACGGCCACGCAAGACGACAGCGGCGCCTACGCCGACGCGGCCCCTGCTGGCGAACCCGAGGCGGCGGAGTCGGTGGGCGCCATGGCCGACGACATGAACCTGTCGGCGGCGGCGCGGCGCGCGCTCTTTGGGCGCGGCGGCGGGGACGCGCGCGCGGCGGCACAGCGCGTCGTCAACTTCAACATGGACGCCGAGTACCGGCACAACGAGGCGCTGCGGGCGAGCGGCGAGCAGCAGACGTACAACCCGGTGCGCGCCATCCAGGGCAGCGGCAAGAACAGCCTGCGGCAGCTCGTCAGCAACGTGCAGGGCCAGCAGGACGCGCTCGAGGAGAGCTTCGCCAAGGGCAAGTCGAACCGCCGGGAAGCGTCGAGCCGGTATGGCTGGTGAGCGAGGTTGGAGTTGCGGTCCGTGTATGCAAGGCATAGTGAGTGGTCTCTACAATGTATGCATGCACGCATAGTGATACCCCCGTTTCTATTGTTTTTTTTCGAGTAAGAGCTGCACCGAGTTTTGTTGATTGCGTTATTCATAAAGCAGAACCTCAATATGCTAATGCTAATGCAAAGTGTACATTTCATGCCCGGGCTTTCAGCATGTCGTTACCACCACCGTTCTTGCACTTTTAAACTCTTGATCGACGAGGAGAAACCCCCATTCACCTCGCGTAATGGGCGAAATATCATCGTAGCCATGGGGCGTCATGGGCCCGTCTCGCTCCCGCCATGGCGGATCCGGTCCCGGACTGAGAACCTGATCAATCGACGTGGACTGCGCGTTCATCCAGAGCTGATTCCTGGAAGCTATGACCTGACCGGCCTCGTCATCCGGCCGCGCCGTTAAGACCTCTGCCTCGGGCTCTATCCTCTGTGCATCTGGTTTCGGGTCGTCGTCCCCCATGTCGGATCGATGTGCAAGCGTCTCGGTAAAGCTGGTTTGCACGCGCAAAGGGGGCATCTTGGGTGAAGGAGAGCGTTTTGGCTGCGCAGAAACTTGCCTTGTGGTGGCCGCCATGGCAACTGTGGCCGCGTCAACAGTCGGGCTGTCTGGTAGCGGTTCGACGTAGACGCCGCTGTCCTGGTCGTGGTATGGCTGGTCCTCGGTATCCTCTTCCTCGTCCTCTTCATCGTCAGACCACATGGAAGAGTCCTCGGGCACGGGCGCAAAATACATGCCGTCGATGCCGCCCTGCATCTCGACGCCGCCATAGGCGCGCCGGTACATGCGATCCAGATCCACCAGCGCCGAGTGTGATACGTTGAGCCAGTCATAGGAGCGCAGCAAGTGCATCTTGGAAACCTTGGTCCCCGACGCCAGCACATAACGGCGCAGTTCGTCGACGGCATCTTCCAGCCGCAACGGGGAGCCCGTTTTGGAGTAGCTTGATAAAGCCGCCTTGAGGCTGTAGAGGCGGTCAAAGGAGACGAGGGATAGGCCGTCGGATGAAAACAGCACGTCGTTCTGGGCGATGGAGTTGTTGAACAGGGTGTTGTTGAAGCCGCAGGCCGGCGCGCTGAGTGCCGGTGCCACATGTGTTCCAATACTGGACTTGCGGCCCGCTTTCGCGAGGGCCGACTGCAGCGTCCTCTCGGCCTTGGATGGCAAGTTGCCGTGATGGATGAGCCGCACCCCATGCTGCGGTGTCATGGGAAAGCCATACGAAGACCCTTCGGTCGGGATGGACGACTTCGCCGTCGACGGTGTCATGGGCGGAGGCGAGAGCGGCGTCATGGGCGTGAGCGGCCACAGGGGCGACCGCGGCGAGAGCGGGCCCTGCTGGGTGCGGGGAAATTCCATCGACATGGGCGTGTAGCTCGGAGAGGACATGACGGACCGGGGGGAGGTCGGCATGGACGATGTCGCGGACGAGGGCGAGAGGGCCGCCTGGTGGCGGCCCCAGCGTGGGAGATGCAGACGCCGGGCGAAGCGGTTCTGGGACGAGGGCGAGGCGGGGCCGGGCAGGGGCGGGGAGCAGAGGACCGGCGATGGCGGGAGCTGATAGTCGCGACGGGCCACGACGAGGGTGAGGTGGAGAGACTTGCGGGCGAGACGGGTCGAGGTGTATTCGAGGGCCGGGAGGAGCTGCGGCGGGAGGTGGTGGGCGTCGAGGAGGGAGGGGCCGGCTTCGAGGGGCGAGGAGATTTTGTCCTTGAGAGACATGATTGGGGAGACTGATGGGGTATCTTGTATTGTCTTGCGAATAATCGGAAAGAGTGGTGCGGAAAGGAAAGGAATGTGGTGTGTGTATATGCTCAACCAGGCCGCTGTACCCCAGGCTTTTGGTCCCAAACTTGGCTACTATGCAAGTCAATGCAAGAAGACGCAAGAGATGGACTAGAAGAGAGATAATAAGAGACTTTCTTCTCCAAACACCAAGGCCCAGGACCGGTTGATGAAGAAGAGAGAAGAAGGAGGAGGGTTGTTAGAGTTGTCTGGGCTAGATGGAGGTATACATATAGATGGTTATGAAACAAGACTTTGGACATTGGCCCACGTGCATCTTGAGATCTGAAACGAAACAGAAATAGAAACAGACACCAAAAGCCCGACTGGGGGAGAGGGGGGAGCTTGTTTCCTATTGCAAGACGGACTTGCTATTTTAGGGGCGGGTGAGGGCTGCATATGCTCGGCGGCTAGCGATGGCCGGGGGGGGGGCAGCTGAAACCAAACGGCGGGATGGGGGGGGGGGGGGAAGCAGCCAGCGTCGTCGGAAACAGCCGTGGAGATGTATTGTATGGGTGAACTGTATAGTTGCATTTGGTCGGTCCAGATTCGTGGACCATGTTTTGCTGAAAGAATGGCACGACTTGGTAGAGTGCCGTTTGCAACGATGATGAGGCGCGTATAAGTCGAGGCATGCGTGGGGCGCTCATTATGGCCAGCCAGCTGCTTTCTTGTCCCTGTCAGCTCGAGGAAACTCAAACGAGAAGAGAGTTTTTTTTTGGCGTTTCGGGGGTTTCTTGTTTCATCGTCTCGTTCGTCTGCCCGGTCGCCAGCGCACCTCCTCTTGGCCGCAATGAGACGACCGCCGACCCAGTCGTTGCAAGAAGTTGGGCGCGTAAAAAGTCACTAGCAAAAAGCGGGGGCTGAAGAAATGAATTGCCCGACTAAATAAGGTACCTCTAATTAGGTGTGGTTTGCACCTCTAGAGAGGTAGACACCCTACACGTATTAGCCAACGTCTTTTTTTTATTTAATTTATAACGTATTATTGAGGACGAAGATGGATGGACCCATCACACTTTGAACCGTCACCCCGCGCGGGCCTATGAGTGGCTGTTTCTTAGGCAGATCAACTCTATACATCCTTCACAAGGTAACGTCGACCTGATACTTTTGCTGACTCGTCAACACAGTTATCAGGATGGGCATAGCGGCCACCTTGGGCAGTCACCGCTTTAGACAAGCTCATTCTCACGCAGCACCTCCCAGACACGGCGCGCTGCGCTTCGCTTCGCGGCGACTTCCTGTGCGCCTGCGCCAGCGCGATAAGCAGGCCGCAGATGTACGGATCCCGACAGGGCATCGTGGGCTGCAGCGCCTTTTCCTTCTTGCGCCGCACGATGAGGATGAGCGCAGCACCGTAGTTCTGGCCAGCCCTCGCTTTGCCTCGGTGCACCCACTTGTGTCGCGCCTCGGATATCGCGTCAAAGTTGGTGGAAATCATCATTCGGCCTCCCGCCTTGGCCGTCCACACACCCTGAACATGTAAATGGCAGACCAGTCTCCCCTCTAAACTGCATCTCGATTCGACCCCCGCCCCTACTATACGAGCGTTAGCTTCCGACTCCGTCGTCGACTGTTACTTACTCCTGCTTTCCCTAACGGATTTCCCCGCCAGATCTATGATTTATTTGTGCCCCTCTATAGCGCAAACGCAACGTTTTCCTTGCCTGCCTCATAAAATCGCCCAAACAAGGAACCCATGGCAGACCCCTACGATTGAGTGGATAGAAAAATACATATTCTGCTGGACAAGGCAAGTCTCACAGAACCGTCAACAGCTTTCTCACCCACCGCCTTCCAGCATCTGATGTAAGCGCCCGGCTTCGTCCACAATGGATGACAACCTCCCTGCTCCAGCCAACCAGAGACCCTGGTCAGCCACACCACCAGCCCAAGGATCTACACAGCGGCGGAACAATGAAAATAGAAAAAAAAGAAAAAAAATGCGGCGAAAGAAGGGGCTGCAAATCCCATCTTCTTAGCTGTTGTCTTTAGTCTGCACGCGCTTGATCTGGCTGCTATGCATCCCTACAGTGCCCCCTCGTCTGGTCAAGGCACATACATGTACATGTTGCATGCTTATTTTGGTGGTGCGTCATCTGCACAGGGCTGACTTGTTTGTTCCTGCAGTTCATTTCAATCTTTACGCGGGGCTTGCTGCTTAATCCAAGTCAAATAATGCTGCTTAATCCAAGTCAAATAATGCTGCTTAATCCAAGTCAAATAATGCTGCTTAATCCAAGTCAAATAATGCTGCTTAATCCAAGTCAAATAATGCTGCTTAATTCAAGTCCACCAAGGTAAAAGTACAATTCACATGTTCACTAGGAGGCTCCAGCTGGTTGGTGCCACTACCCTGGACAAGAGCTTTTGTGAATTGTGCGTTTCAATTTTCGCAGAAACATTTGTCGCATGATCAAAAACGGTAGTGGAAAATTCCGTCGCGAAAATAAAGAGACGGCAAGGTTGATTGTGCTGCGACCCAAGTCTGCTGTTGTAGAGGATTTGGTCAGGCTGCGGCTTGCTAGGCAGGACGTTCCAAAAGAATGATGTACCAACATATATCGTACGTCGCTTGCGTATTACTTACTTGCCAAGGCATATATTGAATACTTTACTGAATCAGGGCCGCTTGACCGAGGGCACGAGTCTACTGAGACGTCCATCTACACACAGCCAACATTCAACATGGTCACAAACCACATGTGATGGTCTTCCGTCGATAGTTTCATTCTAGAGTTTCGCTTCTCTTGGAAAATAAACATCCACCGCCCTTCTTATCCGGTCCAGGTTGCCTCGCCTGTTTGGAGGATCAGATCCGGGGCACAAGAAACTCTCTCTGCCAGCCTGATGTCATGTTACACAAAACCAGTATCAGTAACTTCGGTGCGCCTCCAAGTGAAGTCACAAGAGCTCGTCACACCAGCTGGTGCGTCGAGCCGAGCCGAGCAGCCTGACCTAACCATGCGCCCGGCCAGCGAACAGAGGATACTCTGATTTGTCCAGTCCCCGCCCCCCCGGGCCAGTCAACGAGCTTTGGCTGCCTGCTGCGGGGTTTTGAGACCAAAACGCTGGATTCAATGCTGTCTTGCCTTGCCTCTTCTCCATGTTCATCAAATAGAACAAACACTTGGCAGAGGCTGGCCAATCGCGGGGGTGGTGGGTTGAAAGAGGGTACGTAACCAGATTGACCTTTCCCTCTTCCACCACATATAAAAGCAGCCAGACGGAAAGGCTTTTCATTTCACGTCACCAAGAGTCCCTTTCTTCAACATACCGCCTCAGACAAACTTGTTTAAAACGAAAACCATGTCCGCATTTGCTGGCGCCCAAGGCTACGAGGCGCTGAGCTCCGCGCAGCAACGGGACCGGGCGGTCGGCAGCCATGCCGAGAATGGCTTTGCCCGCACGCCGTGCGCGCCGCCGCCGCACCTGTGCGTCGTCGTGTCGGTGCCGGCGCAGAGCAGCAACAACGCCGGGTTCCGCGGCCGCCTGCACGACGTGAGCGCCGCGTACCAGCACGCCGTGCACCACGCGCCCCTCGGCGGCAGCGACGTCATCGGCGACGCGCTGATGGGCAGCCGGCTCTACGCGATCCGCCTCGGCACCATGGCCCAGACGATTGAGGGCCTGCGCAGCGAGGAGGCGCGGTATACCGTGCAAGGCAGCGACGAGGGTGGTGCGGCTACCCTTGCCCTGCAGCGGCTGAGCGATCATGAAAGCATCACCATGTGAGTCGGGACTCTCGTACCCTTTTGTTTGTTTGCAGATCCCAGCAAGTTACCAACGGCAAAGGAAACAGCGACTTGTCAGACGCCACAGACGACTACAGCTTGGTCGTCGGCCGCCAGACCGTTGCGGTCACGGCGTCGTTTCCCGTCCCAGACAGCGTGTCCAGCGCCGGCAGCAGCCAGCACCCCTTTTACACGTTTACCTGGGGTGGTGGAGAAGAAGACGCCCCGGCGACGACGACGACGCTGCAGTGGCAGATCCAGCCCCTCGGAACCGGGCCCCTGAGGTATACCCTTGTGCGAATCGACGCGGCGGGCGGCGGCGCCGAGGATGCGTCGTCTCCCGCACCGGAGAGCATCCGAGCCATCTACCACCACACGGGCCAGGCCCCCTCGCTCTCGCTGTGCAGCGGCCAGGGCGTGCTTCTTTTGCCGGAAGACGGCGGTCGTCTGACCGAGGCCGTCATTGTCGCCAGTCTGCTCGGTCTGCTGTGGAGGGTTCGCGCCATGCAGGTCAAGCCGCTGGCCGCCGCCGCGTCTGCAGAGACGGAGAAGAAATCAATCTTGCGCCGCCTGTTTTAGTTTGTTCGCATCATTCATACTTGCTCGGCCAAACACTACTCAAATGGTTTAAGAAGCGTTTGCGCTTTTGATGCTTTTTCTATCCTAAATGTATTATGCTTTACTCTCACCTTGCACACTTGATCTATACATGTGGGTGAGAACTGAACCTTGAAGGTTTCCATCTGCCCAATAAGCCAAAAGAGGGTGTTGAAGAAGAAAAGTATATACGCGAACAAACAAGGTCACTGACCGCAGATGCACCATGAGCCCAAAATAAAACATGTATACACCGTCACTGGCGGCAGCCGCTTATATCCGCCCGCCAGGAATGATTTCCCGCTCCAGCAGCTCCGTCTCGTCACCGTCTCCCGTGCGGCGCCTCTCCATGACCCAGCGCGCCTCGCCATTGTCCTCCTCCTCCATAATGTACGAGACGCTCTCTGTCGAGCTCTGCTGGCGGCGATGCCCCTTGCCGTGCCTCGACGCGAGCGACACGGTGCGGGCCGGCACACCACCGGCGACCACCTCGGACGACGACGACGGCAACGGCCAGTTCCACTCGTTCGAGTTCCGGCCCGGCACGGCTGACACCGGCGCAGACGCGCTCTGGCCGCCGCCTGGCGCGCGCGGATACGCCGAGTTGCCGCGGGCGGGGTTGTTGTTGTGCTGCTGCAGCGTGGCCAGCGCGTGGGCTTGCCCCTGCGGCCCCTGCGCCGCATTGGCCATGGTCAGCGTGGGACTAGCCGGCAGGCTGCCCAGCTCAGACTCGCGACCTTCGCTCGAGAGGAGCGAGTTTTGGCGCGCGTGGGTGTAGCCGGGCATAGGAGCACCTCCTCCCGCGGCAGCGGCCCACGGGGGCGCGCTCGGGAGCTCGCCCCGCTCCGACTTGGGCGACCCGTCCCGGCTCGAGGCCAGGCTCGCCTGCGAGCCGCCCCACGCCTTGTTGCGGAGCCGCAGCAGCGCCGAGAGCGTCATCTCATCGCCTTCCTCCGACATCATGGCCAGCTGTGCGAGCCCGGGGCTCTGCATGGTCGTGGGGGTGCCGCCGCCGACCAGCGGCGGCAGTCCCATGCTCATAATCGAGTTGCGGTTGGAATACTCGGAGCGCTCCGTGATGGGCGTGAGGTTGGCCTCGCGGGAGATGAGGCGGCCGCTCGCCGACCGCGCCAAGTCGCCGCCGCGCGGCCCAAAAAACCCGCCGACCGCGTAACCGATTTCTGCGCCGCCGCCCGAGGCGCTGGAGCTGTAGGAGCCGTGGTGCTGCGTCGAGGAGGGGGGCGCTGCGTAGAAACCAAACTCCTGCCCATACCAGCCGTCAGCGTCGTTTGCGAGCGCGCTGGCATTGGCCTCTGCAATAATGGCATCATCGTCGAGCTCAAAGTCATCCATATTCTCGTAGCCAAAATCGTCGTCCAAGTCGTCCGTAGGCTCGTATTCTACGTCATCTTGGATCTTGACCGTGGACTCTTGTGTCTCGGCATCTTCCAGCTCGTCTGTGCCATCTTCGTCTTCCGCGTCATCTTCCAGAACAGGCGAGGCGCTGCGCTGGAATTTACCCGACGCGGCAGCTTCGTGTGCAGCGGCGGCGAGGGCGGCCTGATAGGCTACCATCTTGCGCTGCGAGGGCGAGGATGATGATCCCATCACCGAGGACACCCTGCCCAGTGGCGAAATCATGGAGCTACCCCCCTGTGCCCCATCCAACATGCCCGCACTGAATGATGTATGAGCGGTAGACTGTGTTATTTCTGATTGAGCGGAGAATCGCGACGTATCCGATATCCTCTTCTTGGACTCGCTGGTTGCCTTTGTCATTGACTGGGCGCGAGCAAACGCTCCACGAACCGGGCGACCGAACTGATCCGTATCATTATTGTCAAATATGGACTCGTCAAATGGCTCATCATCAGGGTCGATGCCTGCGGCAAGATCTTCCGCGAATTCATCTTCATAGCCAATGATACCGTCATCAAAGTACAGCTCGTCGTCTGGCAAGAACGCCAGTGCATTGGCCTTTGCACCGACGGTCTTTTCTTCGTGTCGAGACGTTGCCTGGTCAATTCCGAGCCCCAAGAGTCGTTGCCCAAAAGCTGAATCCCTATCGCTGGAATTGGGTTGAGCTGACAAGGGAAAGTTGGCTGTCGTCGGTGTGTCTTTCGTCATTGCCGAACCGATAGGCTGTCCCTCTGCGTCTCGTGGAGTATTGGGCATTTGTCCTGGTAAGAAAGGGCTGGGGATTTCTGATTCGGGATTCGATCTCTGAAAAACGAAACCGGAAAAATTCTGTTGATCATTGTCGGGATCCTCCTGAGTATCAAATTGATCCTTCTGTACATACGGTGTCTCATGGAGATAATCGTCTTCGTCGTCGAAATCGGCATTTACGCCCGGAATTCTCTCCTCAAGGCCATCGTCATCCATCATTGCGTCGTAGTCAAATGCGTCTTCATCAAATTCGTCAAACCTAGAATCTCTTCGCTCCTCACTTTCTGGTTCGCCTTTTTCTAATTGCCGCTGCCGGTGTCGGTCTTCCAAAATCTTCTCTTGTTTTGCAGCACCTATCATGTCAAAACTGAACCTTGAACTTGTACTCTTCATGTGTCTGGGCAAGGACGTGATAGTGTCTCTGCTCGACATTTCCGAGAGAGATATTTTATGAGAACGTGTTGTCCGTATCGACGGGTTAACACGCGTTAAAGAACCGAATTCGCGGTTGCGGTGGTCTTCGGCTATGCTCGATAGGTTCTCAAGCTGGATAGAGCCAGCCATAGAGGAGCCACTGGAGCTGCGCATCCTGTCTCTGAAAGAGCCATTTCGCTTCTCTGGTACGGAGGTAGGGGATGGATTCTGACTCGTTGGGCGGTTAACTAGTGTAACATCCTTGGAGATGGGCTTCGGCGGTTGCTCTTGTTCGGGCACTGGCGCAGCCACTGGCAAAGGAGCAGGTTGGGGAACCGCCACCGGCTGCTTTTGATACTCAGTGACTGGCGGTCTCGCCTCTGGTTGTACGAAGTCATTCCGCGGAATACTCCGGCGTCTAGGTGCACTGAAATCGTGAACACGGGTGCCTTTGATTCGTGGATCGTATGTGGGTTCGGGGTGTTGGCTGGATACTATGGGCATCGGCAGGGCGTCGGGGACATTCTGGTTCATCTTGCGTCGCATCAAAAGCGTAGACATTGGATTCTTCAAAAAGGGCAACCCCTTCTTCGCCTTGTGAGGCTCCATGGGTGTAATCGTGACGGAAGAGGACGACGACGACGTAAACTCGGCAGTGAGACCCAAGCCGGGCGGGCGACGACCAGTCGGCTGCACAGATTCAGAAGGCGAGACAGAAGAGTGCGACGGCACCCTGGAGAAGCCCTGCGACGGCTGGCCTTGTCTCGGTGCCACAGGCGGCGGCGCACCAGCGGCAGCGGGGGATGTCTTGGCGCGCAGGTGCTTGTCGTCGAGTGGCGGCGCGGCGTGATGCTCGGGTGTGACGAGCGCCTTTTGCGCGCGCAGGCCGCGGCGGTAATTCTCCAAGGCGACGCCGCCAATGAAGCCCGAGTCAGTAGTGTAGGGCGAGCGGGCCGCGGCGGGCTGCGGGACGACGCGCTGCTCGACAAGCGGCCCGTGGGCGGCGGCGGCGTCGGACGAAAAGCCGGGAAGGGGCGGGGACTGGTCCGAGGTGACGCGCGTAATGGGCGGCAGCGTCGGCGGGACGAGCGACGTGGTCGAGCTGGGCGGCTGCGTGTCCGGGGACGAGACGCCGCCGTCGGGGGTAAAGGGCGACTGCGTGTTGCTCAGCGGCGAGGGCTGCTGGTCGCCGGCGGGCGACGCGGGGTTCGACGGCCCGCGCCGGTGGAAGCGCAGATGCGACAGCATCGTCGAGAAATAGCTCTTCAATTGGCCTTTTTGGGATGGACCTGGCTGGCGGCCCGGGGTGTTTTGGATTTTGGGCTCGTCGAGAGCAACGACGCGCGCGAAGTTACGAAGCGAGGGCCGAAGCCAGAGCTATCATGTCGACGACCGGGTGACGTGGACTATCGAGCTGTCGTCAATCGCATCGTAGAGAAGCCGGCAGTTTTCGTAGCAGTGTCCGTATTTCAACGGCGAGTAGGGCGTAGCAAGAGGGGGGTCGCGCGATGAGAAGCGTGGGTGCTGTAGTGAAAGGATAAGGCTGCCTTGTTGTGGCGTGAGACGACGTTAAGCAAACGGGGCTGATGCCACAAGGGTGACTACAACAGTCGAGGCGCTTCCAGATGCCTCACAAACTTTGACAAATTTGAATGCTTTTGAATTCTCATCATGTTTTTGTTTAATGTCTCCTTGCCACCCTTCTTCTTGTCTCTACTTTATTTTTTGAGCCGACTTGTAGCGGTTGCATAATTCTCCATGCTCTCCACGGGTGCGCAACCTACCACATGATAATCGATATGTTTGGTGGCGCTTATATTTAAGCCGTTGAGCGATCGGCACAAGGTCAAAACGAACCGTTACTTATTCAGTGGAGGTTATGAGGCTGTGCAGAATACTGCCGCTCTTGGGACCCGTCCCATTTCCCCACGATTAACAATTTGTCTGGTCCTTCTTCCACGACGTTTCCGGTCCCGACTCTTCATCCGACCCCATCGGGTCATCGCGTATCCTATGATCAAAATCAGGCACAATGGAACCCTCTTCCACCACGGGAAACGGTGTCAAGACGTGGCTTATGTCTCCCCACCACGTTTCGCCGAACCGTCGGTACCAGTCGACTGTGATGCGCAGGCCAGCGTCCAGCTGTGTCCGCTGGCTCCAACCCAGCCTCCGCAGTTTGGATCCGTCCACCGCATACCGGCAGTCGTTGAAGGGCCGGTCGTGCGTATACTTGACCCATGTGCGGAAAGCGGGCTGCTGCATGATGGCGGCGGGGTCGGCGTCGCACCCGTCCACCATGCCCATGACGGAGAGGAGCTTGGCGCATAGGTCGAGGTTGGACACTTCATCAGAGGAACCGACATTGTATATTTGTCCAATCTGGCCTTTGTGCAGAATGGTGTCGAACGCATCGGCGGCGTCGCCGGCGTAGAGGTAGCGCCGGGTCGGACTACCATCTCCGTGAAGGACGACCGGCTGCCTTCTATTGAGCAGACAGGCAAATTTTGATATGATTTCTAGAAAATGCGAGTGGTCAGTCGATATGGTCATCAAAAGCCGGCTGAAACTTCCTTACTTTCGGGGTATTGATGAGGTCCATAGACATTGTTACTGCGTACAATAATGCAAGGCAACTTGAAACTGGCTTGATACGACTGCACCATCATCTCAGCGGCAGCCTTGCTAGCCGAGTACGGATTTGTCGGCGCCAGTATACTGGCCTCGGGCAAGTCGTCCTCGCCACCTTTGACCTCGCCGTAGACCTCGTCCGTCGAGACGTGGATGAAGCGCCGAATGCGGACCTTTTTGGCGCTCTCAAGCAGCACGTGCGTCCCAAACACGTTGGTCTGCGTGAAACTATACGAGTTGCCAAAGCTGAGGTCGACGTGCGATTGCGCCGCAAAGTGCATGACTGTGTCGATGTTGTGCTTTTCCATGCAGTCCACGACCTCGTGCGGATGCGTTAGGTCGCCCACGTAGGTGGTGAAATTAGGGCGGTCCGCGAGAATGGCCGTGTTGTTGGCGGAGGAGCAGTAATCCATCTTGTCAAAACAGACAATGTTGTAGGCGTCGGCATATGCGATGGAGAGGTGCCGAACAACCCATGATGCGCTTGCGTTTTGCCAGGTTAGCATTGAGCGACGAGGGTGAAGCAACACAGGTAGAGAAGGTCTCACATAAAGCCGGCACCGCCCGTCACCATGATGTTGCGCACGTCAGATCTTGGTTCAAACTTTGTTGTGCCAATGAGCACAGGCGCCGTCTTCCATATTTGGCTAATATCACCATTCGCGCCCTTGTCGCTGTTGTCGCCATTCTGGTGGTGTTCCATGGTGGACAACATCAAGGTGCCCCCGAATGCCCCCGCGAATTTGGACACAAAGCTTAGCGCGGGACGAGCCGTATGTGACGTGAATCATGTATCGTCATGCGCTCGAATCAGCCTCGCAACTGCAGAAAACGTGCCGTCCTCAGTATCGCATTGCGAGGGCCGTCTAACCTCGCTTTTTTCACAGGCTGCCTCCGCAAGCTCGGGGTGTTGTCTGGCTCCGCGTTCAATGTCAAATTTCTCAAATATTTACCAGACCAGAGATTGAGTCTGCAAATTTGACGACTGTTTCGGCTGGGGGGAAGTACATGCAATGCATAAAGCCTCGTCCAATATTCACGGCCGAAGTGGCCTGTCAACTTGGAGGCGCCAGTCAACCATTACTGTATTGAGGCTAGCGCAGCGCACGCAAGTACAGCACATGCAACCGTCGAACGATGACTCTTTACAGAGACATTGTCTCAAGGTGACATAATTACAGGATGTATGAGTGATTCATTTTGGTCTTGTTGTTGAGTGGCAACGTGATTGCCCTCTCGTGGCAAGTATTCAGTTGTGGAGCACGTCATCCAAGACTCGGCCAAATGTACAAGGACACTTCTTCTTAATGCTATTAACCAATGCTTTGCTATGAAATCACAGGTTGAACCGTTTTCTGTCCTTCTCCATCTTGGCCTTCCACTCCCACTGCGTCGCATCGTCACCTTCGCTGCCCGCACGCCCGATGCCCTTGTCAACACGCCTCAGCTTCAGTGTGAAGCGCGGGCCGAGCTCCTGAAGGCCCGCGCGGATCTCCTCGACACCCTTCAACTTTTCGCCGTCGGTGGCGAGGACGCTCTTTTCCGTCGCGCGCTTGTCGCGAAACACGTAGCGGTGCCGGCGCACGAAAATATAGTCGCGCTGGTTGTGCAACGTAATCACCTGCCGGCCCTGGAACTCAGGCGCGGGCGGAAACAACGTTTGGAAAATCTTGGCCGTCAGCAGGCCCAGCGGCGTCTTGAAGTTGTTGAGGAGCAGCTCCGGGTAGTGGTTGGTCGGGTTGCCGTGGCCAGGCAGCTTCTTGCCCTCGACCCAGTTGGAGATGGAAAAGTGAAAGGTCGGGCCCGAGGGGAGGTGCACCACCGACATGCCCGTTGGTTTCTTGAGGTCTTCCTTGAGTAATACCACGGCTGTGTAGTCTCTGCCGATGCAAAACTTGCAAATCTCCCGGAGAGAGTACTTGTGGCCGTAACGATGTGATGAACGAGGAATGTAGTTGCTATTGGGGAAGAGTGTCGTGAGCAGATGCGCTTCCTGATGCAGCGTCGAGTTCAATGACGTTGTGACGAGAATTTTGGGGGCGGGCGGTGGAATATCCGTAAAGAGTGTAGGGAATTTGAGAGCCAGCGACGACGGCGTCAGGTCTAGGTTGGTACTGGTCGTCGAAGGGGCCGCACTGCTGTCTCTGAGAGCACGCTTTGCGCGCGCTTTTGCTTCAGCCGCTTCTCGTGCTTCATCATCCTCATCGTCGCTATCCAGCATGCTATCGTTGTCGTCATCGTCGTCTTGGTCGAGCGGAGCGTTCAAGGCGGCCTCCTCCTCGGCCCGGGCCTCCTCCATGCGTCTGCGCTTCAGTTTCTCCAGGTCAACTACAGCACCAAGGCTATCATCATCGACATCGTCCCAAACACGCTTTTGATCCAGCGTCTTGGTCACATTTTTGGCAAGTCGGGCGGCCTTGAGCTCGGGGTTGCGGTCCTCTTGCTTTTTACGCTGCAGTCGTTCCTCCCGGCGATCCTTGTCCTTGTCCTTCTTGTGTTGCACGAAGAGTTCCTGTCGCTTGACCTTGTTGGCTGCCTTCAAGGCCTGCGTCGGGGCCTTTCGAAAGCCCATTGCTGCAACGATAAACTGCGGAGGTAAAAAAGAGATTGTAGCTGCGAGCAAGACAACACTCAAAAACCTAGCGACCCCGGCATAAATTTTTGGCACCAGAGGGGCATGGTTTATCGGGCAGAAAATCACAAAATTTTGGCGGTGAGCGCTCATCTCAGCTCTTGATTGGTCGGATGCCGCACCGCCTGCCCCGCTACGCTGGAATATCGCAACATTTGCTAGCACGCTGAACGGGCAAAACTCTTTGTTAGCAGCTCTCGCCGTGCAACCACAGCCGTCACATATTTGTTCTCAAAATGGCAGCGATGGGCTCAAAAAAAAGAAAGCTGGCGCAAGTGGCCGCCGAGGTCACCGACGGCCCCCCGGCAACCGAGAAGGGTGCTCAGAAAGCATTTTTCATAAACGCTTCCAACTGGAACCTGGAGCAGGACTACGAGTCAAGGCCACGCAAGGGAAAGAAGAAGAAGGAGCCCAAGGAGAGCAACAGGCTGCCAATTAAGACGGCCGACGGTCGGCTCGAGATTTTAAACCGTCTGGATGACGAAGGCGACGATGTCTCGGTCGAGAGCGACACCGAATGGCTCCATGGCCGCGAAGACGAGGTCGAATGGGAGCCAGAAGAGGAAGAGGAAGAAAAAGCATCCACAATACCAGAAGCGCAACAGATTCTTGAGGCGCAAGAGGAAATGGCTAGACTGGCTATGGCTCTCAACGAAAGTCCAGAGGAGAATATCGCTTCGCTAAAAGCCCTAGCCAAGTACGGCGAGTCCGCAATCACAGCCATCCAGATGCTTGCGCTCATGACGCAAATGACCGTCTACAAGGATATAATTCCTGGATATCGTATAAGACCTCTGGCGGAAGATGAGCAGAAAGAGACCATCTCAAAAGAAATTCGCCAATTACGACAATTCGAGCAGTCGCTCGTCTCAGGTTATCAGCACTACGTCAAAGAGCTGAACCGCGTCGCCCGTCTAGGCGTCAGGGCCAAACCTGGGACTCAGAGTATCTCCAACATCGCCTATACCTGCGCCTGTACCCTCCTTACCGCTGTGCCTCATTTCAACTTTCGTTCCGAGCTCCTCAAAATTCTCGTTTGGAAGCTGAGCCGGCGCCGCATCGACGATGACGCCCGCAAGTGCGTGGAGGCGCTCGAGACGCTCTTTCGCCAGGATGATGAAGGACGCCCCAGCATGGAGGCCGTCTCATTGCTGACCAAGATGATGAAGTCGCGCGAGTATCAGGTCGACCAGGTCGTGCTCAACCTATTCCTTGCCCTGCGCCTGCTCTCCGAGTTCCGCGGCACCGCCTCTAGGCACCGCGTCGATAAGGAGGGTGAGGACGGTGAAGCGGGCGAGGATGGCCCGCAGTACCACCACAAGATGAAGAAGAAACAGCGCGAGTTCCGCACCAAGCGCGAGCGCAAGGTGCTTAAGGATCAAAAGTCCATCGCCAAGGAGATGTCGCAGGCCGACGCTCTCGTTAGCCACGAGGAGCGCGAGCGCATGCAGTCGGAGACGCTCAAGATGGTATTTGCCTGCTACTTCCGCATACTCAAGCTGCGCGAGCCGCATCTCATGGGCGCCGTCCTCGAGGGCCTCGCCAAGTACGCCCGCCTCATTAATCAGGACTTTTTCGGCGACCTGCTCGAGGCTCTCAAAGACCTGATCCGCCACAGCATCCAGGATGCCAATGCAGAGGCCGCTGAGGAGAATGGCGAGGTGGCCCCTCAAAACGGTGACAACGATGACGACGACGAAGACGACGGCGACGAGCCCTCACGGAACCTCACCCGCGAAGGGCTCCTCTGCACCGTCACAGCACATACGCTACTTGCAGGACAGGACGCTCATAACTCGCGTAACGCCCTTCACCTCGATCTTTCCTACTTCACCACCCACCTTTACCGCTCTCTCCTCGACCTGTCCACCAACCCCGACTTGGAACTCACCAAACCCGCGAGCTCCTCCTCCGGCCCCGTTCGCTACACGCGCATCAATGTGCAGACGACGACTGTCCTGCTCCTCCGTTCCCTTACCGCTATTCTCCTCCCGGCGTGGAATATCCGCTCCGTCCCCCCCCTCAGGCTGGCTGCCTTTACAAAACAGCTCATGACGTCGTCGCTGCAGCTGCCCGAAAAGTCATGTCAGGGCACTCTGGCACTGCTCGGCGATGTTGCGCACACACATGGAAGAAAAATCAGTAGCTTATGGAATACGGAAGAACGCAAGGGTGATGGGCGATTCAACCCCTTTGGCGACAGTGTGGAGGGGAGCAATCCGTTTGCGACGACAGTCTGGGAGGGCGAGCTTCTACGGAAGCACTACTCACCCAAGGTGAGAGAAGGACATCAGCTTATGGTAAAAAGCATGAACGCAAAATAGATGTATATAAACAATCAAGGCTATTTATCTGCAGCATTGGCTTTCACAAGTGCGTGTGTTGAGTCGAACCTGAAAACAACCACGAGTCGCACGAGAAAACGACGACGAGTGGCGCCAAGTCTAGCACGGACACCAAATGCGACGGACAAGAGGGAAAGTTGGAATGAATCCATTGAACAAAATAAAGATCATTAACTGATTCCTCATCCAAGCCTTTCGCATTCGTTACTGTGGTCTGAACGGCAGCTGCAGCGACAGATCCTGCCGCCAGCCGTTGGCAGCTGGCAGTTGGCAGCTGGCAGTTGGCAGCTGGCAGTTGGCAGCTGCCAATTGGCAACCATGCATTTGTTTTTCTTTCAAATTCTCTCTCTTTCATCACACATCCTCTTCACGCTCTGCACTGTTGTCAACATTCTCCTCATCGCTCTCTCTCTGAAAGTGCAGCTGTTCGTCGCCATGTCGGGGTCTTACTACAATGATAAGAAGAAGCTGGCCGATGCAATTGCTCTAGCCAAAAGCTTCTCTAAAGCGAAACCGGCAAAGTCGTGCGGAAATTCGGCACGCCCTGCCCGAGCGTCCGGTGCGGGAAGGCTTCACAGCGGTGCCCGGCAGCAGCTGACACAATCCGTTGTCCGTACGTTAAGTTGAATTGGAGCCCGTGACGCACCTGGCAGATGTACTGACACGATGCAAAGGCCTCGGCTCCCTGAATCCGGCCGCGAAAATTAGTCACCGGCAGCTACCTCAGAGTGTTCATACCCGTCGCCAGGCCTCAATGTCAATGGCGGCGTGGCAGGCCCAAAAGGATGCTCCGTCGATCACTGGCGGGCTTGACTTCTTGAACCGGAAATATGATGCCCCAGCCGTCACAGTCCAGCCAAAAGCCACCCCAATGCCCGCATTGCCAGATATTTCAAATCCTGGACAATCTCTGCCAGTGTCTGTGACTCCCGTGGCGGCGCCGACCAAGTCGGTGCTTGACGAGTTCCTTACCCTTATGGCCCAGCTTGATCTTGAAACGGCGCAAGTTGATCCTCTGGTTGACAAGCTACAAAACTGGAATCTTCAGTCACCAGATATTACAAAGTCGAAGACTGTCACCCTTGCGGCCACGCCAGTCTCTGATCCAGCGATGCCGAAGGCTGTTCTTGCGCCAAGGACAACAATACCATTGGGAGAGGTCAGCAATCTCCCCGGAACCCCTTGGCCAGAGATGCGATCTACGACCTTGTTTGAACCAACAAACGTACCTATGGTTCTTCCCCCCACACCAAAACAGGAGGACAAGGGCCAGCCGGTGCCGGAGGCAATAGAGCAGCTTGTGGCAGGGCCGCAGACACCAAAGCTCAGTCAAGGCAACGTCGTGCCGGCGATGAAGCCCCGAAACGGGTTGACTGCATCCCGTTTTGCATCGAAAGAGATTGAGAACTTCAAACCCCAGCAGCATGAGAGCCGGGTGGCATTTGGAGCCACAGAACATCTTGTGCGTCCACCGCAAACATCGGAGCCTGCAAGATGCAATTGCTCGCCAACCATTAAGCCTCAAAAGGGCCTTGCAGCATCCCGGTTCGCATCTCGAGAAACCGGAAGCTTCCCATTTGCAAACAGGTTTTCAGTCAACATGCAAATTGCTATCCACCAAGAATTTTGCCCCTTGTCCGAGCAGAACGGATTAAAGACTAGTAAAGGTGCAGAGACGAAAAAGGTACCAAAGGCGCTCCGAGCTGAGGCAGAGCCCTTTACCCCCAAGTTCGCTAGGAAGCTAATTGATGGTTCAGGGGTTTGAAAAACGGAAATGAGCTGTGCCCTTAAGCGATGGAAGAGAAGAGCAATATAAGTCGTTGATGTCTGTATTTCGTGAGGCGTGTATAACTCATTACATCCGTAACATCTAGTTTTCGTGTCGTATTCCCTCCTGTTTAGCTCCAAGTCAAAATAAGATAAACATAAAAGAACAAGACTCTTCTACTCTTTGCAAGTTTCCAATCATCGTAGTATGCCCGTCAATCTTTATGAGAGCCCATTATTTCCCATCATGGGCCATCACTTCTTCTGCCTCGGCGTCTTCGTCCATAGGCTCCGATGAGAGCGCGGACCCTTCCCAGTCTGCCGATTTGTCAGTTGCGATTCGTCTCACGTCCCGTCAGGGCGCGTGAGTGTGGGGGAGGAGACGGGCTCGCTTACCAGATCCGTCGTCGTCTACTCGGTCCACCACCAGTGCCAACAAGTCCGTGATAATGTCTACAAGATGGGTCAGTTTGTTTCCCCCACCCCCCACCCACAGCAGGCTAACCGCTCACGGGGTATAATACGCACCGTGCTGGCTTTCGATGAATTCCTCCTTGGTGAGCTGGTCCAGGGTCTCGCTGGCAGTAACCACCAGGCTACAGTTGGACACGACGCGAATCAGAACCGCGGCCAGCTCTCGTTCAATCGACACTTGGCGCCGGTTATGTGCGTCTTGGATATACGTGAGACAGCGCGTGCCAATGGCTCTTGCCAGGTTCGACGATAGTACAGCCGCCTCGGCGGCACTCGGGGAGTCAACCTCGACCGGCAGGCACAATACCATGTCCACCAAGCGCTCCGTTTCGTTGCGTACTCGGCTGTCGGAATACTGGAGCAGATATGGCGCCCACTCGGGTATGGTATGTAGCGTCAAGCGTCGCAACTGAGCGCGCTCTTCCTCGTCAGACCGTTTGTTGTCAATCGCTCTCCGCATCAGCTCCAGGAATACGCCGCCTTCGCCCCTCTCGAAGCTGGCTGCCTGCATCCCAATGTGTCGGACCAGATGCTGAGCATCACTCACGTCACTGCAGCTGTCAACGAATATTAATGCGGCACGAATGTATGCATCCAGAGGTTCTGTCGATGCATCGCCTCGGATTGTTGTCTCGAGTAGACACAAAAGTTTTCGAGTAGGTATTTCACCCGCACGAATTACCCGCTCCAAGATCCGCCTGGTAATCTCGGGTCCTTGGTTAATTTCCAGTAGGCGTGCCAGGAACAAGCTTGTATCCTCTCGCTCAGGATGTGTCAATAACAACGTGATTTCTGATGATGTCCACGGGAAGCATCCACTGGTGTCTGTCAGTCGTTCATCCGCGGTTTCCACAATCGACTCGTGGCTGATTTCTGGCTCTAATTGGTCCATCAAATGAGCAATGAGAGCCAGGACTGCCACATATGATGGTGGCTGTGTGCTGAACCGTCTGTAGAGATTTTGCAACATTTTGACGAAGTTCGGCTCAATTTGCACGGAGCGATCTGCAGTGATGATTTTCAAGCATTTCTCCAGGTAGCCACCAGCCAAGACCATTGCGCACTCTTGTCTCCCGAGCTGAGCCACGTGAACGATTGTCGAGAAGTACTCATCCCACGACCTAATGTGGTTTTGGAAATACTTCCAGAGCTGATTGAGTGGCTCCATCGCACAAGAGAGCATGTTCTCGGGTTCTGCGGCATCACCTTTCATGTCCTCGTCTTCATCGTCACTAGCCGGCGTCGCTGTGCCCGTCTGAGCATAAAACAACTCTGGACAACTGCTTGATAGCTTTTGTAAGCAAATCACAAACAGTTGGCCGATGGCGACTCGCACGCTTCTTTCTGGGTTTCGCAATAAAAGAGAGCGCAAAACAGCAGGGCGACCTTGGAGATATTTAATTACCTGCCAGGCGCAACCTTGCTGCGTCATAGCCACGTCGGCGAGCAGGTTGCAGAATATGACTGCGTGGGAACAGTCTTTGCTGCGGCTGAAAATCTGGTCCAAATAGCTCATAGCAGTGCTCATAACCAGCTGGTGAACCTCGGGTGCCTTCGCTTCTTCCGCTAGCTGGCTGTCCAGCTCTAATCCGACCTCAGGAGATGACTTAGGCCTGAGGCTCTGGTGAACACAGGCCTGAACAAACTTGGCATGGTTTGGGTCAAAGAGGCAGTGACGTCGTAGGAGCAATATGTTTTCCGTCCGGATATGGTCCTTCAAAGCCTCGCCCTTGGCCGTGTACAGACTTTTGCCACCTTCACCTTTCGGTGCTGGCTGTGTCTCAGCGGCTTCTGTCCGTGGTGATATTCGCTGATAGAAGAGCATATAAGCACTATAGCTCTTGTCGAATGGTGGTAGACTGCTTTCTCCATATCCCGAGCGCCGCTCTGGACCTCCAAATGTGGATGCTTCTACCGACGCATAATTCCATATTCCAACTTGATCGTCGTTGAACTCTACCCACTTTGATGTCGTGTCTTGATCCGATGAGCGCTCGCGCACATAGGAGTAGTAGTGCCCAGATTCGGCGGTGCCTGCGTGGACGAGTACACCAACCAACTCAAACATGTCTTGCTTGTCATCGGGCGCCGATCCGCTCAGGTGCTCGATTGTGTAGGGTTGCAAGTCAAGCCTGTCAGGAAAGGCAAAGTAATCGTCGATCTTGCTGCGCTGTAGTGTCTGAAGATGAAATTCGAATCGCTTCAGATGAAAGATCACGTTGTCCGGTACGTCCTTTAAACAAGCCCTAGGACGGTCAGTATCTTTCCGCTCTCTGGAGTAGATTATTACACCTACCGTTTCACAGCTTCGACATGCCGATCGCACGAAGAACATTTATACTTGTTGTCTGCGGCCTGTCAGTAATCGCCACGACCATTGCACCGTGACACTCACCGCCGTCCATAGTCTCTCCGCCCACGTATGCTCGCAGGCTATCCTCGAGTGTCGATTTCCCCTTGATGTCGCACTGGATAGCCGAAAAGGGTTCAAGTCGCTCCGATATGTGACCACACTCTTTGGATTTGATTTGCTGCACGAGTTGGCCCCCGTAGATTGACCGGAACTTCTTTCTCGCCGTGGCACTCGGAAGCTGTGCCTCCCACCTATCAAAGAGAAGATTATAGAACTCGTCCACATCCATCTGGCTGTGAATATCGATTGGTCCCTGATCATATGTCTTGATTGCGCCAACAAATGCAGTTGGGTCCACCGACCGACTGATGCTCTCTTGGAGATACACGAAAAGCCGCTGGGTTTCGTGCAAGAGTGTTTTGGAATCGTCGGCTTCGCCTACATCAAAGGACATCAGGTAGCCCCGAAAGCCAGGGTTCATGTACAGTTGCGTGATGAGTGAGTTAAGATAGCACGTGTTGGATAGATTTTGCAAGCCAACGTAGCCGGCAGGAGATCGTAGGGCTTTCTCTTGTTCGAATTGAAATGGAAGGTCGTATATGTACGGCTCCGCTACTCGTATGTCAGCTTTTTGATTTGCTCTGTAAGAATATCCATACGTACCACTGTTGGCATAGAAGGGAACCATCTCGCCCAGGAACTCTATCGTCTCGAACAACAGGTCGTTCTGAGTGCGTAGATTCAGGAAGATAGATTCGTAGAGTTTGCCTCTGATTTCAGGATTCAGAATGATTTTCGGCAGAGACTCGTTCATTCTGTGCTGCTCCTGTGGGAAGAGAAGCCCCTTCATTAAACAGAAAATTGCAGCGCTACATAACGATGAGCTGATGATTTGTGGCAAGCGGAGTGCAAGACATACCGTGGAATGTGCTGAGCAAGGGACTCATCCAAATGGAGACAGCGATTCAGGAGAGTTACCAACCCCTCGGCTACCAAGTCACAGGGTGTAGCTTGGGTTATCTCCTAATCTTGTCGTTAGGCAGGCACATCATAAAATTTGCAAGTTGACTTTACCTCTGTGCATGTGTGTGATATCAAGTACTTGATCAATTGCTGAACCAAGGACCCAAGATCGACGCTTTCAGAGCACTTGTAGCGTATTTGAACAACGAGAAAGCACATTAGCTTCATCAGCTCGTGACAATTTTCCCCCAAGTCCGGGATGAGAACCAGCGTCTCCAGCGCCCAATTCCAGAAGTACTTCGTAATGTGGCCATGCTTCTCAGCCGTTTCGGCCTCCTTCTTAGTAATTTCTTCAATCTGGCTGACGCAAAAAATCCGAAAATCCTTCTGGTTGGATAAGACGCACATCCGGCGCATCAGATTTGCGAGTAAAGGGCTACCAGAGACTGCCAGCCAGAACTGCTCATCGACAAATCCTAATTTCAGGATCAAAGACAAGCACTTGGCGCTGAGATGCAGAAGTTCTTCTTCTTGGGAGCTCATTGCATCGTCCAAGATCGACAGCAATCGGATTGGTGAAGGTTTCGGAATGACCTGAGCAGAAACAACATCTTGCAATGCAGCTGGTATCTACGGATTAGTCAAGCCCATAAGCTCCGGAGACTATAACATACCATCAAGAAGGCGCATGTACTGGAAAATCAAGTTCGATGCGACTAGTATGTTCACATGACCAGGTACTTGAATGATCGTCTGGTCATCCAGGCCACGCGCAAGTAGTTGTAATGCCTTCCCGACCCCATTGATGGAGGACTCAGATTCAGTCGTAGTCGGTGAGCAGCGTGCCGATGAGATCGTTTGCCGCGGTGATATCTCTTTCACGCTTTCCATCAGAGCAAAAATAGTATATAGTAGTCGGTACGGCTGATCAGGGACGAAATGGTCCTCATATCTGGTGCCGTCAGCTCTCAAGCACTGCATCAACTGCCCATCGGCTGGAAGTCGTAGAAGAAAGTTGTATGTCTGAGAATAATTAGCCAGAGTAAATACATGGATACATGCCGTATGCGTACCTCGGCGGCGATACTCTCCTCCATGGCCAGGTATTGCCAGAACTCGGAAAACTGAGCAAGGATCTCGATCTCGATTCGCGATGATCCGGGCTTCACGTGACTGGGCATATCGGATGCGACGACATCTTTGTTCAAAAGAACCAAGCCGTCGCACATACGTAGGTCTTGTAGAGATTTGCTCACTTGCATCTCGCTTGGGACAAGCTGGCGACCTCTGTAGTATGCTTTGTAGCTGTCAAAACCTGTCTCGTCTCTGAAAACAGCCAGCAGTGATCCCAGCGAGTTTTCTCGCCCTATCTGAAGTGACTTAACTTCGCCACTGTCGTCATCACCAAATGCCTGATACTGCAGATTGGTCGGTTCGCCTTTCATCTCCTCGGCGCACTTGGGTATCAACGGCCGTAAGTCAGCAGCAGAATAACGTGGGTTGGCGCGATGTGCGTCTAGGAAATACTGGAGTAGTCTCAAGGTGCGCAGAAATTCACGCTTCCTCTGCACCATCTCACGCTCAGGTTCAACCACAACAAGCGAGTCGTCATCTGCATCGCCGTCGATTGGAGCAGCCTGTAAAGCATGTCTAGCTTCGCGCATGAGCTTCAGACACTGACGAACGAGTTTAAGATGGATACTCTGGGCCCTGTTCACAGTACAGGCCGCAATTGTTTTGCTCTCCAAATATACACCAGACGCGAGCAAGATCATGGCAGGCTGGGCGATGTTCTCATCATGGGAAGAGAGTATAATACGCCAGAGATGTTCAATGCCACTCTTAGCGACAAGCTCTTCATGGTCGAGATTGAACTCGTCATGGTGGTTGACTAGCAAGAGGACATTCTCTCTGACAAAGTTGAGCATCCCTTCACAATACCAACTGGCGGACAGATTCGGGAGATGCTTTGAAAAGCAAGCCTGCAGGAACGGATTCTGAAAGCTGCTATTATTCCCGACTGTGGATATTGTTTGCCAAGCTGCGACTCTGTCAGCGGTATTTCGCGCCTTGGCGCCAACCAACACCTCCCAGAGCCTGGTGCCCAGCTCTTCAGTTATTGATTTAGGCTGGAAATGGATAATTTGCGAGATCAAATCTCGACGAGCGTAATTTGCAGGGCCAGCCAAGACGACCGTGGATAGATCACATGCGGTATGGACTGCAGATTCCAAATCTTCCACCACCACGCGGACAATGTCATGAGCGTCGGTGAGATGCTGAAGCTCATTGACGATAGCCGGTCGCATGCAAATAGAAATAAACCAAAGGCTGCCGAGCCGATTTTGTGAATCAGATGCCAGATGCTGGGCGCAATTAGCGTAGAGCTGCTTTCGAACGTCCGCTTCCAACCCGTATTGCAGTAGCTCTCGAACTCGCTGCACGGCCACCTTATGGAGATCAGGATATGTAAAGTTCGCGCCATTATCGCAAGTCGGCATCTCTCTCAATACCCGCAAAATCGAGAGAAAGGGATGTGCCGTGAGGGGCCGGCTAGCTACTTGCGCCTTAGACACCATATTGCTGAGCAAGCTTTCCCAAAGGCTTCGCAGTAAAGGCGAGAAGTCCCCCAGCTCGACTTCGTCAAACTTCTCACAAAGATATACTAGGTGATTGTACCGCAGTACAGAAAGAGTATGAATCGCGACGCGTGTGATAGCATCAGCCACTCGTTGGTCTTCACTAGACCCAATGGAGCGCCACACTCGGTCGAGGAGGGGCTTTGTGTTCGCGTCCGATAAAGCCAGAAACACCATGATACTAGTGCTGGCGACAATAATTTCGGGATGGCATGACGGGCTCACGATGTAGCCAGTGAGTTCATTGTCGACAATATGGCCCAGCTGACATAAAAATTGACGACCATCCAGAGTCGCCTCTTCTTGAGTCCAAACGTCGGTCAAATAGCCACACAATATATTGACAGCCATGACTCGGAGCTTCATCAGCCCCGACTGGATGAGCTTGGATAGTACTCCGAGTCTCCATTCCCAGGGCGCGGTTTTCAACAGCATTTCGGGTGTTGCCTCGGGATATTTAACCCTATAGCTTTCGATCAAAAGATCAATACCATCGGCCTGGCTTCGTTCACCTCGGTTGTCCGATTGGCAAATGAGGGAGAACATTTTGGACAGGGCACGAAAGAGGCGATTTGCCATCTCACTGCTCAGAATCGATATGTTCTTTTCGATGATTGTAGATAGGGCCTCAGAGAGCGTCAGCCACGTTTCTCGAATGTGCTGGATGCCTTTGGCAGCGCAACTCGTGGTTGATTCGGCAAGAGCTGCGTCGTTTCTTCGATAGTCTGCAGCGGCACAGTCGCTAATAATGCAGGTGACAAGAGTCAAGTCGCGTAGTCTCAGCTCTGGGGTATTGGCAAATGACGCTAGATCACAGGCAAATGCGCTGATCCACTGTGTACTGTTGCCATGCGCCACGATCAAAGGAGAGCATAGAAGTTTCGACATTTCGCTGCTTGTCCAAGACGATGCGCCATCTACATGTTCGCCTGTAGAAGTTTCCCGCTCTTCTATGTACAGCAAATCTAGCCATACATATAAGCATTCGATAGAGAAGAGGGCAAGCTCTTCCTCTTGCTCGGTATGACTGGTCAGCGCGAGCTGAAGAGTTTCGTGGTCAAATTTGACGAGAGCGGCGGTAAGCAGCGAGTAATTTGAAACCAATTCTCGCGTAACGGAAATAATTGAGTTTGCGTCACCGATGGGAGGTCTTTTCGAGGTTAGCTTTAGTTTCCCTCATGTGTTGGGCAGAATCATGGGATAATACCTTGGGAGAGTCAGCGCGGTCATGACTGCTGGAAAAGACAGCCAGAACTTCCTCTGCGATTTCAGGGCAAGTAGGACCGTGTTTCGGTCCGAAGTCTTGAAAAATTTAATCGCCGATTGCTGCATCCATACCGAAAGCATTTGGAGATTAATTACGTCGATGTTGCGCTCTAGGGTGAGCAGTTAGCCTAGGTGTGCTAGGAAAGGTGATCAAGGTGACTTGCCGGTAGATAGATAGTGCGTCAATCGGAGCACAGGCTCGTGCATCTCATCCCTTGCTCTTCGAAACGGGAATGATTCGGGGGGTGTGATGACCTCCTCCAGATCAGAAGAGGACGCGCCGTCAAACGATCGCGCCAGCGTATCTCGATGCTCGTCCAAAGTGGCCCCTTGCTCCAGCATTGGCGAATTCGATCCCGAGGCTAGAAGACATCTTCCTGTCTGCAATGCATCGCTTCGATGGTCGTCTGCTATACGTCGCAAGCTCAGTGTGAGCTGGCCGGAAGCATCGAGCGAAGTCGGGGAGTCCAAAGCCACGGGCATCTGAACACCATCGGCATGATCAACGGGGTTAGGATCAGCTTCTTGTACAGCTATATTTTGATCATGCTTGTGAATTATATGATGGGGGTTGTCCGCCTCGGTATCGTCGTCGAAGCGTCCTTGCTGAGCTGGCGACATGGAGGCCGATGCAGATGTACGGCGGCGTTTGCGGGATGCAACGTCATCGTCCTTGAACGGGTTCGGTCGGGTGATGGTCTCGGGCGGCGTTGGAAGATCGACGTCACAGCCGTCGATGGACACAGAAGGTATATCCATCGAGATGGCGTTTTGACAGACACGGCCTCAACGAGGTCACGGAGCCGTGAATGCCGTCTGGAGCGGCCGGCGGCACGTATTAACATGTGGGTTCTTTGGTACAACGAGGAGGGCTGGGAGCGGAGCGTCCAGGCGTCGAGCGAGACGCTGGAGAGCCCAGGTGCTAGTAAAAGAGAGAAGCGGAGGGAAAGAAAAGACTGACTGAGGCAAGCGTAGAAATGAAGTTGAAGCCCGCCAATATAATATCGATGGATCGCGTTCGGCGGCAGCCAACCGTGCTTTTGGTGGAGTTGACGAGGGGCAGCTAATAGGTTGTACCTCACTGTGGGCGACGTGGTGGTGGCGGTGGGGTAGGTGTCTAGGTGTCTGTCTAGGTACCTAGGTACCTAAGCGGATAAGTCGTGAGCTCAATGACAGCTTTTGCGAGACTAAAAGAAATCTACACAAAATCAATAAAAGAAACTGTGTCTTCAGCCCTGGGAGCTCGCCAAATAAAGTCTCCAAACTGATACAAATGATCAGTGAATGGGACTGTAGCTATCTTGCTCTGTTGGCTTCGGGGTTGGCGGGAGAGAGGCGATTTAAATGCAAGTTGCAAGGCTTTGTATCCAGAACAGGGTGACTGTCCGCGTGCGAGGTGCCGTTTCTTGTAAATTGTAACTGGCAGAATTTTCTCGACAAAGAAAAAGCTTCTGCATTTGTGGGTATGTGAATGAGTTGTACTTGAATACAACGGAAAAGCTACAAGCGCTTAGAAAGGCGAATGCACTCTGGCGCGACTAGAACGTGTCAGGGCACCTGACCAGCCACAGCTTGTGTAGGTACAGAGTACCCTGTACTTTCTACGAATATGAATATTTTTTTTCTTTGCCTCCCGCCCCTAAAAGAGGCCACCTGGCCCTCTGATCCTGACATATGAGGCGTACCTTGAAATAGGGCGGGCGAGTTTCCTTTCAACTGCCACTATCGTTCTACTAGCTATCTGGTGTTATACGGTTGCTGTAATGAGGCATCACAAATGCATTGACTGCAAGACATTGGGTTACACGGAGGTGAACATGGACCGAGTTCTAAAGAAACATATCCACACTTTACCAAAACCGCACCAACTTCTTTCTTTGTGTCCCTCATCAACACGTCTTCCAATTTCAGATCGAACAATCAAGGCTGGTGGTTGTGGCCTTCTCCGTGCTCAGTACCCTCACGTCTTACGACTTAGGGCTAGGACCTACTCCGAACGATGCCCTGCTTCAATCCATGTTTTAGTAATGATAAGCAATTAAGCCCTAGCTAAATTCACAGCGGCGGCCTTCCTAACAAATGGCCCTCCGAAGCGTGTAACTTTACGCTACTAGGGTTGAGATTTGAGCATTCTGCGATGGTACGTATGCTCAATGAACTAGAAGTTTCAAAATTGGAAGAGAAGCCGTGCAAAATTTCGGGGCCTCGATGTCAATCACAACCATGCCGACTAGAACTGTGGTTTCTATTAATACTCGGATTCCAAAATTGAACGATGCTATAGAATGACTCAAAACCGACGTAAAGTTCAAACATAGAAAAAGATGAGAGACATGACTGGCGTGGGTTTATTATACCCTATGTGTACGCTCCCGAAACCTTTCAGAAATCAAAGAAAAAAAGCATCTTCCGGATAAAAAGGGCCAGGTCCTGGAAGAAGAGCGCCATGTCCTAGAGGAAAGTGGCTAAAACCTGGATGAACATGACCAAGTACTGGCTGAATTGGAACTAGATGAACACTGCCATGTACTGGAGGGAAAGGGCCATGCGCTGGATGCAAAGGGACACGTACTAGAGGAACAGGGCCATGTCCTGGGTCCACGCCAACACGAACCATGCACGGCGGACTGCTGTGTCTGAAGCTCGAAGACCGAAAAGCGGCATGTCTTTGAGACTGGTGATTGTTTCGGGAACCAGACGATTCAACCATGCTGAATCGTCTGAAAACCGAGGCTATGTGGTCGCCATGTCTTTGAGACTGGCGATTGTTTCGGGAACCAGACGATTCAGCCATGCTGAATCGTCTGAAAACCGAGGCTATGTGGTCGCCATGTCCTCTGGGCCGACTGCTCATTCTCGCGGTGAAGCGAGAAAACATGTCAAATGGGTTGAAAGGCGAACGTTGGACCTCGTCATTTGGGGCGTGTCGCCATCTGTCGAATAATGATGTTCGACGCTGAAGTTCGAGTCGTGGAAAATGTCCATCCCTTGGGGCGTCAGCCGATCTACTACGAGCGGTCCCCGGTGGCCTGCGCCCCCATTCACCGGTGCTTCTGCTTCGATAAGACCTTTTCGATGACGTTCTCTCTCTTCGATCTTCCGTATCAGTAGCTGGTCGTCTCTGGTACTCCTCTGACCTTTCCCTACCCCGGAAGGAATACGAACGGCGCATATTGGATCCATTTGAGCCCATCAATGACGATTCAATCGTCATCCATGGGTGTTTATCTGCCTTTGACGACGACAATCGCTGGCGGGCGTCTGGTACCATCAGGGACATGATAAACTGTTGACAATGTTGCGTAATCCGACACTGCTTAAGCTTTTCAAGAGGAAACCCGATCTCCCCTCTGGCATATCGACAGACATCCCCGACGGTGGGAAACGGCGTTGTGCGCGTGAACATGGTGTAGACCACGGCACCCAGCGACCACATGTCGACAACGGAGGTGTAAGAGCCCTTGGCATTGCCCACTCCAAAAACTTCGGGCGCAGCAAATCCAACAGTGCCTCGCTGTGGCGTCTGCAAACTCATACTGCTTTCATGTCTTCGCTTGCTAATGCCGAAATCGGCAATCTTGACAAACCACCGAGGTCCCTTATTGACAACCATGATGTTCTGTTCGGGTCAGCACATCTCTCGAGAATTCACGTGAAGACAAACGTACTGCGGGCTTCAGATCCCGGTGAGTAAAGCCATTTTCATGCATGAATCGAAGTCCTTCGAGAACTTGGCTGGTAATAAGCCTGGCTTCGCGTTCTTGCAACGGTTGCTTGAGATGCTTCTGCAAATCACCGTGTTCAAGATATTCCATCACGATAAAAATACAGTCGTGCGACTCGTACCATCCATCTGAACGCACGAAGCAGTGTTGGTACTATTGAATCCCATCATTAGAGTACTAGAATGATTGTAGCTGGAAAGGCAACACGCACCTTTGGATGTGAGAACTTCATGACCGCCTCGAGTTCCCTGAGGTAATCAAACTCTTGGCCTGGGACAGCAGCTTTTCTGATCTGCTTTACGGCTCGTACTTTTGTTCTGCCGTCCGTTTTGCATCGCTCGAGGTGGACTATTCCGTAGCCGCCACGACCGAGTTCTCTGTCGCGAACCCACAGCTCTTCGATCCGCTTCTTGCGAACCGAGCGGGTTGAAATGTAGAAGATATTCTTGGTCTGGTTGGGATATATCTCGGCTTCGATTTTGGCATCGCGTACAATATCTGGCAAAGACTTAACCAGGTTGCTTCGATCCATGGTCACTGGACAACAAGGATCCCGAGAGTGAAGCCGAAGCCTTTCAAGATTGCCAGCGGTGGTCAAAGAGAGATGATTCGTGCCTCACTTTACACGATAGAGCACAGCGTTAGCTGATGATTCAAAGTTGAATAGACGTGAAGAGAATATACTGTGCATGTCGGATGTTGGGCGGGAGATCAGCAGCAATGCAAGGTATAGGGGGTGAGGCGGTTGAGCGATGCCGGAGGAAGCCTTGAATTTGAAGCCCCGCATCGGTATGCAATTGCATGCAGTCTGTGATACTTAACTTGGGGCGCCCAATGTATAGGTATCTATGTCTCGATACCAAGACGTCGTGCCATCTTGGGGGCAATTTTGTGCGCACAGTCTCCTATCGGACATCGATCATTTCTGTGCTCCGATGCGGGGACGAAGTTAACGGGTAGAGGCCTAGACGTGGAAAGATTGGACTTGATCGAACTCAGAATGCTCACGCCGAAGTCCTGTCCACTTCTCCAGCGCTGGCACTGCTGTTCTGGTGTCGCACCGAAAACCCCGTCGAACTTGTTCGGCGGTTTTCTCACATGATAAGACTGGAACACTGTCGGATTTACGTCGAGATTTCAGGACTCTCATGGCAGAACTGCGGATGCCATCTCAAAAATTGAGCCTTTCGTTGTAACGTCAATATCAGCCAGCAGTCCGACCAGCAGCAGAACGAAGCTCCAGTACGCATTTGTACAAGAATCACCGGGACATAAACATTGTCGAAGCTGAATGCTGGTGGAACTTTTTTCATCCTGTGTTGGCTTTGACCATACCGAATAGAGCGACACCATCGCTTCCGAATTGGCCGATAGAAAGGCGAGTCTAGCCGCTGGATATTCACTGCCCCGAGCTGATGCTGAGAGACCTGCAACGAAGCCGAATCAAATTGATTCCACGAGAAGTGGCCGATTAGCTTGTCAAGGTCTCGTCAAACACAAAGATCCCGGCACGGACCGCCTTTCCATCATTAATCTCGTGTTTCGTTTACGGCCCGAGGCGCAAGCTCCGAACCATGCGCGGCGGCGATGCGGCCTCGGCGTGAAAGCCTGTACAGCCACCATCCTCGACGGCAAGGCATGTACATGCCCGAAGACTATATGATGCAGAATGATGCGTATTGTTTGGGCCTTTTGCTTGTTGAAGATTGAACTCTGGGATTTCTCTCGTCAACAACACCGTGAGAGAAGACGGAATCATTGGTCCCGTCATCAATCTTTCAAGTGGCTCTGGGTGATGAAACCCTCATGTCGAAGAACTCGGTGCGATTCGGCTACACAGTCAAAGACCGTTTGGTATAGCCCGCCAAATGGGTCAACGTCGACTCCTGGGGGTTCTGTACACGGCTGCGGTCGTCCTTGTCTCACATGCCTGGTTGAGGGAGATGATGATTTTGGAAACGAAGAAGATATCTTGAGACGACGACAGGGTGTCGATTGGCGGGGGCGATTCATTGAGAAGGTGTTGTTGAGATTGCGGTTTGAAGTCGAGGACATTTGAGGTAGCCCCGCATTTTCTCCAAATCATCGACGCTGCGAGCTGGATGCTGGACTCATCATCATAATTCATTATCGTCAGTTTCGTTTGGGAAATCATGTGAAAAGTACCACCATCGGAAATTAATACCTCATAATCTCGCCGAAGCCAGTTTTAAAACACAAGGGCGTCCGGTAAAAAATCATGGCTTCCACCGCTGGCGGCCCTGTGCGCAAGAAAATTGTTCACCACCTCGGGTCGCCCTTCACCACGGTCTCCTGGTTCGTAACCTCCATCTTCGCCTGCTATCGTATCTATTACTAAAATCAATCCAAAAGGCCAGAAATATCTCAAGAAGACCAGGACACCATATTGGAGCTGCTCTGCGAGTATGTTCATCAGCTACCGCATGCCGCTTGTACTCACGATATGACTAGATATCTCAGCCCCATCGGCAAACATCGCCAGAGACACATTAAGCCTTCCAAAGGAAAGCGCGCAGAAAAGAAACGCAAGCGTCTACAAAAAGACGCCGGCCAAGATGCGGGCCAAGACGCCGTTGCCACGGCTGTCGACCCCCCGGCCAAGCCAGAAATTGCGTCGCACGTGGACGTTGGCTTCAGCGCCATCACGAGGGGCTTTCAAGACGTCAATGACGCAAAAGAGGATGGCGGGACCAAAGGAAAGCAGAAATACGACATGGTATTCGTCTGCCGTGGCAACCAAGCGGCCGCATTCAACAGCCATTTCCCACAGATGGTAGCCGCATCCTGCCGCGAGAGCCAGCCGGATCGCGCCACACGACTGGTGGGCTTCTCCAAGCCGTGCTCCGACAGGCTGAGCAGCTGTCTTGGCATCGCACGCGCTTCGTCCGTGGCTATCCGGAGCGACGCGAAAGGATCCAGTGTGCTGTGGGATCTGGTGAGGAAGGCTGTCGAGCCTGTGCGGTGCGAGTGGCTGGAAGAGGCCCGGAGTCTACAATACCGTCCATCGCAGATAATATCTGTAGAAACCTCTGTTGGACCTAAGAAGAGCAAGGCAGTAGCAGCGTAATAGCGAAACGGGACTCGGGCACGGAATGGGTATGTTTGTTAAGGTGCTAAAGCGAAATAATGAAGGCAATAAAGAAAGCGAAATAAGCAAGTCGAGAACAAATCAAAAACATGTATGACATAAAATCTAGTCCGAATCGTCGTCGTCGTAACCAAGCGGGCGTATGACACGCTGTGTATCTATCTCCCGCCGAGCATACGTCTGTTGACTGCACCCATTCATCTCCCTGAGCTCTGCGACAGATAAACGATCCTATCCCACTTAGTTAGTCTATGAAGCCACCCTGGCTGTAGAAGGTAGACTCTCAGACACACCTCACCAGTCTTGGTCCAGCCGCCCTTGCGGCGCGGCATTGCGTCCGTCTTGGAAGACCGGGCGCGGGACCAGTCGCCGATCACATTGGGATCGTCGTTCACTACGGACGCCGTCGAAGCGCCCGAGAACGCCGTGAGAGATGAAGCGGAAGAGGAGTCGGCCACCGAGGCGGGCTGGCGGCGGCGCTCCATCTCGCCGTCAGGGCCCCAGGCGTTGAAGGACTGGTTCACCACTGACGAAGCGTCCGAGTCGGTGTCAAGGAGCGTCGTAGGCAGCGACAGGTCGCCCGCCGTGGATCCCGCCGTCGATGACGCCGCCTCACTGACAGCCTTGGCCTTGCCGCGCAAATGCCGCGGCACCGTGAGGGTGGACACTTGTTGCGACAGGAACTCGGTGACGCACGGAGTGCCTGCGGCCTGTTCATACGCGTCGTCGAGCCCGAGCTGCGAGAAGTCACTGATTGGCGCCTGTAAACGCGTCAGCATCGGTCACTGGTGAGAAATTGGCAACGTACTCTGGGGAGGTCGTCGTCGTCGTCGATTGGAAAAAAGTCTTGAGTCATGACGAAGTGTTGCCGAAGCGTTTGCTGCTGTTCCTCCTCGGGCGAGATGTGTCCGGTCTCGAGTGGTCCGGGTGTGAGGCCGGGCTCCTGGATCTCCGTCCAGGCCACGCAGCGTCGGCATTGCTAATTCAACGTTGGTATTTTGAACAGAACAGACAGCAGTAGAGAAGGGACGAGAAACGTACGGATTCACCGTTGCGGCGGGAGTTCTTGCTGAAGTCGTCAATTGACTTGACCAGCATGCACACCTCGCAACGCATCTCCGCGCGCGCGCCGGCCGAATGCTGCTTGCATGTCATGCCGCTGTGTGCCGGGTCGAGGTGCCGACCGGAAGAGAGGTACCGTAGGTTCTTCTGCTGCGCGTTGGAGAAGTCGGACAGGTTCTTCCACTCGCCGCCAACCTTGCAGCGGAAACTAGAAGGCGACGTGTTAGCGGAAGCGGTCTCAAGGGAAGGGAAACGCACCGAGTGGGAGCGGCCGAGGCGCTGGAGCTGCCTTCGGGATTCATGATTGTTGATGGTTAGAGAAAAAGAAAGAGAAAGAGAGGAACGAAGCAGGACTTTAAATACACACCGCTTGGAGGAGTGCCAAATAGGTAGCTGCCAGCTGGCGGCCAAGTGCTAGATTGGCGTCATCCGTTTGCTCTGTCCATTTGCGCGCTTGTGAAAAGTTAGCAGATGCATGATCAGCGCATAGATGTACCTAACCAGGTATACAGCTGAAAATTGACCACTTGACTTACACGCAAGCCTTGGGTAAGTAAGTACGCATCAAAATATGCGTACAACACTTGACCTAGGCTTCACAGACCTGGCAACACTGTTCTATAACGCTTGGTACTTGTTGACAATTTGATTATATTACTTAGTGGGGTTGAGAAAAGACCACGGCTCTTTCGACCTAAGAACTAAGCGTGGCATAGTGACTTGGGTCGAGACTTGGTCTTGCAACTGCAGTAATGATGAATAAAACATGGTACTCCATTTCGCAGCACGCTCTGCTTTCAAGAGACGCGCCGCGAATATACGCCGACTAAATTACAATTTTGCCACCTTGTAAGCCAACAAAGCAATAAAAGAAACCACTGTGTGCCTAAACCTTTCAACATCCCAAAACAGAAACCAACAGAAAAACAGACCCCCAATGCAGTGTGGTTAGATTCCGAACCAGGAATTGCCCTTTTCCGAGGCGAAAATAATTTGCAAGCCCCCAATGTGTTGTGCCCGCTCAACAGATATATAAAATAAAATCCCAAAGAGGCCGATAAGTATTTGATGGCCAGTCACCCCGTTTGACCACGTGGCGTCTCTTTCGCCCCCTTGCCGCTTGTTGCAGCTCTTGATGTTGCCAAAGCGACTCCCTACAGCTGCTGATCGTCACTACGGTTGTAGCTGCTGGGGGGTGCATTCACGACCGCCTCGGCGTCACCCACTTGCTTTCGCTCCGTCACCTCGCGACGTTGCTTGTCCTTGAGGCGCTTGCGCAGAACCAATGATGGGCTGGACGCCCCGGCGGTGTTTAGTTGCTATTGCAGCGGTTCCGAGGATGACGACAAGCGGTTGAGGTGGAGGTAGACGTCGGTGCCGTATCTAGAGGAGAGTCAAGTTAGCAACAAGTGACATATGGCGAATTTGACAGTCGCGTCAACTTACCCCTCCATGCTAATCAACTTCAAGTCGCCGCCAAAGTAGCGCGCATACAGTCTGGAGATGGGCAGTCCGTAGCCAAAACCGGCCATGGGGGCCTTGAAATCGCTCTTGTCAAAGTCGGGGTCCAAATTGGGTGTGCGATCGACGGTGGTGTACATGTAGGTCCAGACGAGTGGGATGGCGCTGCGGGGAATGCCACCACCCTCGTCGCTAATCTTGATGGTAATGTCCTCCTTGCCCTCGGCCACAATGACCTTGGTGACGGGAAACTCCTGCTTGTCCATGCCATGGGTCTCAACGACGGCGCGCAGAGAGTTTTTGAGCGTCTCGAAGAGCATGTGGGACAGATGGCCTGGAACGTACATGAAGTCGAGGTTGGGGTTGCAGACCAGTTGGACTTTGGGGGCCTCAAAGAGGCCGTAGTGGTCCTCACAAACGAAGCGAGCATTCTCAATAGCCTCCTGGGCGAGGTCCTGGACATTGGTCTTGGTGCAGATGACGCCGACATAGGTAGGGTCGCGGTGGTGGCTCTGGTCAGTCAGGGCAATGTGCTGTCCGAGAAGCATACGGATGCCGATGCGAGACATGTAGAAGCGGTCGAGGAAGGACTGGATGGTGCTGTCAATCTGGAGGCGTTGGCGTTTGCGCTTGTACTCGAGAATACCCTGGGCCATGGTGGTGACGACGCCATCGTGGCGGCGCTTGATCTTGTGCAAGGTCTGGGCGAAGCGCTGGTTGTAGAGGTGCAGCTCGGCGGGCCAGGCGCCGGTGTCGTCGACGGTGGCATAGTAGCGCCGAGAAAGGGACTTGGCCTTGGCGTTGCCATTTCCGTTGCCGTTTGTGTGGCCCCAGCCGGTAGGATCCTCGTCAATGGAAGGGTTGGGGGTGGCCTCGGAGAGTTGCTGGTAGCCGCCCATGAGGGCGTGCCGTGACGGCTTCATTAAGCGATCTCGTGTTTCCTTGTCAAGGTCGGGGCGGGCCAGCTGTGTGATTTCCTGGGTTGGGGGAGTCTGGGTCAGCGAAAACAGGTCCGAGGTAGCGATGGAAACAGAATGAGGGAGCAAAAATGCGTTTCGAGGGACCGAATTGGCGGGATTGGTAGACTCACTTCGAAGGATTGGGCGTACCAGTCCTTGACTTTGATAACCGAGGGCATGTCGTTTACGCCATCGGGAAGGTCTTCCAATTCGCGGACTCTGTGGGCTAAGCGGATGGGAAGCTCCTCGGAAAGGAATTGTGAGGCTCGGAATAGCGTTCCTGTCGGGCGAGAGTTAGCAATGAGCCGTTGCGCGGCGGATGCATGGTGCTTGGGGGCGGACGGCTTTCGTCGAGGCACGCGGGCAGAAAAAAAGGTGGTGATGCGGGTGCTTGCGGCAGGCATCGAGGCTCACGAGCGTAGCCGGATCAGCGAGTGACTAACCTGTGGAGGGCTTGTCGCCGAACTGAACCATTTGGCGCAGACTGACGCCGGTAGCAGGAAACTGTGCATAGTGACGGATGGTGTCCATCAGCTTCTCGGAGGCCTTCCACGACATCTCGGGGGATTGGGATGCTGGAAGATAGCTTTTGGCGCGGTAGTAGGTGTCGGAGAGAAGACGACGGAGGAGACGCATGGCTGCGGTGGAGGGGGGACCTGGCGGCGCGGCGAACCGGCCCCAGATTTGCGGGAGAGGGGAAGTCACAGTTGGGCGCTGGGCGGGCGTGACAGGGCAACACCCGCTGTACTTGGGTATTAAAAAAAAATGGTACCAAAAAAAACTGCCAAAATGGCAGCGCGCTCCGGTAGCGACCCAAGTAACTAACTACCTAGGTAGGTAGGTAGAGACTGAATGGCCAGTATGAATCAAGACTAGAATGGTTGGCTGGTGGGATCGGCGTGCCCGCGATGGTACGTTTTTGGCGCGAGATGGTGCTGGTTGCGGTGATTCCAGTGGCTGTGTGGACAGTGGCTGCAGGGGCTGCACAGGCGGTGTTGAAGTGGTTGCTTTGGTTGCTTCCTGCTGTCGTGTGCGCTGGAAGGCCTGATGGAGGGGACTTGACTTGACAGCCGAGGTTGCAATCCAAGACACGCTGCTATGACGTCGTGTTAGCAGTTGCACCTGAGCGTTCGGCCAACTTGCTACTTTTCAGATGAAGAAAAAACCTGGGGAAATTGGCATATGAAGATTACGAAAAAAAAAAATATCCCCCAAAACAACATGGGCGTCTCTCTTCCTTTATTCAACACAAGCTGTCGCGTGTTAGTATACTTTTACGTGAGAAGAGGGGACATCGAGTCTTGGGTCCCCCTCCCCCATGTAACCAAGATGAGAGAGCCCCCACGCCGTCTCATCATGGCGCATAGCTTTCTTTCTTCCCTGCGCAATTCGCCTTCTTCCTGGACTCCCGGGCACATTTCTACCTAGGTAGTTACAAAGTATTACCCGGCCTGCGTCTTTGGGATCCTGCTAGCCTCGCCAGGGGAACGTTTCGTGGGGCCGGCACCGTGTTAGTGCAGTACGCGGCCACTGACAGGGCGTCGGCAGTGCACTGCTCCAGTCCTCTGAGTAAGACGGTAGTAACCTGCGTGAGAATCTGACTATTCGTACCCTGGCCAAGACCGGCATTGGGTAGCGGAGATGATGAAGCGTATCTTATTATTCGGAAATAGGCCAGGCAAGGGAGATGGCGCCATGTCTCAGCTTCACGGCATCGTCGGGGGCGTGGAATCGAGGTTTTGGTGAGACTATATCGAAACAATCTAGTCTTGTGTACGGAGTGCAGGGACGTGTTACGGGAAGTGCGGGAAGGTTGTACATGCATGATGGAAATATAGGTATGCATAAGGTAGTAGCGGCAAAAAGTCGTTGCTGTTGTTGTTTACCTGGATAGGTCTTGAGAGCCGCATCGGATTCCGGTTGTGACTGCCGGTGCTACGCCTATCAATCTACAGATTACTGATAGCTGTCACAGTCAGCAAGAGATGGAAATATGTCCTCGCCAGATGCGATGCAGGCAGGAGCTTGTCAAAAAATCCAGGGCGATCAAGTCGGGCAAATTTTCCACAGTACATAGCCTGACCAATTGATTGCTAATTGCTCATTTCCTGGCCTGCGCACAATGTCACAAGTCACTCGCTACGGAACCTCAACTCACAGCACAGCTTCGGCAAAAGCTGGCAAGTACCGGTGCTCAGCTCGGCCAAAGAGGTATCCCCATTGGAGGTGGCAAAATGTCTGGCATGCCAGGCCCTCGCTGCAGTCTGCAGGGCATCTTCAGCGGCAAGCCACACTGAACACTGCAGGCCAGCTGTACCCCCGGCCCCCTAAGAAAGAAAATACAGGCCTCCCTTGCCCGTTTGCTGTCTTCCCTGGTCGCCTCCAACTTGAGCTCCAAACTTCCAAGCCATACCCCACTTCTCCAACCCCGGCCAATCATTCACGTGCTGTTTGTCGTTCGCCTGCATCTCGGTCGTCCGTCAGAATCTCGGCCATCTCGGCGCTCCTCGGACTCGTCACACTTGCCCACCTGTTTGTCGCACAGCGTCGTGCATCCCTGTCACAACCTTCATCGTTCGTTCGATGCGGCAAATCAACCCCCCCAATATCAACATGGCACGCATCCATACCTTTGCTCTGGTCGCTTGACTCGTCGTGTCCACTCCTTTATACCGCAAAAGCACTCTACAGATGACTGGTGCACACGCCTTCGCTCACCGCCCACACCGATTGATCCCCACGAGTCGACGACTTCAACAGAGACGCGAACTTGCTGATTATTAGCGCCGTCTCTACTCCACGACCCACGGGTAGATCCAAAGGCCACTTTTTTATTATCTTCCTCTGGTCTTGTCAGGAAGCGGCATAGCTCGACTGTGGACTGTGCTTCTATAATAATCCTGACAACGCACCACCTGCATCTCACATTGGCGGTGTGTCTTGCAACAAAAAACAACGAGGTTGGGCACTGACCGGGCAGCTTCAACGCGCGCAGCCCCCAGCCCAGGGGTCGCAGGGAAGCGCCGGGGAAAGTGGACTCGAAACTCTGATAGAACGCGTAGAAGAAAAAAAAAACAATCAGTGGACAACATCTTCTTTTTGGCTATGGAATGGCAGAACGAGGAGTGGCAGCGAGCGGAGGACTACGACAACGACATGAACGCAGTAGACGCCCTTCACCACCACCACGACCAGCACCACCATCACAATGCCGCGAGCTTCAACAGTCCTGTAGCGCTAGATCGCCGCAGCACTGCTGGGAGTAGCACCAGCAACGGGCCTGCACCGAGCACCAATAGCTTTCGCAGCTCCTACGACAGCTATCGCGACCTGCATGCGCCGTCGTCCTCACCGCCGGCGCATCCCATTTACGGCCAGTCCAGCCCCAGTGTCGTCTCCAGTCTCAACCACTCCGCCGTCCCTGGCGGCTGGAGTCCTCTGCATCGCCAGCCCTCGTCCACGCCCTCACGGAGCCAGGTCGCCGCCCCGAGTCCACGCAGCAGCCGCAACGAGCTCGCGCGTCGCCTGGCCCTTCTCGCCCAGCGCCTCACATGCGGCGACGACATCAACGAGCTGGCCCTGGCCGGGCAGCTCGACCAGATGGAAAAGGCCGTCAGCCCGCCGTCGTCCCCGAACCCGCGACGGCGACCGCCCCCCACACCGCAGCAGCAACAGCAGCCAACGCCGGCCCCTGCCAGCGGGCCGTCGGATCCCGAGACGCCCAAGTCGCCGCCGCCGAGGAGTGAAACCGAATCTGTGTTCGGCTCCCCGCTCTCCATGATCCGATCGCAGTTTTCCGACCTGTCGCTGGCATCCATGCGTGAACGCGAGCGCGAGCGCGAGCAGGAGCGCATCGCCGAGGAGGAGCGGGCGTCGCGCGAACAGACGGGCATCACAGAAGCAAAAGCCAAGCAGCTCATTGGCGAGGCCAACAAACTCAACGAGGAGCTGTCGCAGGTGGCCGAGAATTTGAAAGCGCGGCAAGAAGAGATGGAGGTATGCATCACCCATTCGTCGTTTTCACCACTCTCGACATCCCAGCTAACCTGACTGATCAGCACATTAACAACCTCCTCATCGAGCGCACCGAAAGAGCGGCCGAGCGCATCGTTTTCTTGCAAAATCGCGTGTCTTACCTGGAGCGCGAGCTCGACGACAACGACGATGAGCTCCAGCACCTGCGCATCGGCCTCAAAGCCGTCGAGATCCAGCTCCCGCCCAACCCTGACGAGGAGCTCCAACGCTGCATCAACGTCTTCAAGGACGACTTTCGCCAGATCAAGCGGGACCGCGCCAACCGCGGGGCCAGCATCGCCTCCTCTCGCGCCTTTGTCACCTCGGCGCCGACCACACCCAGTCCGGGTGGTAAACGACGACCCGCCACCTCCTATCCAATGTACACGACACCACCCCGAAACGATATGAAATGAACACACCTTGTCTCTTTTTTTACTTCTCTCTCTCTCTCTCGACATGATACCACGAGTGGCAACGAAACAACGCACTAGCCTGCCTTTTCCTCACGACTGCTAATTTCTTGATTTTCCTTGTTTGGTTTCTTGACTTCTAGCTACACTGCATTGACGAAAAGTTTTCCGTTCTTTGGTAGCGTTGGCAACGCTTTATGAGACATGTCGGCTATGATATCCCGATGTGTTGAGAAATTTTTTTATTTTTAGATTGTTTCGAAATTGTCCTGCTGCGACGACTCGACAGTGTCGCTCTGTTCAGCTTGGATTCTTCTCTTTTCCTGTCCTTTTCGATGCTGTACATAGAAGCGAGCATGTTACGCAGTAAGCGAGCACTGTAATATGAGTGATTGAATCAATTTCAAAACTTTTGATGTGTTATATATAACAGCCAGTAGAAACGGGCCTCTTGCTTTACTTTCTGCCTCCTCTGTCTCTGGCTTTCATTCTCCTGAAAACAGATCCGAGACCTTATGGACCGCTCTCTAGCCTAGCTATTGAAGATGATTAGAACCCGTCTTGGGGATATGCTAACGTCGTCCATTTACGTGAAGCTCATAGTACGTACTACTTGTACATGGACTTGTCAGAATACAAACGAAATCACACAGCGGCTCCCAAATGAGCAATCACCCAATCAAACTAGCGTTTGGTTTAAATCAGTCTCTATTTTGATTTGCTATTTTTCTTCTTCAAAATTCACAATTCACAACACAGCTCTGCGATGCCTCCCTCGCTCGCCTCGTCCATCCTTTGCTCGGCCTACCCTGGGGCAGAGGGGGATAAGACGACGCAAGGTCCAAATAGCTGTCCTGCTAAGTCCACAGTCTCAGGTAAATGTACGCGCATCCCGGGCCAGGCGACTAAAGACAAACCCCCAAGGTGTAAGCGGAAGCTGAACCTACAAGGCTGTGTGACGTTTGCGGGGGGGGAGGGTTCCTATCTGAGTAGATGTGAGCAGATCGTCTCGTATTTACAAGGCGGCTCTGTACGTTGTTACTCCCCGGCTAAGCAATGATTTGGTGACTTTCTTTTTAATCATGAGTAACTATGCTCCAAGGCTGCAATGGGTGTATGTACGACGTCCCCCCCCCCCATGGCGAAAGCAATGGGACGGACGCGGTCCGCGGCCGGCAATGCAAGGCTGGAATGCTCCGTGAGCGATCTTGTCCCTTTTCGCCGACTTGTCCATTTTTCTCCGGTCCTTGTCCCGGTCGTTGCCGCGAGAATCAAAGGCAGGTTGCGAGACGTGGCCTATATACGCC